TTTCTTGATTCCTATCTCACAAAACATGTGTACTTTGGCTCCGAGTGCTGGAAAAGTGGAAACGGAGAAGATGAAATTTTATATGCAACTGGGCTTAGAATGCAATTGCTAAACGAGCACAATGACTGCGTATATGAGAAGATTGCAATGTGATGCAAAATTGAATGGATAGCACCTCTCGCCACAGTAATGTTAATTCACATTTTGCTCGGATGGTTATGTAGGTTCAAATCTAATTTCCATGATAATTTTAGCAACGGTATGCATGTGGAGCAAAGAGTGGGCCTGTGCCAGGGGGTGCTGTGCTCTTACAGAAAGATAATTAAAGCAGCCTCCGCTGTCCATGTGGGGGTCTAAATAGCTATGCATGCAGTGCATATATAAGATCTACCGGAGTCCTGCGGAAGATATGACCTTCTGGAGACTTGCCAAGCAACTTTTAAAGTGCTTCGTTATTGAGCAAGGCGTAGCTGCAGGCCTCTTTGGCTTTGGCTATGAAGCTTACATTGTATTCTGCAACATCAAGAACTTTCTCAAGTATTTGATTTAGTCCAAACCTGAGTGTGGCGCATCCTCTGTCCTAAATCTTGCGTCATTCAACTTCCTTGGATGATCTCAGGTTCTGGCATTGGGGGGGGGGCATTTCTCTTCACTTTCTTCACACTGTGCATCATTTTATGACCTCCAACCCGTTACCCCATACTTGCATTTGAAATTTTAAAAATTTAATAAAAATTAACAATCATCCTCATCTCGCAGACATTGTTATGTGACCTGGAGGTGGGATAGGAAGGGAATTATTATAAGAGCTCACTTTACTGCCTGGAAATGCAATGCAAAGGAAAATACAAAAGAATTTACTAAGCAGATAGTTGCAAAAAGAGAGCCCTAGCAGGACTGAATGTTTTTGTGACCATTTCTTCTTTGGTTAGTCCAGAAGGGCAGTTTCTATTGTACTTGATTGCTGTACAAGGGAGCTGCTAAAGGGGTCATTTAAACCCAGGTTCAACATAATAGGGTTTATGACACAGCATGACTAGAGGTGAATGAATTGGCCTCTTCATAAAAAAAAGATAAACAAAGAAAGGTTGAAGGCCAAATCAATATCCTGGACCTAGATAAGCAGTGTATGTTTTAGGTAAGTGTTGATTTGAGACATATAAAATCCATCTGACCTACTGTTGTCTTCATGTTATTTAGAAATTTCACAGGTTTGGGGGGAAATGGCAAGCAATGTTTCAACTCAACATGCTGCAAGAATGTGTATGGATAGATGACTGGCGAACAGGATAATGTGGATTACAGCATAAGAAGAGCTTGCTCTTTAGTGGTCCCATCTAATCCAGCAGTCTGTTCTCACAGTGGCCAACCAGATGCCTATGGGAAGCCTGCAAACAGGATCTGACCACAATAGCTCCATCCCCACAACTAGTATAGAGACATACTTCCTCCAGCAATGGAGACAGAACACAGTCATAATGGCTGGTGGCTATGGGTAACATTGTTCCCCTGTCTAATCCCCCTTTTAAGACTCTCTGGCTATTACTATATCTTGTGGGAACAAATTCCATTGCTTCATCATGTGAGGAAGTACTTTCTTTGGTTGGTCCTGAATTTCTTATAGGGGTGGTGGCAATCATGTGTCCACACTTGACCCATTAGGAGTTATGGGCGGCAGCAGGGATTCCTAAATGTTTTGGACCAGCTCTTCACTTTGTTCTGTCACTTAAGTCTTTCCATTCTGTAATTCTTATTTTGGCTCGAGTCTCTAAATAGTGTCTCGTACTAAAAAAAAAAATGTTGGCCACATCAGGTACATACTGCGCGGGATGAACATTTCAAACAAATCTTTCGAGCTAAATAAGATGGCAGCAGCTTTATTTTGAAGAGGCAACAACACTTCACTTCGAAGGATGCAGTCTGGGAACTGATACTAATAAACCTTAGCAGTTAGTCTCATAAAAATGCTAAAAGCCCTTTTTGGGAGACCCAAGAGAAAAGACAGCTCCGTTGTGTTGAGGAAGGCTGCATACAAACAAGAAGAAAGAGAACTAACAAGAAAAATCCAATGAATGTTTAATGAGAACTAATTGTAAAATATATGAGGAGCTAGTCAGCAGTCACCAGAAATACATTCTCATGGTCTCTGCTAATTAGGGGTGCCTGGTTCCAAAACCACATACGTGGCAGCTAGGAGAATATCCTTGCAACATCAAAAAAGAATCATATCTATGTCAAGCAAACACAATGGCATTAAATCTGCAGTACAATCAGTTTGGATGAACTATCTCCAACTAGGGATGTGGTATCCTATCTCACTTTCTCTTCCCACTACAGGTCTAAATGACATCGATATGCAAATACATGTAAGGAGGCTCACCACTTTAGGGCAGCAATGGGGAATCTTGTTCAACTTGAGGGCTGTGTTTCCTTGTGGACATCCTTCCGATGGTTGCAGGCCAGCGCTTGGTGTGGCCAGAGGCATTAGATATTCAGAGAAACATACAGAAACATATAGTACATTGCATTGTTAGAGTTCAAGGACACAAGCACTTGAGGAGAGCAGGTCTGGTGAGGGGTGTGGCCTAGGAGGGAGGGAAGAGGAAGAGGAAGGGCATAGCATAGCTAAGCTGGAAAAGGCTGAAAGGCCATATTTGTCCCCCTCGCCTGAAGTTTTCCACCCCTGCTTTAGGGGAAGGTCTACAATGTTGCAGGATCTTAGCCAGAACCTGTTGAATATAGCAGAGCATACGTAGACTGCCCAGAAGCAGTCAGTTGCAGGCAGGATGAAGCAGGAACAAGACGCTGCTACCAGTAAATTGGTTACTTATAGGTTTATTATTTACAGCAGACTCACAAGTTACTATATACAGAATACAGACATGGATCTTAACTCTCTCACAGAACAAACTCCAGCAAACTCTCAAACCACATACTGACCAACCAACCAACCAGGAAGGTCATGAGTCATCATGCCTATGTGGAGACTTCGGACAATAGCAGAGTTGTATCCAAGGTCCCATATGTCTAGGAAGAATAAATCCCTCTGCTCAGTCTTCTTGGCCTTGGGCCAACTCCTTAATTGCTTCTGTGGGAAGCTGCATCAGATTGTGCGTAGTCAAAATCCCAACATACAGCTCAATGGCAGAGCACATGCTCTGCACACAAAATGTCCCAGGTACAATCCCTGGTGTCTCCAGCTAGGGGTGAGAAAGTGTTCTGCCTGCATTTCTATGGACACCCAGTCAGGGTCCTAGACTCATAGCACTGGATACTGAATTAGATGGACCAAAGTTCTGTGCTGGTATAAGGCAGCTTCTAATACATCCTAAAACTCCAGTGGCTTTTTTGATCCATAAAAGCTGTTTCAAGATGGTGCATGTTTCATTCAAGGAAATTGAATGTTGCAAGTAACATTTGACTCTTCCCATTCCCATTTCTCCCCCTCCCCCATTCAAATCATGGGTTCATCCATGCAGGCCTAACCCTGGAAATTCAGAGAGGTGGCTGAAAAGGGGGAAAAAAGGTGGAGTAAGGAGTTCCAGTGGAAAAATGGCAGGTGGGGAAAGTCTTAAGTACCCAAGCTCTCGAGTTTGAGATTTTTCCTCCTAAAAGGATATCTGACATGCCAATGATTCTAATTTCACTGCAAAGCAACTATTCCAGTGCCCTAATAAATGCGTACAGTATTTCAATTCATACATAGGCCAATTTGTTTTTCCAGGTGGGAGTATTTCATTGGTTAGGGGAAGTTGTCTCTGGATCTCGGAGGAATAATATTTTATTGATTGGACGCAAAGCCCTCTTCTAATTTTTTGCCATGCCATAGTACTTGCTTTCATAAATCTTGTGCTCTCCTCAGCAAAAATCAATGCATGCTTATTAATATCATATTGATACATGTTTTCTGAGCAATAAAAAGTAATGTTTTACACATTCATTTAACTATGAAGGCACGCAGCATAGATTTTACAGTCGACAATAATTTCATGCATTTGGATGCACTATATTGACAGGTCTACCATTTCCTTCTGTTTATAACTTCAAATACTGAAATCATAATAATAATTGCTCTTTTTTTTAACCTTAAATTAAAATGCATACAGAATTAAATTACAAACTAACAAAATGAATTTCAATAGGAACAAATATAAGGTGCTACATTTAGGCAGGAAGATGGAGTGCAGCTGGGTTGTCAGTAATATATGTGAAAAGAATCTAGGGGTCTTAGTAGACCACAAGCTTAACATGAGTCAACAGTGTGATGCAGCAGCAAAAAAAAAAAAAAGCTTATGCCATACTAGGCTGCATCCACAGAAGGATACGTCCAGCCACTTTTGATTGATGGGGGTCTGTGTGGAGAGGGTAACAACGTTCAGATTTTTGGGCATTGAATTACAAGAGGATCTGTCCTGGAGTGTCAACACAAGGGGGCTTGTGAAGAAGGCGCAGCAGAGACTGTACTTTTGAGAATACTAAGGAAAAACCATCTTCCGTAGAAACTGCTGCTTGCCTTCTATCACTGTGCCATTGAGAGCGTGCTCACTTATGGTTTATGTGTGTGGTACGGAAGCTGTACTACCCAGGACAGGATGGGGTTGTGCAGGGTTGTTAAGGCAGCAGAGAGCATTGTTGGCTGCCCACTCTCCACCTTAGAGCAGATTTATGCCACAAGGTGCCATAGGAAGGCACTGGACATAGTAAAAGATCCATCGCATCCTGGTCACTGTCTCTTCGAGCTCTTGCCGTCGGGACGGAGATACAGGACGATGAAGACAAGAACGAGCCGTCTTAAGAACAGCTTCTTCTCCAGAGTGATCTCGGCCCTGAATGGGAAGCCCGGACTTTGAAAGTCATCTAATCTCCCTTGCTGTATTATACTGTATTGATTAATTAGTGTTTTTATGGAGCAGTCAAGTAATTTCGTTGTCCCCGAAGGGGGCAATGACAATAAAGATATTATTATTATTATTATTATTATTATTATTATTATTATTATTATAATGTCTAGGTCAAGAGAAGTAATAGTACCACCCTATTCTGCCTTGGTCAGACTGCACCTGGAGTACTGTGTCACACTTCTGGGAGCCACAATTTAAGGATATTGACAATCTGGAATGTGTGCAGAGGAGGGTGACCAAGGCAATAAAGGGTTTGGAAACCAAGCCTTTTGGGGAATTGGGTCTGTTTAGCCTGTTAAAGAGGAGACTAAGAGGAGTTCTATGATTCTAAGGGGAAAGAAATTGTGGTCTAAACCACAGAGCATAGGGCTTGCTGATTAGAAGATTGGCAGCTTGAATCCCCGCGATGCCGTGAGCTCCCATTGTTCGGTCCCTGCTCCTGCTCACCTAGCAGTTTGAAAGCACATCAAGTGCAAGTAGATAAATAGGTACCACTCCGACGGAAAGGTAAACGGCATTCCGTGCACTGCTCTGGTTTCGCCAGAAGCAGCTTAGTCATGCTGGCCACATGACCTGGAAGCTGTCTGCAGACAAACGCTGGCTCCCTTGACCTATAGAGCGAGATGAGCGCGCAACCCCAGAGTCGTCTGTGACTGGGCCTATCAACGGTACCTTTACCTTTACCTAGCATGACCAGAAGAAGCAAAGAACCGAACCCTTCCTTTGCACATGCTTCCCATCCACCCAACTCCAAGCAGTTGTTATGTTGCCTCACAGGGAGAAAAATGGCTGGGAGGAAATGCTTCTGAATGTGAGAGTACAGTGGGAGGAGGTTTCAGCCTATGTGGCCTTTTAAATCTTCTATGTTTTACTTAATATTGTGCCAACCCAATTGTGTAAGAGATGAGGCTGCCACCATCAGATCATCTAGTTGGGCCCAGTGTCCTCCCTGTAAAATTGGTCTGTATTATCCCCTGATTAGAGAGTGAACATGGGGACAGGGCTTGGGATGGCAAACTTACTGGCCTAAGGCCACCCAGTTTGCTCATGCTGAACTGAGATTTTAACCATGTACTTCCTGGCTCCTACATGGTCCTTTAACTGCTAAGCTAAACCGACTCTCAGAAGCAGAGCGTTTGCAATTCAAAAGACAAGTCCAAATCAGTTTTTCTCATTACATTTTAGGCTATTCAGACTTTATTTGCATTTACTCATTGCATTCAGGGGTGCTTCACTTCTGCTCTTTATTAGAAAAAAATAATAAACTGTGGCATTACTTGTTTATTGCACTGAAACGAAACGAATCTGGGGCTAATTAGTCATTAGCATTGTAAGCAGGGAAGGAAGTTATTAAAAACATAAGTGAAAATTTAATTGTAGAAGAAATTACTGATACAGAAGGCAACAATCTTAATTATTTCACATGCCTTAATTAGAGGTTCTAGAAGAAACAAGTCTATAAAACTAGTCTCTGATAATGGTTCATTCATAGTCTTAGATGCAAATGGCAAGTTAATGTTCTCAAGATCTGTGTAAAGGAACAGCATTTTGTAACTAAAAATAAGAGGCCACTGTTCAAAATTTGGGCACCATACACCTGTCTTGGCTATTACACAACCTTGATTCCACTCTATGAGAACAAACAGAGGTTATGAAGGCTCCACAATATATTGGATTGCCCTGTATTGCAACTGAATTATTTGCATAGTGTGAGAAATCTGATTTACTGTCTTGAGATAAGAGTCCCTAGAAGAGATTTCAGAGTAGTTTAAGCAGTAACAGATACCAGGATTAGGTAGTATTATTCACCCAGGCTCTAGAAAAAATGTAAATAATTAACTTTGGACTTCTTTCTATAGTCGGCCACTACAGCCTAAGAATGAAATGTAGTTATTATAATGCTTTTTTAAAAGGCTAATCATATTATCTCATGCTAGACACGTGGGTAAAATATGTGTAATTAGAAACAAATTAGTTAAATACGTGAATACATGCGGAACTAGAACCCAGTTTGCAAAGAATTAGCTGGTTAGTTAAAGTCAGTTTGTAAAATTCAGGACCCTCGCTGCTTCTTGGCAATTGTTGCCCGGTCCCAATGCTGCAGAGACATTATAAGTCATAGCTGGCAAAATTCTGGTGAACAGAACTGGCAATTCTGTTGAGGCCCCAGGCTCACCGTGCAATGGTGAGATGCAGAGGGCAATCAACATGATTCCTCCTAGGAGTCCTCAGCAACGCTGATGCCCATGCTGCTCCTTGGTTTCCCTGCGGTACTCTGGATGAGGAAACAGGCTAGATGACAACTGCAGCAATATGGCACAAAATTTGTTGGGAAGGTGACCAAGCTGACTTTAGAGTGCATGACTGTGCCTACTGTATGGTGTTGAGGGCAGCAAATAAATTGTGCTTTTTCACCTTCATTACATCCTCAATTAACTGCCCAGCAGTGCTTTTCCAAGTGGTGTGGGGTTTATTAATATCTGCCTCACCGAATGGGGAGTCCGGAGCCAGCATGGTGTAGTGGTTAAGAGCGGTGGACTCGTAATCTGGTGAACCGGGTTCGCTTCCCCGCTCCTCCACATGCAGCTGCTGGGTGACCTTGGGCCAGTCACACATCTCTGAATTCTCTCAGCCTCACTCACCTCACAGAGTGTTTGTTGTGGGGGAGGAAGGGAAAGGAGATTGTTAGCTGCTTTGAGACTCCTTAGGGTAGTGATAAAGCGGGATATGAAATCCAAACTCTTCTTCTTCTTCTTCTTCTTCTTCTTCTTCTTCTTCTTCTTCGGTGGTGCCTGCTAAGAAAAATTTGTGAGGCATTTTGTGGATAAAGTGGCTTGCTTCTGTGCAAATTTAAACACCATAGTTGAGACAGATGCAACGGAAATGTCCAGCATGTCTGATGTTATGGGATCTGTTTCAGCTTTTGAGTCCTGAGGACTCAAGGTGCTTATGGCTGCCTGGGCAATTGCCTCCCTTCTTAGTGCTTGCTTGTCAGTTAATTCAAGTGAGCTGGAGGAGTCTGATGTGATGAACACATCTTTACATGAAGAGGTTCTACTTATTTCCCATATAGAAGCAGTAGTGCAACTGGGCCTTTAAAAGCCAGCTCTGGAGGCTTGCTGCAAAATATCCCCAGGGTGGGGGAATGTGCTCAGCAGGATGGTAGCTGTTCATTTGCAAGTACTTTTGGAGGAAATGGATTATCTGAACACATTCTAGTCTGGGTTCAGGCCTGGCTGTGGGACCAAATTGCCCTTGGTCACCTTGATGGATGGCTTTTATTAGGAGAAGGCAGGGAGAGTGTGGCCCTGTTGCTTATTCTTGACTTGTGACTTTGGATACCATTGATGGGTAGTATCCTCAGGATACGTTCTGTAGGAGTCACTAGGTTGCAGTGGTTTGGCTCCTACATAAGGGGATGGTTCCATAAAATGTCATTGGGCTATTGTATCTTGGACAACTGGCAGCTGTGCCATTCCAAAAGGGTTCCATCTGGTTGTTGTTGGCATCTTTCTAACTCGGGAGACAATGGAAGAGTGTGCCTTTGGGGGTAAAGTCAAGTCTTTGGAGAGTCACAGCACCTGCTGTGGCTGTAGAGACCAACGCAGGAGAGACATGTTTTGTAGTAGGTGGGGCAGGTGAAGGCATCTGGTTTTCATTGCTACAGGTGCACCATGACGTTCTTCTCTCTGTGCTCCTCCTAGCGGAGAGGAGGAGTTCCATCTTGCCTCCAAGTTACTTTTACCATGATAATGCAAGTAGACGTGAATTAACATATAATATTTCTTCTAAAAAATATTCAAAACCTGCATTTGCTTTCATGGTAGGAGCTTTCCAAGTAACTCATAATTTCATGATTCCAGTGTCTTTCACATGGGTTGGCCCAACGTCTCACTTGCTCTTAAGTTTTTCACATCTACTTCCTTTAAATCCATCCTACAGAGAGGCCTTGTGATCATGCACATCTTATCCCCTGCTTTGTCTTTTATTTGCTCTCTCTGGGGCAGGGCTATATCTCCAAGTGTGTTTGTAGAAAGGTTTAAGCACACTGCCGCCTTACTCTTAACCAGGCCTCCCTGGCCTACTCCAAGATAGCTATTAAGGAGAATCAACAGGAAATTGTGATGCTGCAAACCTCTGAAGAGAGTTTCACCACCACAAACACAATTTAGTCAGCAGAATCTTCTTAAATGCAAACTAGACCCCTAGGATGGAGGGGGAAGTAATACCTTGAATAAACAGAGAAGCATTACAGCATACCTGGAAGTCAACAAACTTATTTTCTAGGAACAATGGGGAAAGAGTGTTCCCAAGTCAAGAGCCTTCACCAGTGCTCTGCTTTTAGTTACAGAAAATCCTTTCAATAACAGCTCCTCCACAGATTTCAAGTCTCAACAAACAACTAGACTGTTTGACTAGTTTGCATAACTTCCTTAATGAAGTCAGATCAAAGTCATATAGTTTTAGAGAGTTTTGCTATAAATCAAAACATTTGGTAAGTTCACATCTATGCAGACCAAAATATAAGGATCAATGTTAAATATGAACTGATCTCTAATAGTTTTGCCTTCAAAATGTTAGTTATATCATAACTTATTTACTTGAAGCACAACTCTTCCTAGTTTTGTCTACATCTGAATTTATTCATGAAATTATTTCTATTTTTCATTTTTAAAAGACTAATAATTCAATTAATAATAATAATATGTTGCCCCTCATTGTTTTGTTCTGTAACCTATGCATGTTTACTTGGAAGTGAGTTTTGCTATGTTTCATGGGACTTCCTCCCTAGTACGTGTTTTCTGTGAACTGCCCTCACACCTCCAGGTATAGGGCGGTATATAAATTCAATAAATAATAATGATAATACTTCATACTGTAGTTTTTGGCTGGGATCCTATAAGTTACCTGGGAATAAATTCTGCTGGACCCAGTGGTTCGTGCTTCCTCTGCATAATCTGAAGTTTTCTTATTTTCTTATCCAAACATTTGAAAACTATCTTTTTACAACTTCTGTATTTTACTAAGTATATAAAAGGATAATATTTTCATAGATAAATTATTTCAACATAAGCCTCTGCTGCAATCTCATGGCAAATACAGAACAACTCCAATGATGTTAATCAACAAGCACCAAGCAAAAGGGTCAGACCTATATGAGTTACACAAGAAGTGCTTAGTTTTCATCCACAACCATCATTGAGATGTAGTCTTTGTAGCGAACATTATTTGTTTCTGGATCCACAGCAGCAGACAGCATTTCCTCCATTTCTTCTTGAGTGAAAGGCTCACCTGCAGCAAAAACAGGAATATTTGCAAATGGCTATCGTTTTATTTATTTATTACTGCTCAGCCTTCTCAAGCATTCTTGCTATTTACCGTAAGTTTTTTCAATCACACCAAGAATAAAGGACAGACCTGGGTACTTTTTCTTTCATTGCATACACACATAATCATATAACAGATGAACTTGGTAACTTCTTAGCACAATTCAAAGTGCTGGTTTTCACTTTTAATGGCTAGCGATTCAAGCGTCTTTAGGGCCACCTTCCCCCACATGAACCTGCCTGATTATTAAGATCATTCTCAGAAAGTAAAATTAACTACGAACCCCCAAAATTGGGGTCCCCTCCAAACCTGGGCCCTTCTCAGAGGCCTTTTTCCGGGTTCCTGCACTATCAGAGGCAGAGGTGGGAGCTGACCACATATAGCTGTGGAGTCTGCACTTCAGAACAGCAAAAGCATCTTGTAAATATACCTTCTTCAGTCATGTACTTGACCAGCTCATCTTTAGTAAGATGTCCACATTTATTCTGGTCTAAAACCTAAAAAGAATAGAATATAAAGTGTTACTCTTCCTTCTCTTGGTTTAAGTAGTATTTTCCTCCGTAAGTAGAATTTAATTGATACAGACCTCAAATGCACGTAAAAGAATATCTTCTGGAATTGGGCGGTACCTGAAATGATTCAATTAAAAGAATACTTAGTGGTGTTATGTATCTCAGTTGTGCCCCAGTCTCTTTGCTGCTGCACCACCATTGCCTTGCTCTTCTCTTTTAAGAAGAGTATCGTTTGTTGTTGCAATCTGGGCTCTGAGAAAGACCTCTAAGCAGAGGTCTATGAATTACTTATGATGATGCTTACTTTGTACTGCTAATTAGGTAAAGTCATTATCCATGCCAATTTTTGTTCTCAGCATATCTTGCCATGGAATTTGTTACCATTTTATTTAAGAGAAAGTCTCTAGAAAGACATACACAATGAAGTCAAGACAGTGGAAGAATAGTAGAATCGACATGCCCAGTTTTAAAAACAAATCTATTATATTTTTTTCACAGTGAAGCTTATACTTTAAAACAGATTTTGTCTGTACAGCTTATAAAAGAACCTTGAATAAAATTAGATGTGTGTGTGTGTGATTATTATTATTATTATTAATAGAATTTATATACCGCCCTACACCCGGGGGCCTCAGGGTGGTTCACAGAATAAAATCAAGATATAAAACCACAAAATACGTAATAAACATAAAAACCACAACCCAATAGCCCATGCTATATAAATATATGCATGACTCAAGTTATATAAACAGGTCCTTTTTTAAATCACCTTCTTTCCGTCAATACTCTTGTCATCATGGGAAGAAATTTTTCCAAACGAATAAACCCAGTTGGTTCTTCTTCTTCTACCTAAAAATAAGAATACATGAGCAAGATGAAATACAGACAAACTGAAAAGAAAACGAGTTTGCTCAAGTTTAAGCTAGTAGATATTTGCAAACATAATAATAATAGAAAGGCAAATATCCTTCACATGGATGCATTGAATCCACGGACTGATGCTGAGAATAGGACATCTGCAGCAAAGAGCACTCAGATGTGGAGAGCAGAGAGGATACATCAGACCAGTCCCCATTCCTCTCCTTGCTCGCTGATCAGTGACACTGGCCACATACAGAATGCCTTCACACAAAGCAGAGTGCTCAGACACAGGGCCCAGAGTATGCATCTGCATGGGCATAATCAGGGTGGGAGTGTATGGTGAAAGTCTGAATCAGTGGATGCTCAAAACAGGAGGAGCAGAATGCCTGCAGAATGTACCACAAACACGTCCCCTTTAAACTACCTTGCACCAATATTAAAAAAAGGAGTTTGGGGTTTCTCTGATGTCAGCATAGGAACAAAGGAAGCCGATTTACAAAGAGTCAGACCATTGGTTTATCTACGCTGATTGGAAACAACTCCCCAAAGTTTCAGAATGAGGGCTTTCTTAGCTATACCTGGCAGGTCTTGAACTCTGAATCTTTTGTATGCAAAGCATGCACTCTGCAATTGAATTACAACCTGGTCCCCAAATAACTTCAGAATAGTGCTTGTAGTTCCTCGATACAGTATTTCAACTCCCGCTAGATTTGCAACCATTAGCAGGCAGCCTACACGTTAGCACAAATTATACTATGAGAGGCCAGTTATAGATAGATTTTACTTACCTAATACCTGGGTCAGCTGACACCAGTGATATATTACAGTGCAGAAAGCTATCTGATGCCACTTTGCTTTTCTATGTTAGGAAAGTCATGGGAGATTGGTCTCCACATTATACCAGAGCAGACTCTTAAATAGAAATTTTATATAGCAAAATATAATGACTCAATAAAATACACTAAATAAAATACGCTAAATACACTTTGTATTGGCAGACAATCCTATCTCAGTTTGAAAACATGCTGGGAGAATCACTGAGCATTAATAGGATGTGTTCTTATTACTGCCTGGCCTTCTTCCACCTGCCTTGCCCCACCCTCCAGTCTCTGCTTCTCAATTTGTATTATATTATTTTATGCACTGTGACTTGCCATTGTTTTATTGATTATAGTTTAGAATCTTTTTCTTACAATTGTTAAGAGCGGATTTCTGTTTAATTTTTATATGCTGATATTTAATATTATTCTATACTATTCTAATGGATTGCTGAATATTACTTTATTTGATATAAGTTGCTTATTTTAAAGTTATGTTTTATTATCACATTTTTGTATTGGATTAGATTGTTATAAGGTGTACATTCTTTGTTTCTTCAGCTTGTAAATCACTTTGGGTATTGTAAAATAGAAATACGGTATACAAATTAAAAGTGATGATGATGATGATGATGAAAATTAAGATTCTAACAAGGATACTAAGATGATTCTAACAATTACATAGGTTAAAGTTTGTTGTTTTAAACATATTGTTTGTTGACATCCAATTTGTTCATTATCATAATACTCCCAAGACTACACGAGACAAGCAACAGTGGGCATTTTCAGTAACTCAGCATTGTCCTCTAGTGGTAACAGTACATTTGTGCAAAACACTGCTCCTTCAAAACAGAATTTTTGAAAGAATAAAATGTTATTATATGAAATTGTTTACACTGAAGCAGTTATTTCTCTTGGAAGAAGGAAACCATCCATGAAGAACAGGATACCATTCATAGTCAAGATCAGAAAAGAACAGAGGAAGTCTAGTGGCAATGTGTAGAACAGACCTCTAGTTAAGGAATTGTTACAGAAGTGCTTTATCCACAAAAGTAAAGTTATACTTCTAAGACCTATTGACTGCATTCATTTTTTATACAGTAGCCTGTAGCATTACCAAGCCATTATTTTACTTCATCAATTTCACAGTTGAGTATTTCCTGAAAACTGGTATTTATTACAAAGGGGGGATTTGATTAGACAGTCCTGAGGTTAAAGTCATTAGCCCTATCTGGGCATTTGGTCTTGTCAGGTATAAACAAAGGTGCAAGGAGAGTGAGGGTGCACAGCTAAGTCCTGTCCCTGCAGAATTTTAATTCTTGCAAGGGTTTCCACCACAGATAAGGTTCCCTGCCTCAGTTTTTTTGCTCTCACATTCATGGAGGGCTCTGAACTGTGCACAAATGATGCACTTTAGGTATGGGTATAAAAGCAGTTCCTCCATATGGTATTTCTAACTTTTGTTCATTTAGGAAGAGAGATCAGATTTCCTGTATAAAATGACAGAACTTAAAAAACACATAAAGTACCTCTGCAATCATATCATGTAGATCCCCTTCACTTGGGCAGCATCCTAATGACCTAATGATTGTACCAATCTCCCTGAAAGAAAGAATGTATTTGTTAATAAATCTACAGTGCAAAACAAATCTTTAGCAGCTACAGTTGTGGGCAATTCCTCTTTTACCCAGCAGCTCCCCATACCCTACCTAAACATACCCTACTTACATTGCTTAGAAGCTGGCCAGAATATCACACCATTCAACATTGGAGTTAACGCTTTATTAGCAAAAACATGATCTTTACAGACTTGGATTTGTGTCAGGCCTAATGAGTGCAGCAGTTCGGTAGGCCTTACCCCATGATATCAGTTGTCTAGACTAAAGGTCCCCACCTCCCCTCAGCCTTCTATGTTCCCTTTTCTCCAGGCTTTTCCCAAGCAATCAGAGACTGCACCTCCTTGTCTGCATCTGCTCCTCCTTCTTCATGCCTTTTCTGGCTCTAGGAGTCAGTGGGGAGGGGAGCTTGTCTCAACAGAAGACACACCAGTGACTCATCACCAGCCTGACTCATCTCTGTTTCTTGACCTCCCTCCTCCCACTCACCTGCTTTAGCTTCTGCCTCTGTTTCTGGACTTCTCTCTGCCACTGTCTCCCAGCTCACTAAGCCCTGTTACCTCTTCAGCTTCTGACACCTTCTCTTTTCCCTCTAATCACTCATTGTTGTCCCACCACCACTCCCTGGGCTCTGAGCCTTCTTCCCCTGGTGGTTTCCCAGCTGGCTCCTCCCACCATTCTTCTCTGTCCAACCAGTTCATGGCAGGTTCTGACTCCTGATCCTCCAGAGAGGATTTTTAGGAGGCACAGACAGCTGCAGGAGGAAGAAGAGGACAGGAAACTTCCCTTGCATGAACATATTTTGTTTGTCTGTGTGTTTGTCTGTTTATTGTTTGTTTGTTTATTAAATTTCTATACCACCCTTCATCCAATGATCCCAGGGTGGTTTACAATATAAAAACACAAAAATACATAACATAGTAACAAACCAATACCTCCCATTCTACAGTGACTAGATACCTAAAATTACTTCAAATTTAGTCGGTGCTCTTGAGACCAAAGATACAAGCCTAGTGGCTAATTAAACATGTACCAGCAGCTCTCTTTAATAAAAAAATTAAAGATGAAATCAAGGAACTGTGCTTATTGAGAAAGTGTTACAAGATTTTGGGCATGCGTATCCTTCAAAGAAAATTAAAGAAGATACAGTAATCCTTTTTTTTTCTTTGCATGTCTGTATGGAAACAAAACAATTCTACAGGATGATGCTATAACCCAATTAAGTTGCTGTTGTAGGAGACAACCGCTAAAAAACAGTCTAAGAGTCTTTTGGCAATTTATGAACTATTTATTATAATGCCATAATAAATATTATTTTCATCTTTAAGGTACCACAAGACTCTAATGCTGTAGCTTTTGCTGTGGCTAACCTTTCTAGAAACTGAAATAGCTAAAAAGGCATCCTATACAGTTCCGTCATCCTTGCCTCCGAAACACTTTACAAATGCCTTTAAGTTTGTGCTGATGCCAGTATTCCAAGAGTACTTCAGATAAGGCAAAGGGAAACTACCAGCTGCCTAGTCCCCACCTCCATCCACTCATTGCCCCCTAAAAGCCACTGTATAGTTCGGGAGCTTCCCCGGAGTGCTGGCAAGGCAGTGTCAATGGCAGCTGCTGCTGCCTCAAAAGGAGTGAGGCTAATTCACAAGCCCTGAGGCAAATGCACAGTGGTACCTCAGGCGCTTCAGGTTACAGATGCTTCAGGTTACAGACTCCGCTAACCCAAAAATAGTACCTCAGATTAAGAACTTTGCTTCAGGATAAGAACAGAAATCACGCAGCGGCAGCGCGGAGACAGCGGGAGGCCCCATTAGCTAAAGTGGTACCTCAGGTTAAGAACAGTTTCAGCTTAGGAACGGACCTCCAGAATGAATTAAGTTCTTAACCTGAGGTTCCACCAATATACACCAACTCTGGTTTCTTGCACTCTAAAACACTGTTACATTGTAATAGTTCTGAAAGAAGATCTTCCAGACCTGACATCCACAGTTTTATTACACTCATGGTCAAACACCTCAAAAGCCTCAGTGATCTTCTTATGGATTTCAGTTATTGCAGACTCTGCAAAATGAAACAATAATGAATGTGTTATACTGTATATATATAATTTCTCTTGTCCACAGTATGACAAGATCTTTCTTATAACCAACCAAAGTGTCATAAAACAGTGAGGAATCTTCTGAGTTCTCAGTAATTCTTTATCAGATAAGGCATTTAGCAAAACATATTATTTATAAGTTTTGTTTGTTTACTTTGTGTGTTGTGAGCTGCTCTGAAAACAATTTCCTTTGTGTGAAGGCAGTATATCAAGTAAAACAGAAAGTCGGTGAAATGTAATTGAAATTTCTCAATCCGCTTTCTTTGAATGTGTCCCTTTAATCATTTCTGAAAAACTCCAATTGGTAATGACATTTCGGAAAGATGTTGCCTCCCTCATCCTAGTCATCTTAGGGCTAAACTAAATGCATTTTCACATCTCTAACCCTGGAAAGCATGATTTTTAAAAAAATAAAAAATCTGGGCATTGATGTTTGGGGGTTTTAAACATTTGCCCCGCCACAGTCCCAAGCAGAACCAGAGTCCGTCCCCTGCTCCATCAGCTATTTGCAGTGGAAGGCAAGCTCCCATTGGTAGTTATGGGAGCCGTCCTCACAGTGGAAAATAGCACATCCCCATAGCTGATTCAGATCAAACCATGGCAACTGGTGTCTGTCACACCACAGACCACATCCAGTTACCTACACACCAGCTATTCATTCATTTATTAAAATGCATTTTAGGTCTAAAGGCATAAAAGATCTGCATGCATACTTACTGAAGATTTTGATATAAATAATTTTTCATGATGAGGGTGCTGAATATACTAATTAACCAGGATAGGTTGACACTGGATTGTACCCAACTAAGTTCTACTCAGAAGAGACCCAGTGAAATTAATGAACCTAAGTTAGCCATGTCTATTAATGTTAATGGATCTGTTCGGAGTAGTACTAGCACTAGCTACTCTATTGCAAGTTACAGTGAAGGATAATTTACAGCACCATGCTAATGAGGTCTACTCAGAAGCAGGTCTTGTTGAATTCAGTGGAACTTGAATTCAGGTAAGTGGGGTTAGGATTGCACCCTTACTGCTGATTGAGGACATCTTTGTACAAGGAAGGTTCGGAGTGTTTTGTCCATTTTCTTTAAGTGGTTATATGCTAGAAGTCAAAGCCTGTTGAACAGTTGTGTTTTTGAGAATACACTGGAATACTGATTAAGATGAATTTGGCTAATACTGCATTTGGCTAATACTGTAACACAGCATATTAGAACTGGCCTAAGAATTTAATAGTAGTGTTTATACATTTATTATTTGTTCATTTCCTTGCAATAAAGAACATTGTATATTCTATATACATTTTTTCTTAATTTATTTATTTTTTGGCTACGATGTGTGTGGTTTTTTAGCTTGATAGTAAGCGGTGAAATTATTCATACTTACTTCCAGAACTATAGACCTTTTATTCACAGCATTTTAAACTTGATAATTAAATGGTAGCTTTATAATGAGTTTTAATTTAACGTGATTATTTGTCATGGTATAAACTATGCAAATTGCATTAATTCACATAGGTTGCAACCCTAATAAAATATTATCAGCAGTGGTCCCAGATATTTGGGAAATTTTAGGTGACTCTTAGTAAGTTATATTGGTTCCATCTCTTTGAGGATAGGGAAGGCAGGAATTTTCAGATCAGCTTTTCTGACTGTTCTCAACAGTACTCAGTAGTTTTTATGCTATTCCCTTGCATAAGGTAAAAGACCCCTGGACGCTTCAGGCTGAGGGTGCCAGTGTTTGTCCACAGTTAGTTTTCCAGGTCATGCGGCCAGCATGACTAAACTGCTTCTGGCACAATGGGACACCATGACGAGTGCCAGAGTGCATGGAAACATTGTTTAGCTTGGATAATAATAATGACAGTACCCCAACTGGTAAAGAGAATAAACCAGACAGCTGATGGGGGGGGAATCTAACTTAACTCTGAAATGTGACAGACCATGTTGTATTCTTCTTCTATGTTAATTTTCAGAATAAGGACTTCCAGAATGGTAGCCATGTCCATCTGTTGCAGCAAAACCAACAAAGAATCTTGTGGCAGCTTTCAAATTTAGCAAATGCATTGTAGCATATGCTTTCAGGGATCACAGGGTGCTCATAGCATAGTAAATTCACTCTATGTGAGCCGACTCTTGGTGTTGGTCCAGAGGCTGCAGCAGTGGCTACAGTAGGTTCATTTGGGCACAAACTACACTCTGCTTGTAGGATTTGCAATGGCTGCCAATTTGCTACTGGTCCAAGTTCAAGGTGTTGGCACTAGCCTATAAGGCCCTATACAGCTCAGGATCAGGTTACTTGAGAGATGGCATTATACCCTCAGCAGATCACTGCAATCCTTGGGAGAGTTTCTCCTGCAAGTTTCATACATCTCAGAAACCGCTCTGCAGTAACTCAGAGTAGGGCTTTTAGTGTGGTTGCCTCTGTTCTGTGGAACAGCATTCCCAACAGCTCAGGACTCAGATTTCTTAGTTTACTCCTGTCTTCACAGCACAGCAACCTCTTGAGGTGGAGCAACTCCTGTTTCCATGGTGCACTGGGCTCTTGAGGCAAAGCAATGACCCTAAAGCATTCATAAGCACACTTACAGTGAAGGAACTGCTACTAAACTCAGCAGAACTAACATGAGAATAGTTAGGAATACAGGATTTCAGTCCAAACTAACAAAAATGTATGAACTGCAAAAAACTTGCACTACTTTTACTTGCAAATGCAATTTCATTTGATCGAAATGGACCACCCATGGAAGCAAATATATGTACTTTTGGATATTTCTGCCAGTAACCAACAAGGCAAATAAATGCAGTATTGGATGCAAGGATATAGCCATGCCTGGCAATGTTCATAAGACAACTTTGTGACCCAGTTCAAGTTTCTACACCATGGACTGATACTGCTTGTGCACTATCAACAGGGGCAAGTCACCATATGTCCTCTTTTTCCAGGACATGTCCTCTTTTTTATGGGTATGTAAAATGAGAGTCGTCATAGCGATCCATTGTTAAAAGTAAGGTAAAGGGACCCCTGACCCTTAGGTCCAGTTGTGACCGACTCTGGGGTTGCGGTGCTCATCTCGCTTTATTGGCCGAGGGAGCTGGCGTACAGCTTCCGGGTCATGTGGCCAGCATGACTAAGCCGCTTCTGGCGAACCAGAGCAGCGCACGGAAACGGCGTTTATCTTCCTGCCGGAGCGATACCTATTTATCTACTTGCACTTTGATGTGCTTTCGAACTGCTGGGTTGGCAGGAGCAGGGACCAAGCAATGGGAGCTCACCCCATCGCAGGGATTCGAACAGCCAACCTTCTGATCAGCAAGTCTTAGGCTCTGTGATTTAACCCACAGCGCCACCCGCGTCCCCATTGTTAAAAGTAGAAGTCCGCAAATGTGTCCTCTTTTTTGCTCTTCAGAATATGGCAACCCTAGTTAGAGAAACCTTACTTTACATGTCACAAAAGCCATTTTACCTTTCTGAAGTAAAAAAAAAAAAAAGGTATGTTATATGCCTAATAATAGTCATTGCCTTAAACATTGCAACTGAGAGCATAATAAACATGACAACTGATGAAATGGCTCATGGTTGAGCCCATTCATCATATGTCTATGAGAATATTTCCACAATTAAAAGAGTACTAACTTATCAGCAGTCTCACTGAGTTCAAGGAGATTATTGCAGACAAAATGTTTTGTATATCAAAACCTTGATCAAAATGACATACAAAGAATATTTCAAGGTAATAAGACTCAAGAGATGCTTTAACCTTGAAAGCTCTTGGAAACTGTGCATGACAATACCCTGAAGATTAATTATTAGTCAATACTGTGACTGTTATTGCTCAGAGAGAGACAAAGAACATCTACTGAAATTTCTAATTTATACAGGAGCATCGGCTCACAGAATAAAAAGTAGGACCAAGACTTGTGTATCATATAATTCTGAAAGTGAGCTTTTAGGGAAATGCTGTTTACCACATTTCTGAGAACCAGTCATCAAATCAATTTATATAAACTCTTCCTCTTTGAGGAAAAAAAGCTTTTATCTTTCTTGTGTTCAGCTTTTTTATTGGCAATATCCAACAGAAGACTAGATCATTCCTGAAGTCTTCTGAAATATTAAATAATTGCCAGGGAGAAGTGTGGAAATTTCCCATCCTCCTAATATTTAAAGTTTTCAGCTAAGAAGTTATAACACCAAACAAGGTAAATCACTACCATGCACACACTCTGTTAATCAGCTATATAGGGCACCTATTTCAGATAGGGAATTTAGAGAAGATTACCGTATGTATGCATGTTTATACACCTTTTAAATAAATGGCAATTAAGCACTTAAATTTAAATCTTATATAAATCAATGGGATTTACAACTTGAGCCTAACCCAAGTTAGGCTTGGACAAGGGGGGGGGGCAAGGGGCAGCTCCCCCCCCAATCAAGTAAATCAATAAAAATACTTAACTGAGGTCCTGCGCTCCCCTCTGCAACTTTCAGCCTGGCTACGCCCATAGCCTAACCCAGTGTATTTTATTTTTGCTATACAAATATACCCACTAAACCTACTAACCGACAAAAAAGAATTTATAGCCCACCAAGTCACACATGCTAATGTAGATTTCGGTAGGTATCTGTCTCAGGAGAAAATGGAAGAGTGCACCTTTGAGGGTAAAGTCAAACCACTGGAGAGTTACAGCACCTCCTGTGGCTGTAGAGACTGATATGGGAGAGACATGTTTTGTTGCAGCTGGGGCAGATAGGAATACACTGTTGTTATGCTGGGCAAAACATATAGCTACTTTCAGCCCTGGAGAAATGTAATATGTGACACGACTGTCCAAAAAGGGCATCTATCTATTGCATACAGTGGTACCTCGGGATGCGAACGGGATCCATTCCGGAGCCCCGTTCGCATCCTGAAGCGAACACGGGCTGCGTTTCACCGCTTCCACGCATGTGTGTGATGTCATTTTAACCGTCTGCGCATGCGCGCACGGCGAAATGCTCTCCGTTACTTCCGAGTCACCACAGAGTGCAACCCAAAAATACTTAACTTGAAGCACATTTATCCCAAAGTATGACTGTACAGATAAATGTGAATTAATGTGTAACGCCTCTGACATAAGTAATAATATTTATTATTTATGCCCCACCCCATCTGACTGGGTTTCCCCAGCAAACTGAATTGTGCCCTGCTTATAAAAATTACATTATATTTTTAATACTGATGATTTCGTTATGCAAAATAAAACTATATGGGATAGCTCAGTTGGGAGGGAATGAGACTCTTAATCTCACAGTTGTGCCCGTGTTGGGGAAAAGATTCCTGGGTTGCCATGGGTTGGATAAGATGATCTTGTGGGGAGGTCCCTTCAAACTCTTACGATTCTGTGAAATATGGGAAATATGTACGTCAAGCAGTTAAAGAGCTGAAGAAATTGCGTGTGACAGTGTGAAGTCAGCGGGCGAATATTTCCAGCGCGGGATGTGAAGCAAGTTTCGCATTCAGGCAGTTCTGCAACACCCACATTTTGGGGCTGTTCTCAAAAGGCATCCTGCTGAATTCTTCTGCCATGTTGAAGATGAACGTGCCATCTTGCAGGGTGGGAGGGAGACAGGCGTGCGCGTAGACCCAGCGGGGCTCCGACCCGCCCGCCCAGCCTGTGTTTTCTGGGCTTCACTACTACTCCGCAAGACAAAGCCTAAGGATAGCACAGGGGATAAAGGCCGAGAGAATCAGCCAGCTGCTTTTCCTCAGCCTCCCGGAGGCTTTGCCCTTACCCGCTGCAGCGGCTTCCTTGTCCTCAGTCGCCATGCTGTTTCCTTAGCGGTTGCCATGGAGACACTGGAGCTTCACAGGCCTTCTCCCTCTCCAGCGCCTCGGTGGTGGCAACGCGCACAGGCGGATTTCTGTGTGTCGGTCCGTTCCTACGTGTTCTTGCACTGCGGTGCTCTCGTAGGAGAGAGTGCTTAAGAAAGCGGCCATGGGGAAATATCAGGAAACAAATGCACGGGGAGCAGTTTGAAATGCGTTGTGTTTCTTGTTCCTATATATATCGTACACATAGCGGCTGCATTGCATTGCACTGCTTGCGTAAAGTGCTCTCCAGTTCCAAAGCAATATGCGCGCGCACTTTCTCACACGCACACTTTATGCTCTCAGGCCCAAGGTATGGGTTTGCTAGAAGGGAGGGCAAGAAGGTCTAGCAGAAGGGGGAGAAGGGCATTTTTAGAGACTTTTTTCTAATCACCTTAGCATAAGTGTGCTGTAAGAAAAAACAAAACCAAACCCCACTTTACGTAAGTTGTCATTTTGCAGGAGAAGGGAAAAAACCCTACCAACACTGAGCCCCATGCACACTGACTTGACCAGCTGCAGAGGAGGGATGTTCTGGTTCTTTGCTGGCGGAAACCTCCTTGGCAGCATCGACAAGCTGTCTGAAGTATGATTTAATTCAGAAGCATGTGCCCAAATAACAATAATATAAATGTTCTCCCTAATTAGGCATACTATCTTTTTCTCAGTCAAAAGCTCTGGGTCTTTTATAGCTGATGAACACACAGAAATTCAATCTTGGTTGCACTCCTAGACATAGAAGTAAGTGTTAAGGTCAATTGGACTTACCACCAGGTAAGTGTATATAGCAGGGATGGGCAGAAAGTAGATTTGTATTTACTGACAGATTTCTGGGTGATTTCCAGTTGATCCGTGAGGATTTCTGACTCCCAGTTATTTAGCCACAGTAGCAAATGTAGGAAAAAACAGTAGCAAAAAACTAAGATCATGGCCACGGGCCCCATCACCTCCTGGCAAATAGAAGGGGAAGAAATGGAGGCAGTGAGAGATTTTACTTTCTTGGGTTCCATGATCACAGCAGTCACAAAATTAAGACACCTGCTTCTTGGGAGAAAAGCAATGACAAACCTAGAGAGCATCTTAAAAAGCAGAGACATCACCTTGCCGACAAAGGTCCATATTGTTAAAGCTATGGTTTTCCCAGGAGTGATGTATGGAAGTGAGAGCTGGACCATAAAGAAGGCTGATTGCTGAAGAATTGGTGCTTTTGAATTATGGTGCTGGAGGAGACTCTTGCGAGTCCCATGGACTGCAAGAAGATCAAACCTATCCATTCTGAAGGAAATCAGCCCTGAGTGTTCACTGGAAGAACAGATCCTGAAGCTGAGGCTCCAATACTTTGGCCACATCGTGCGAAGAGAAGACTCCCTGGAAATGACCCTGGTGCTGGGAAAGATTGAGGGCACAAGGAGAAGGGGATGACAGAGGACGAGATGGTTGGACAGTGTTCTCAAAGCTACCAACATGAGTTTGACCAAACTGCGGGAGACAGTGGAAGACAGGAGTGTCTGGCGTGCTCTGGTCCATGGGGTCACGAAGAGTCGGACACGACTAAACAACAACAACAACAAGCAAATGAATGACTCCCCCTTCCATCTTTTTACTACTGAAATGAAGCTTGGGGTAAGCAGGGGTGGATTTTTATGTGAAAGAGTTGTGAGCTCTATGCAGTTCTGGTACTAAAATTCCTGTGCTCAGTTTTTTAATTCTATTGCTACAGTCCTAGCCCCACTTAACCTGGGATTAAGCCACCTTGAATTCAATAGGAGTTACTTGTGAGTAGACATGGCTAGAATGGCACTGTTAGTATATTGACTTTTGTACCAAATTCTGGATGGTGCCTCTCATGGTTTTAGTAAAAATAAAAATAAAATAGTAGATCCTGGAAGGCTGAACTCTCTGCTCCCCTGATGTCCATGGCAGAATCCTGAGTGTTGATGCTGCTCAAATCAGTCTGGAAGTACATACTTTGGATGCCATACTGTCTAATTTCATATATATATATGGAGTCTGCTATGGTTCTTCAGATTGAGGAACATGCACACTGTAAATAGATAATTATTATTAAGATCTTCCATTGTAAACAGGTGGTAAGATTGTGCCCAGACTCAAAACAGGGATGGGGAATGCTGCACCCCTTGTGTTACTAGAGAGCTTATTTTTCATCTAGATCTCAGCTCACTTTCTTTCTTTGCCCATTTCAAATGCAAAACTGCTGTTTCTCATACCCTTCTCTCCAGGGCACAGGTCTGTGCCTCATTCATTCAGATGAATTGCCCATTCAGGAAATATCCACAGTCATTAAGAAACATTAGGACTCTTTTGTCAAAGATGCTGGCTATTCAGTGATCAGGCCAGTCAAATTCACAGCAGTTTGCCCTCACAGAAAACATTTGCAACTATGCTGAAATAAGTTGCTATGATAGCCAAAATGACTGGCTCCAATTTTCCTAAGGAAAAGACTCCTAAAAAGATTTACAATTAAATTTAAAGATGTAAGAATGAAACACACAAGAGCATTCACTGGGTAAGTAATCCACGTATTACAAAGGTATTTCCTCATCACCAATAAATGGTTTCCCTTCAGTCAGACTTTCAATATTAGCAGGACAAAAGGTGATGCTTGCCTCTTTACCCAGGTACATGCTGTTTTGCATGAAGATAACATTCCTTTCAGGCTTGCAGCTTCATTGTCCTCACAAACAAGTTATAAAGTTGTTCTTTATACAACTTTATACAAGCTGCCACCACCCCCACCCAGCTCCCTCGTCCACATTTTAGATGATTTGGCATGCTTGAGACAATTCTGCTTTGTAACATTCATCTCTTCCAGTAACCCACCTAAATAAATAGAAGACTATAGCAGATAGAACCTTTTAGAAGAAATTTATTATCTTTCCTAAATAATCATAAAATTTAATCCCTCTTGAGCTGTGCTTCTCTTTGTCCTAAAGCTGAGTAAAATCCCAGGTCTGTAGAGATTCCTGCTGCTTAGCAAAGGGTCTGGAGAAACATTTCCCATGAATATCAAATGGACATTCTGATCAAATTCTCATTCTTTCTTTTTTCTTTTTTGCTGCTCACTTATTGGAACAGTTTCTGCCTAGCACTATGGTCCAAACTGTGGTTGTAAGGCTGGTCACATCTGAGGGTATATCCTATTAGATTAGCAAAGCTTTTCCGTATAACCCTCATTTCTGTCCCTCATCCTAGGTACTTATACTGGTAAAGACTTCAAATACTAAGAGTTGGATTCCTCTGGCTATTTTTCTCCTGTAAGCTGTGGGCTTCCTGTTTGCTGCCACTGGAAGACCTCTCCCTCTCTGTTGCTCAAATTACATTCACATCCTGCTTTTCTTCAAGGTGATGCACATGCCCCCCTCCCCCATTTTATGTAAATGGCCCATGACAACCCACTAAGTTTCATGGCTGAGTGGGGATTTGAACTTTTAGTCCTCTTTGTCGTGGTCCAACATTCTAACATTGGGCTGTGTTGGTTCAAATGAGACCAAGAAGCCTACAAAGGATTTCTCTGCAAACATTGCTCCTGCTTGTGGATGGTTCCCTTTCAAATTATTTCCTTCCAGCATGGGCTTCCACATTTGTATTTCACCTGTACTTTATCTTTCATGGGTATACATAGGTTAGTATATAAAATGTGATTGGGGAACCTGTGACCCTCTACATATCACTTTAGTGCATCATCCTTGTCTGTTTGCTATGCTGACTCCAACCTCTGGAGGGCTACTGTTTCTGTACTTCTGCTAAAAGGAGTGCGTCTTCATCTATGGAGGGCTATTGTTTCTGTATTCCTGCTAAAAGGAGTGCTTCTTCATCTATGGCTGCAGCCTTCAACTGTTGCAGAGTCTTTTTCCAGCATCTTGCCTGGCTCTTTTTTCCTCCAGCTGATGGACTCCTGGATATGCAAAACAATTCGGCAACTAACTACAATACTTCACAATCTAAACACAGCAGACTTTGACTGATTTTCTTGTCTGCCAATGAATCCTGTGCCTTACAAAATCTCCCAATTTTTCATTGAAAGTGCACCCTAAGATAAGGTTACCAGACGTCCCCGTTTCCTGGGGACAGTCCCCAGATTTACAAATCAGTCCCTATACAAAAGCCATTGAAGTTGAAAAGTGTCCCCAGATTCATTGGGGAAAAAAATCTGGTAATCTTACCCTAAAGCATACTCGACACGCCCTACAAATCCAGATTTTAGATCAGTAGTGGTGTGTAAACAAACTGTCCACTACAGATCTTCTCATAGAAGCATAGAACTGTAGAGTTGAAAGGAATCCTGAGGGTCATCTAATCCAACCCCCTGCAATGCAGGAATAAAGGAACACTTGATCAGTTTCCAAGGAACACCAGGATTTAACAGAATGCAGTTTGTTTACCAAATGCTAGGAACAAGTAACTGGGAATGGCATCCTCTTCATATTCTGCATGCAAACTACAGAGACATATGATTGGTTGATGCTGAAAATCAATTGTTGGTCTAAATCAATAATTTTTAGACACGTATTCCTATAAAGATGGAGATTCCATTTAGGCACCATGGCTAATGGTTTTGATGTGCACTCCAATACCATGCATGTTTACTCAAAAGTCAATGTTAATTTTTGGAAAATAATCATGCATTGTTTGAAGATATATGCTTATTTTGGTTCACATCAACCTATCACTGTTCAATTCAAGTGGACACCCCTGAATTCTAGTACCTTTTAAACTTTCAATCCTTCCCATAATTTACTACCCAGCACCGCAGTCCTATGCAGATTTACTAGGAAGCGGATGGCGCTGTGGTCTAAACCACAGAGCCTAGGGCTTGCCGATCAGAAGGTCGGAGATTTGAATTCCTGCAACGGGGTGAGCTCCCGTTGTTCGGTCCCTGCTCCTGCCCACCTAGCAGTTCAAAAGCACGTCAAAGTGCAAGTAGATAAATAGGTACCACTCCATCGGGAAGGTAAATGGCGTTTCCGTGCGCTGCTCTGGTTCGCCAGAAGTGGCTTAGTCATGCTGGCCACATGACCCGGAAGCTGTACGCCGGCTCCCTTGGCCAATAAAGCGAGATGAGTGCTGCAACCCCAGAGTTGTCCACGACTGGACCTAACGGTCAGGGGTCCCTTTACCTTTAGGCCCTGTTGAGATCAATGAGATTTGAGTAAGTATGGATAGAATTGAGTGGCATGCAGTGTTTTTACTGTGACCCCAGGGTCTCTGTGGTAGTCATGGCAATGGCTTACTGTTAAGTAAGGATTGGAAACTAGAAAGAAAATAACTTGCTTTTCCTCTGTTTTCATCACCTGCCACTCCTGCATAATATTGGACAGAACTATAGTCTTCACAGCATGCTGTTTTCATACTGCTGTGGAGAGTTTCCATCTACGTATCTGAAAAACCCAGGCAAGCCACATTCCTAAATTGGGCTGTGTACACACGGCAGTTTAAAGTGGAAGCATGCACTTCTTATTATTTGGGTTCTTATCCATGACATGTATAGCGTTGTCCCATAAGTGTACTTCTACAAACTAAATTAAAATATGTGCTACTATTGGTCAAGCTGTCACATGGGGCTAGTAGGTGGAGAAAAGTACGTACATGATGGACATGTGAGCAGAATGAACCCACCACGCCATGACAAGGGCCTGCTCTTATTGGGTGTGGGTAGTGAGCCAGTCACATCCTTTATTCTTATTGGTAGGGCCAAGGGGTGAGCCACCTCAAAATGACTAGATATACTGCGGAATTTCAAACTCTAGCCCAGACTACATCTTTGGTTGGGGGAAACTCAAAATCTTCTCTGACAGATCAGGGGCAATGAGACAGCCATATACATTGGTCAAATGTTACCCTAAAACAAACTCCCCAGTTATATACAATTTCTATTAATTTTATATCAATTCATAGGTAGAAAGAAAGAAAGAAAGAAAGAAAGAAAGAAAGGTAGATAGGACTTCCAGTAATAAGGGTGCAGGGTTACACGACACTTTCTGTTTAACAAAAAAGCAGGCACTATATTCTTGGTAGCTTTGCCTTTCCTAGAGCACATGTTGCTTTTTAAAGCTTGCAAAACTGGTTTGACCAAAGATGGTACCTGACACATACATAAGTATGTGTACAATGACAGAAGTGATTTATCTACAACTGTTCTTTCATATAGCTGAAAAAGTTACCTGGTCAGCCTCTATAGCAGGCATAGGCAAATTCGGCCCTCTATATGTTTTGGGACTACAACTCCCATCATCCCTGACCACTGGTCCTGTTAGCTAGGGATGATGGGAGTTGTAGTCCCAAACATCTGGAGGGGCGAGTTTGCCAAGCATGCTCTATAGAATCCTAGTTATGCAATGAAAAGTGTGCATGTGTCTGTCTCACAAAGTTTTTATGCCATTTCTGAAAAGGTTCCTACCAGATTTTCAATTTATATGTGCTCCTTTTATTGGGTACAAAGACAAAAACGTAAATAAAAGAGTCTTCAGAAGACAATGGGTCATTGTGTCTGGCTGTTAACCAGAAGGTTGGTGGTTTGAGCTCACCCAGGGACAGCTGTGGGCTGGATTCCTTCATTGCAAGGGGTTGGACTAGATGGCTCTTGGGGTCCCTTCCAACTCTAATTCTATGATTCTGTATTAATTACTTTATTATATATAATGGCACAATGGTCTGCTGAAGTTGCATGAAAGATTTCAATGAGAATTAAACCATGTTCTCACAATGAAAGTGATTCTCTTAACTTAATGCATCTCTATTAGGAAACTTATTTATATTTCTACTTAATGTTTGCATTCATAAATGGATTGAACTGAGGATAGTCTTTTCAAAATAATCTTATGAAACCTGTTTCTATCATTTGTATTAAGCATTCCATTAATTTTAAGAAAGCAGGTTCTAGAGCCCCAGGGCCTCCATAATAAGTTTATATCTGGAATATCCAAAAGCTAAATCTCTTGCTCTTTCACTCTTTCTTACAGTATATTTTTATGTGTAAAAAGAAAGCTTAGTTAACCTGCATCACAGTAGCCAATGTGACTACCTCCAGATGTCGCAGGATTACAATTCCCATCAGCCCCAGCCAGCAGACTCAATGATCAGAGATCATGGGAGTTGTAGGCCAGCAACTTCTAGAGGGCACCAGGTAAACTGCCAATGATCTGCATAATGTGGGCCTATCAAGTTTAGATTAAGTAATGAAAGGTTCTCACGGTTTACGTATTATGCTGTTATGCACATAACTCTTTGCACTTAAATGATACTTAGGCCTATCTATTTTGATGTTGAAAAACTTCCCATGGATTTCTAATTTTCAGGGGCCTATTTTTATTCCCAAATGGGTATCCAAGACTGCCTGACCCAATACCATCTACAGGAGAACATGGATGGGAGACATTTGAGGGATTGGCTCTTTGGGTCTGAGGCAGAAAGAGGCCGGACTTTTATTACTTTCTCGAAGTGCTCACCATGGTTTCCACTTATTAAATCTGTGAACTTTCGAGCTAGTTATTTGAAAAATCTTTTGTCTGCCCTGTAAAGAATCACCTTTACAGAGCTGTGCTTCCCGTCGATGCCTTCAGTGCTTCTGGACGGACAGTACAGTAAAATATGCTGCGAGGAAAGACTCCCTGGGGGCAACCATGCATGGAGGACATATAATTATGCCATTACTTATTGCGATGCCCACACAAACCCAAGCATGGGCATAGCCAGGATTTATGGGTGTGGGTGTGTGCAGAACCTCAGTTAGTTAAGTATTTTTATTGACTTGTTTGGGGGTGGCAGCTGCCCCCCCCCCCGCCTGCCTTGGTTATGCCCATGGACCCAAGGGACTGATTTATAAAACCTGTGTTTGCAAAGGACATTAATTTAACCAGGGCAGAGAGGGTGAAATGGCTGCTGAGTGACGCTGATAACTCTCTAATTTAGAAAGTAGCTCCCTATGCCCTGGAAATTGGCAGCTAGGAAGATTATGGCAAAATAATTTGATAAACTAGCAAATTTAGTTTTTGGAGATTTAATTTGTATACAGTGGTACCTCGGGTTACATACGCTTCAGGTTACAGACTTCGCTAACCCAGAAATAGTACCTCGGGTTAAGAACTTTGCTTCAGGGTGAAAACAGAAATTGTGCAGCAGCGGTGCAGTGGCAGCAGGAGGCCCCATTAGATAAAGTGGTGCTTCAGGTTAAGAACAGTTTCAGGTTAAGAAAAGACCTCCAGAACGAATTAAGTTATTAACCCGAGGTACCACTGTATTTTGTATGAGAATTACCTCTTATCCTATGTAACAAAGAATTTAAGCAGATTTAACAGAGGCTTTATTGTATATGTAGCGATTGTTCATGTTTTTGGATGATTCAATGGCCTTTGGCTAGTGCAAGAAAGTTTATGATGATGATTGAGAGCTTGCAGGGCAGCAGCTGAAGAAGGAGCAAAAAGGGTTTTCTTGTGTGTGTGTTTCTTTGTGGCTGATTAGCTGCTCTCCCTATGCAAAGGTCAGAGGGGGCAGGGTTTCTGTTGAGGCAGGTGATTAGCTGTGGGAGGAGCTTATCAGAGCTTGCAGGGCAGCGGCGCGTGCAGTTTGATCCATCTTTTAGATTTAGGGGAGCTAGTCTCAAACGTTTGTTGGGGGAGACCTAGGTTTTTTTTTTGGGGGGGTTATTTGTCCTGTCTTCACGCTTTTTATGATGGAGGACTGCTGTAGCCACCCCCAACGACACGTTCTCAAGATGGAGGGGGAGGGAACAGCTGCAGTCGCCTGCGGTTCCTGCGCAATGTTTGCCATCTTGCCAAAGGTTGCAGGCAACTTTACCTGCAGCAATTGCATGTTGATTGCCCTCTTAGAAGACAAAGTCCAGCAACTGGAGGAACGTGTAGCTACGCTCCAAAGAATTAGAGAGCTGGAGCTCTTCTTGGAAGCAACAGAGCACACCGTCTCCACCAAGGAGGAGACAGGGGACTCCCCTGAGAAGGAGGCTAGTTCACCAACACAGGAGCCAGATATATGGAGAAACGTGACTCAAAGAAGTAGGAGGCCCAGGGTTCGCTCTGATTGTTTAGAAATACACAATCGCTTTGAGGTCCTCTCCCCTAGCATGGAAGACGAAGAGCAGACTCCATTTGAGGATCTCTCCTCATTACAGTCGATCAGGTATATGAAGACGAGCAGCAAAGTCAGTCCTCAGGGAATGTGCAGGCGACCTTGGAACGGACAGCTCACGGAAGAACCCCGACCAAACCTAAGAGGAGGCGTGTAGTGGTGATAGGGGATTCCCTACTGAGGGGAACAGAAGCAGTGATCTGTGGGCCTGACAAGATGTCTCGGGAAGTGTGCTGTCTCCCGGGGCTAAGATCCAAGATGTAACTGAACGACTGCAAGGAATCATAAAACCCACTGACAAATACCCCTTCCTCTTGGTTCATGTGGGAACCAATGACACTGCAAGCAATAGCCTCCAGAAGATCAAAAGAGACTACGAGGCTCTGGGCAGGAAATTGAAGCAATTAAATGCACAAATTGTCATCTCATCTGTCCTCCCAGTTGAACGAGGTGGCCCAGGGAGAGAGGAAAAATAGTGGAAGTGAACAGCTGGCTTCGCAAATGGTGTAAACAGGAACGGTTTGGATTCTTAGATCACGGACTGCAGTTTCTTGAAGATGGACTTCTGGCAAGCGATGGGCTGCACCTCACAACGGTTGGGAGGAATGTTTTTGCCAAAATCTCAGAAACTTCATCAGGAGGGCTTTAAACTGACTAATGTGGGGGAGGGAGACAGTGCTCCTGAAGGTAGGAGTCTATCAATTGATGAAAATGATCATCCAAATGTCATAGACCAAATGGAGCAAACAGCACGCAGACCTAGTGGTGGGAGGAAAAAATCCTTAAATAAGAGACACGGGGGAATGATTAATGGACTTCAATGTCTGTACACTAATGCGCAAAGCATGGGAAATAAACAAGATGAGCTTGAGCTCTTGGTACAGCAAACTAAATATGACATAATAGGCATCACTGAAACCTGGTGGGATAAGTCCCACAATTGGAATGTAATAATGGAGGGATACAATCTATTTCAGAGAAACAGACCAGACAAGAAAGGAGGAGGAGTGGCGTTATATGTCAGGGATGTGTATACCTGTGAAGAGATCCAAGATTTAGAACCTCAAAGCCAAAGTGAGAGCATTTGGGTCAAAATTAAGGGAGAAGAATAACAGTGACCTCATTGTGGGAGTTTACTATAGATCCCCAAGCCAAACGGAGGACATAGATGATGCCTTCCTGGAACAGATGGCCAAGCATGCAAAAGGAAGGGAGATAGTAGTAATGGGGGACTTCAATTACCCGGATATTTGTTGGATGTCAAACTCAGCCAAGAGCATAAGGTCAAACAGATTGCTCACTGGCCTTGCAGACAACTTCATTGTCCAGAAAGTGGGAGAAGCAGCAAGAGGAACAGCCATTTTAGATCTGGTCCTAACCAATGTTGATGACCTGGTTAGTGGGGTAGAAGTGGAAGGATCATTAGGCGTGAATGATCATGCTCTTCTGAAGTTTACTATACAGCGGAAAGGAGCAGCCAAGCATACTAGGACTCAATTTCTTGACTTTAAGAAAGCCAACTTCATAAAACCTAGGGAAGTGCTGGGTGAGAGCCCATGGACAGTAATACTAAAAGGAAAGGGAGTTCATGATGGCTGGGAGTTTGTTAAGAGGGAGATAGTAAAAGCACAACTTCAGGCAATACCAATGAGACGGAAACATGGAAGGTGCCTAAAGAAGCCAGGGTGGCTATCTAAAGAACTTTTAACTGAGTTAAGATTAAAAAGGATGTGTACAAAAAATGGAAAAGGGGGGAAATCACCAAAGAGGAATTCAAACAAATAGCCAGCACGTGTAGACACAAAGTCAGAAAAGCTAAAGCACAGAATGAACTCAGGCTTGCTAGAGAGGTTAAAAGCAACAAAAAAGGCTTTTATGGGTATGTTCGTAGCAAAAGGAAGAACAAAGAAACAGTGGGGTCACTCAGAGGAGAAGATGGTGAAATGCAAACAGGGGACACAGAAAGGGCTGAACTCCTCAATGCCTTCTTTGCCTCAGTCTTCTCCGATAAAGAAAACAATGCCCGACATGAAGAATTTGGAGCAAATGATTCAGCAGAGGAAACACAGCCCAGAATAACTAAGGAGATAGTACAAGAATACTTGGCTAGTTTAGATGTATTCAAGTCTCCAGGGCCAGATGAACTGCATCCAAGAGTATTAAAAGAACTGGCAGATGTGATCTCAGAACCACTGGCAGTCATCTTTGAGAATTCCTGGAGAACAGGCGAAGTCCCGGCAGACTGGAGGAGGGCAAATGTTGTCCCTATTTTCAAAAAGGGGAAAAGAGAGGACCCAAATAATTACCGCCCAGTCAGTCTGACATCAATACCAGGGAAGATTCTGGAGCAGATCATTAAGCAAACAGTCTGTGAGCACCTAGAAAGGAATGCTGTGATCACCAATAGTCAGCATGGATTTCTGAAAAATAAGTCATGTCAGACTAACCTGATCTCGTTTTTGACAGAATTACAAGCCTGGTAGATGAAGAGAACGCAGTGGATGTAGCCTACCTTGATTTCAGCAAGGCATTTGACAAGGTGCCCCATGATATTCTTGTAAAGAAGCTGGTAAAATGCGGTCTTGACTATGCTACCACTCAGTGGATTTGTAACTGGCTGACTGACCGAACCCAAAGGGTGCTCATCAATGGTTCCTCTTCATCCTGGAGAAGAGTGACTAGTGGGGTGCCACAGGGTTCTGTCTTGGTCCCAGTCTTATTCAACATCTTTATCAACGACTTGGATGATGGACTCAAGGGCATCCTGATCAAATTTGCAGATGACACCAAACTGGGAGGGGTGGCTAACACCCCAGAGGACAGGATCACACTTCAAAGCGACCTTGACAGATTAGACAACTGGGCCAAAACAAACAAGATGAATTTTAACAGGGAGAAATGTAAAGTCTTGCACTTGGGCAAAAAAAATGAGAGGCACAAATACAAGATGGGGGACACCTGGCTTGAGAGCAGTACATGTGAAAAGGATCTAGGAGTCTTGGTTGACCACAAACTTGACATGAGCCAACAGTGTGACGCGGCAGCTAAAAAGCCAATGCAATTCTGGGCTGCATCAATAGGAGTATAGCATCTAGATCAAGGGAAGTAATAGTGCCACTGTATTCTGCTCTGGTCAGACCTCACCTGGAGTACTGTGTCCAGTTCTGGGCACCACAGTTCAAGAAGGACACTGACAAACTGGAACGTGTCCAGAGGAGGGCAACCAAAATGGTCAAAGGCCTGGAAACGATGCCTTATGAGGAACGGCTAAGGGAGCTGGGCATGTTTAGCCTGGAGAAGAGGAGGTTAAGGGGTGATATGATAGCCATGTTCAAATATATAAAAGGATGTCACATAGAGGAGGGAGAAAGGTTGTTTTCTGCTGCTCCAGAGAAGCGGACACGGAGCAATGGATCCAAACTACAAGAAAGAAGATTCCACCTAAACATTAGGAAGAACTTCCTGACAGTAAGAGCTGTTCGACAGTGGAATTTGCTGCCAAGGAGTGTGGTGGAGTCTCCTTCTTTGGAGGTCTTTAAGCAGAGGCTTGACAACCATATGTCAGGAGTGCTCTGATGGTGTTTCCTGCTTGGCAGGGGGTTGGACTCGATGGCCCTTGTGGTCTCTTCCAACTCTATGATTCTATGATTTTTATTTCCAGTTTCAGTTAAAAGCATATTCAGAGCTGTATGCCTGTGGAAACTTACCTGGGAGGAAGCCGCCTTGGGCTTAGCTCTGCAGCGGGCAGAGGAGGCTATTGCCCAATACAAAATACTTTTAAATGCGCCTGGAGCAGAGCACAGAACGTTAACATTTTGATATCCAACCTGCAGCCCAATCCGAAAACTGCATTCTTGAAAAATAAATACAATCTAGCACTGCATTTGAATGTTTAAGTGTGGAGTTTCGCAGCCTTTGGGGCGCCACTGGTTCTGCCGCGCGAATATTACTGAACTATATTACCACTTTGTCCTCGGGCTACTTGCGCCGTGGCCGCTCACGGTAAGAGCTGCGCGAAATTTGCTAGTTACGGTAGCGAGGGAGGGGCGAGGATATATTGGGCGCGCGGCGGGGGCGGGGTGAGTACAGCGCCTGCGTGCTCGAGCCCGCGAGGCGCGCTCACCGTCCCTGCCTCGCGAGCCTCGGTGAAAGGATTTGGCGCCAGGCGGGTCTCTCTTCTGCAGCTGCCGCAGCCACCCGAGCCAGCCACCTCCGCCCAGACCGTATCGAGTCCGTGCAGCCGCCGCCATGAGCTGCTCCCCGGTGAACGTGAAGAAGCTGAAGGTGTCGGAGCTGAAGGAGGAGCTGAAGAAGCGGCGCCTCTCCGACAGGGGCCTCAAGGCCGAGCTCATGGAGCGGCTCCAGACCGCGCTCGACCAGGAGGAGGCCGGCGGGGGAGGCCTGGCCGGCGGAGAACCCGGCAACGGCAACGCGGAGGAGATGGGCGAGGCCGCTCCGGGCAGCGGCGGAGCCCAGGAGGAGGACCTGGCCCTGGGAGGAGGAGGAGGAGGCCCCGACCAGGCCGCGGCCTGCGACGACGATGAGGAGGCCGAGTTCGGCGTCTGCCCCGGGGAAGAGGAGGAGGAGGAGGGCATGGAGCTGGGCGAGGAGAACGGCGAAGGGGTGGCGGCCGGAGACGAGGAGGCGGCCGAAGACCTGGAGGACGACGAGAACGGCGACGACCAGGGCTTCCAGGAAGGGGAGGATGAGGAGGAAGAGGCCGCCGCCGGCGCCGCCACCGCAGCCACCGCTAGCAGCAGCGGCGGCGGCGGCAACGCCAACGGCCACGGCGCCCAGCAGCAGCAGCAGCACGGCGCCGCGGCAAAGGAGGCGGCCGGGAAAGGCGCTGCCGCCTCGGAGGCCTCGGCCTCGACTCCGGCCTCCTCGGCCCAGCCCGGCGCGAAGCAGCTGTCACCCGCCCAGCAGCAGAAGCCCGGCGGGCCTGCTCGTCCTGGGGGTGAGTAGTGCGTGGGACCCGGATGGGCGGCGGTTGGGAGCTCAGCAGCGAGGTCAGGGTCCGCCGCCATCTTTCTCTTTCCCTCCCCCCCTCTATCTCCACGGCCACCGCGCCTTTCCCCCCACCGCTGTCGGTGGAAGTGGGGAAGGCCCTCCCCGCGCGCCTGCCTTTGGGGATTTCCAGGCCAGGCCCGCCGCGTGTCTCTGCGGGGGGGGGGAGCTTTGCGCCATTTCGCGAGCGTGGTGAGGAAGGGGCGCGCGAGGCGGGGGGAGGGGCGACTCGCAGGAGCCGCTGGGGCGCGCTGTGGAACGTGCGAGGGAACGTTTTGTGCTGTTCTGCGTCACATCCGTCCGTGGGGCGCTGTGGGCTCGAGTTCAAACGCTGAGTACAATGGAGGCGGAGGAATCCCTTTCGCAAAGCCTAGGCCGCGCGCGCGTGCCGAAATCAGGCCGTGGCGGGGGGAGGGGGAGGATGAGGAAGAGGTGGGCCTTTGGAGAGCCGCTGCTTAGGCGCGATCGTAGATCCAAGCGAAGACTTTCCCTGCTAACTCTGGAAGGTCAAATCGACAGCGGCAAACGTCAGAGGAGGCAGACCCTTTAGTTTTCTGTGCACTTGAAGTTATAAGATTTACGGGAAGCATTGTTACAAATGCGCCGCGAGAGTAGATGTTTTCCTAATAAGAGTAAAAAAAGTATGCTGTATTTTATCGTTTCTAACGTATCTTATTTCCCTCTTTAAAAAAAACGAAGGAGAAGCTAAAACTGAGCAAAAACCTGGTGAGAAAAAAAGGGGAGTTAAGCGGCCACGTGAAGACCATGGGCGAGGGTATTTTGAGTATATTGAAGAAAACAAATACAGCAGGTAAATCACTTTGGCGTGTTAAAGTTTTTCATGAAAGGTTTTAATAATTTCGATTTGTTGAACTCAAGTGACTGACCTTTTTTTGTTGGCCAGGGCAAAGTCTCCTCAGCCACCTGTTGAAGAGGAGGATGAACACTTTGATGACACAATGGTTTGTCTTGATACTTGTAAGTATAAAAACACGCTTGTCGTTTAAAACAAACTTCTAAGACAGTCTGTTGATTCTTTAAAAAAAATTTGGGGGGGAGCCATTTGTGTACCTGAGGTACAATTCCTGCTCTTCTCTGAAATTTTAGTTTTTCAATGCATTAGCTTTGAATTTAATCAGGAGAACACAAAAGTGTAAAGTGTTGTTCTGTGCAAAAAGTGAGGCACAAAGGGAGAAACTGATGCTTTCAAAGGGGAACCATTATTTGAAAAACAGGGAGATATGAGATATGCTAATTGTGTAACACTACTTTTGGAAAGTGGTGGAATTTTCCACCTTGTATCGCTTAGTATGTCTGCAGATGTTGGTTGGCAGCTGCAATCTTGCTGCCTCCCGTCTGCGGGGTATATTTGGAGTCCCAAGTCAATCTTGAGTTTTATTGGTAAAATAATGGAAACTGATAAGGAATATGTTTGAAAATTGTTACCAAATGATAATTTAAGGGCATGTGTATTCTAACAAGATGATAAGCCATTGTTTGAGGTTGTAGGTAATTTCGTAAGCTTTCACTTTAGAGCTTCATGCACATTCAAAATGACTTTATTAAGAACAATGAAACTTTAAAAAGCTGTGAGAAGTTATTCTGGGACAGTCTACAGTTACTTTGGCACATTTGCATTGCTCATGGAAAAGTAGTGAACTGTTGCACAGACAAGTTTATAGAGGGATTATGGAGGTATTTCCAGAAGACAAAGTGGCTATGCGATACTAATCCTTGGTTTGAAAAGTGATAGTACTGGGCAGTGAAGCTGCTGATTGTTGGTGTTTTAGAAAATTTCAAATTCATATGCTGCAGCACGAGATAAAGAATAGTAAACAACTTTATCATGTGCATGTTTACTTAAGTAAATTCTACCGAGTCCAGTTCAAGCTTAGTGCTGTATTGGATATGTCTAGAATTGCATCTTAAACTGCAGTCCTCTGCACCCTTGGAAGTGAGGCCTACACTTTCTATTTCACTTACATAATATGAAAATATTGTTTGATAGAACAATTGAGAGTATTTCTAGCAATGTTTCTATCTCTGTTTGAATAGTGTCTGATTCAATGGCTCTATAAAAAGCAATAATCTCTTGAGGTGTTGAGACATTTGTATTATAGGACAACTTGTGTTTTGCTGAACATTGTCATCTTGAAATCCTTTCTCAGTCTACAGCTTATTCATGGAATGTGGTATCAAAATAAGTTTTACTCTGATTAGACCCATTGAAATTAATGAACATTACAAAGTCAGGTCAATTAATTTCAGTGGGTTTACTTTGGGTAAAACTTAGTTGCATACCATCCAATGGTTCTTAGGTTTTATATACTAGAAAACACAATTAGATTTGGCAGAGCACCAGATAAGAGCACATTTTAAGGGTCTGCACACAAAGCTAGCCCAAGACAAATGATGATTACTGTATTTTTCGCCCCATAGGGTGCACCTAGTTTTTTGGAGGGGAAATAAAGGGAAAAAAATTATTTTCCCCAGCCCCCAGAACAGGCTGCTATCCGCAAGCCGTGGGAGAGCTGCACGACTTCGCACAGCTCTCCCATGGCTAGCGGGTAGCTTCCTGAAGCCTGGAGAGCGAGAGGGGTCGGTGCGCACCAACCACCCTCGCTCTCCAGGCTTCAGTGAAAGCCTGCATTCGCCCCATAGGACGCACACACATTTCCCCTTCATTTTTGGAGGGGAAGAATTGCGTCCTATAGGGCGAAAAATACGGTACTTCATAGGGTATGTGTGAAAATACATCATAGCTAAGCTAAACATAGATAGATAATCCTGATTCCAGAGTGAAATAAGATAGATAGATAATCCTGATTCCAGAGTGAAATGATAAGCTTCGGTCTTGAGCAAACGTCATCACTTTGCTTGAGAACCCTTAAGTAAAAGGGGGACTGAGTTAAATTTTGACTAATTCAAGAGTTACCTGTTGTGACAAAGAATAGCACTAAATCAAACTGATGTAACTTGATTCTTACAGGTGTTCTCCACTTTTTTTTGTTCGACTGTAGTTGAACAGATTTCAACCGTTTGATTTTCTTTTATTGACAGATAACTGTGATCTACACTTCAAAATTTCAAGAGATCGTTTTAGTGCTTCCTCATTGACAATGGAAAGTTTTGCCTTTCTTTGGGCTGGAGGGAGAGCATCCTATGGAGTTTCTAAAGGAAAAGTCTGTTTTGAGATGAAGGTAAGCCAGATCAGTATTGAAGACTGTTGTTCAACATTGTTTCTGAATGCTTATAGTTTCAGCTGAAATCAAGCTAAACGAGGAGAGGAGAAACTACATTTTATTATGGAAAATTACGTATTCTTGATTTCAACTGGCAGTCATGCCCATTTCCAAGATACTCCCAGTCTATTCCCACCTATATGCTCCCTAACAGTCAGCATTTTGTGGGTAAGTTCAGCCTTTAAAAGAGCTGGGGGTATTTTTCTGGAGTGTGTGCCAGTTCCCCACCCCCACCCGTCAGTACTGACCCTCATTAGCATGAAAGGTGTTGTCTCTGCTGCACAGGCATGGACACTCAGAATCATTTATGTATGAGTATTAGGCAACTCAGAATAAAAATAGCTAAGACCATAACAGGTATTTTATCAATACCTGGAAAATTTAGCAGTAAAGTGCTATTTAACACACTAAAGCAATTATCCAATTAGCCTTTCATACAAAACCCAGAATGGTTTCTTCAATAATAATAATAATAGCATTTTGCAGCAGATCCTACACGTAGTACGCTTATTACCATCATTCAACATAATGTGCTTACCTGGTCACCATCAGCATCTAGGGAGTTCACCCAAGTAAGGGAGTGAGTTGCCAGTAGAGGGATGGAATGATTGATCCCTCTTGAAACAGTCTGTGTCTCTGTGCTGGGTGTGGACCAGGGTATGTGTTTCCTTTTTGTCCAACATGGTCACATGGGAAAGGACCACGCTGTTCCTTGATTATTAGCCTGCTGTGTTGCAATGCTAGATTCCCAGCTGGTGGACTACATAGTGTTTAGCATAGAAGCATGGCAAGCTGCACTTTTATGCTCTGCACACAAGGTGAAGCAAGTTGGTTGAGGAGGCAAAGAGCACTTGTTACTGGCTTGCCATATACAGTGGTACCTCAGGTTACATACGTTTCAGGTTACATGCTCCACTAACCCAGAAATATTACCTCGGGTTAAGAACTTTGCTTCAGGATGAGAACAGAAATCGTGCTCCAGCGGCGCGGCAGCAGCAGGAGGCCCCATTGGCTAAAGTGATGCTTCAGGTTAAGAATGGACCTCCGGAACAAATTAAGTACTTAACCTGAGGTACCACTGTATTTTACTAGCCTGCAATTTGCTCATAAGAGGAGCTGAAAACTTTTTTTTAAAAAAAGTGTATGAAAGACTGGTAATTTTGGAGCCTGATTGACAAGGTTAGCTAAGCTATACTTTTATTATAACTGTAGTTAATAGCAGCTTTTTTATTACAAAAATAGGTAACTGAAAAGATCCCTGTCAAGCACCTGTATACAAAAGACATTGACATACATGAAGTGAGAGTTGGCTGGTCACTGAACACAAGTGGGATGCTGCTTGGTAAGCTTTTCCCTTAAAACATGGATTGTCATGGTGATGCGTCTTTTTGTAGGAATGGGTGTAGTACTTTTCTGAGTGCTTAAAAGAGGGAGATGATGAATCACTGTAGACAGAAAATGCATGGTAAAACTTAATTTTGAAAAAAGAGTAACTACAACCACTATTTTTGTTAGTAATGGTAGTTAGAAGTTACATTTGATCTATGGAATCTGTTCCAGAAAACTCAGCACTTCGACAAAAGGAATATAGTGAAGTGCCAGCATACCTGACATCCTCTATTTTTATATTGGGCAAAGAAGAGTGCTTTGAATCAAATCCCTTAGCAACAGCACTCTTCACCTTTGTGCCTATTTCATGTCTCTGTCCGCCTGAGGAGCCTAGTACAGAAGGAATGGCTCCAGCACATGTAGGAATCGGAGGCTAATTCATTGTGTGCTTGCCAGAAGTGATTAGTTGGTGAGAAGCTGAAGTAACATCCTACGCAGCTTATTTCCTTGGATTAGAAAGAAAATAATGGGACTTTCCCACCAGACCTGTGCTCTAAACTAAAGTTACTTCCTGAGCTCTCACATGAGCCATTCTCACTTTGCAGTGTACCATAGTGCTAGGATTCTGCAGTGGATGGGGGTTATCTGTATGGTGCAGCTTTTATAGAAAATCTTGAGATTGAATGTCGGGTTACAAATACAGTAATTCAGAACTTGAAAACCTCAATTGCAACTGTTCAAATTTATCAGGCGAGGAAGAGTTTTCTTACGGATACTCCTTGAAAGGAATAAAGACCTGTAATTGTGAGATTGAAGACTTTGGTGAGAAATTTGATGAAAATGATGTGATCGGATGTTTTGCTGTAAGTATTTCTTTACTTGGAATGTCAATTTCTATTTGCTGCTGCTTTGCAGTTACCTGCTTTATAACAAAATGCACAACTTTATTTCCTTAATTAGGTATTGCACCTTTGCTTAACTTTCAAGTGTTCAGATTTCCCTTTCAATTTCCACTCAAGGCTTAAGTTCTAGATTTATTTCTAATTAATGAACCTGCCTAAGTTCATTTATGCTAACACTTTTTTTTTGTATAACAGAATTTTGATGGTGATGAAGTGGAACTTTCTTACTCAAAGAATGGACAGGAACTTGGCGTTGCTTTCAAAATCAGCAAGGAAGTTCTTTCTGAAAAGCCCATTTTCCCCCATGTTCTCTGCCATAACTGTGCTGTTGAATTTAACTTTGGCCAGAAGGATGAGCCGTACTTCCCCATACCAGAGGGGTACACCTTCATCCAGAATGTTCCCTTGGAAGATAGAGTTAGAGGACCCAAGGGACCAGAGCACAAGAAAGAATGTGAAGTAAGTAACGGTCCATTTTGAAATCATTGAAGCATGCCAGCTTGAGTATTTGTCTTGAGGCAGTTGATATGGGTACCACAAATGACAAGCCTAGTCTTGTAGGGCAATTGGGGTATAAAATAAGCGCTTTCATTTTTTATGCCTAAACTCATTAGGTGGTAATGATGATTGGCTTGCCTGGTGCTGGGAAGACTACATGGGTTACCAAACATGCAGCAGAGAACCCTGGGAAGTACAATATCCTTGGAACAAATACTATTATGGACAAAATGATGGTAAGTTCCAACTACTGCAAAATTTTAGCATAGTTCTATGGGTGGTTCATCCCACTATGTTCAGTGGGACTTATTCCCTACCTTAAGTGTTTAGGATTGCAACTTTAAGGTAACTCATTTGGAAACTTGTAGCTATCATGTATCTATAGTAATAAAGCTTAGATGTCTTTAACTCATTTAAGGGTACTGCTTTAGCAGTTGATGGCGCACTGAAAAGCTTTATTTCTATGGAGCGGGTATTTTCTAGATTGTTCATTTGGAAACTTAGAAGAAGCTGTTATTCCCCTAAAAGTATACACATCCTGCTTGAAATATTGGAACTCCAGATTAAAATAAGTCTCACCTGGTTTAGCTGTAGGCTGTTACGTGACACATTTGTTTTGAGATTTGCATGGTATATTAATAGTAAAGTGTCTGAATTAAATATTGCAAGGCACTGAATGATGGGATAAATTGGGTTGGCCTGTTTAATTCTTAGGATTGATCTCATGAGCATTTAGAACTCTTTCAAAGCAAATCATGTATTGCAAAACATTGCCTAAAATGTTTCTGGTATTAGCAATTATAGACAATTTCTTGCTATTAAAAAATACCCAATGATAAGAACATTAATGGCAGTGAATGCTGGGCAACTTCTGTTTTCATAGGTTGCAGGTTTTAAGCGGCAAATGGCTGATACTGGAAAACTCAACACACTGTTGCAGAGAGCACCACAGTGTCTTGGCAAGTTTATTGAGATTGCTGCGCGTAAGAAACGGAACTTTATTCTGGATCAGGTATGGGGGCCAAAGTTCATTGTTTTACAAAATTTAGTTAAGCTGCCATTTGTTTAAGGGGGGGTGTAGATTCTAAACTTCAATGGCAGATACAGTTTATATATTGAGGCAATAAAGTTAGAATATTAGCAATTGTACTTAGGTTTGTAATATACATGAAATCAGGGGGAGAATGGTTATCCTAGCCTCTACGGCCTAACATGTACATAACTTCCTTCTACTTGTAAACTTCTTTGCATTTATACATGTGGAGGTGAAATCTAAGCACACTAATTTAACTTAGCTCTAACAATGACAGCTACGTGTAGTAAGTTACTGCATTTTTTTCAGACAAATGTGTCTGCAGCTGCGCAGAGGAGAAAAATGTGCCTGTTTGCAGGCTTCCAGCGCAAAGCAGTTGTTGTTTGCCCAAAAGATGAAGACTACAAGCAAAGAACACAAAAGAAGGCAGAGGTGGAGGGAAAAGATCTTCCAGAGCATGCAGTGCTCAAAATGAAAGGCATGGAACATAATCTATACTGTGTTCTAGGATGTTGAGTATCTGTTTAAAGGAATAATGTAAAAACCTAAAGATTCAAAATTTCTTGCCTTAAAACAGTTATGCCTCTTTAAAAAAAAACTGGAAGACTTCTGTAACTTTGTAAGACAACACTATATTGTGTTCCCTCTGCTGCAGCCCTTAATACTACTTAAGTCATGATATGCTTCATGCAGATGCACAAAGCTGTCTTGGCATAAAGTGCCCTAGAAAACGAAGCTAAACGTGTTATAGCAGACGTGTGTTCCCAGTTCAACTTAATAGGGAGAATGTGTCAAAGTTTTCAGGAATCTTGCTCCTACCTTGAAGTGATGATTACTTGTCTTGTATTCCTTTTATATAGGAGGGGAACTTTGGCTTTTTCTAATGGCTTCAGAAATAAATACTGAATATTCAGGACTCTCTATCTTGTAGGAAATTTTACTCTGCCAGAGGTGTCAGAATGTTTTGATGAAATAATCTACGTAGAGTTGCAAAAAGAAGAAGCCCAGAAGCTTCTGGAACAGTACAAAGAAGAAAGCAAGAAGGCCCTTCCTCCAGAGAAAAAACAGAACACTGGTTCAAAGAAAAGTAATAAAAAGAGTGGTAAAAACCAGTTTAACAGAGGTGGACAGAGAGGACGCGGTGGATTTAACATGCGTGGCAACTTCAGAGGAGGAGGTATCCTGTGCTCCTAAAACTGCTTCTTAAAATATCTTAATTTTTATACCCGAGGTCTTAGTTGCTTGCCCCAAAGAAGAGCAGAGCTTTGAGAATAGATCAATGTGGATGGAGACAATGTCTTCATTTCTGAAGAAAATACAGCTGGAGGGGCCCAGGCATGGCTTTGATTTAGCAGGAAAAAAACAATGTAATTCAGCATCCTAAAGCTTAATTTTTTTAAAGAAGCAGCTAGGTGTACGTTTATGGACAGAACCTCATGAAATCACCAGTGCTTGGGCTGAATGAGTTTTCGGTGGTTTGGGAGAGGGCTGTCACTATCTTTCCCCATAACTGTTCTTAAAGCAACCTCAGTTTGGACTCTATAACAGTTTTCAAATGCCTTGCCCCATGGAATTTCAATTTTGTCTTCCAAGTTCAAAGCTCCTTTACTAGAAAAAACTAACTTGTGCACAGGCTGAAATTAATGTCTATTACTAAATAGTCTTGTACTTCTCTTCTCTTCCCCAACCCCCTGGGTCAAATTAAAGTATGCCATTGGGTCAATATTAAAATTCTAATTTTTCACAGTCCCTGGAAATCGTGGAGGATACAACAGGAGAGGTGGTAACATGCCCCAACGTGGAGGTGGAGGAGGCGGTGGCAGTGGTGGGGCAATAGGCTACCCATACCCCCGTGGTCCTGTCTTTCCGACCAGAGGTGGCGGTGGCGGAGGAGGTGGTTACTCAAACAGAGGAAACTATAACAGAGGTGGAATGCCCAACAGAGGGAACTATAACCAGGTAATTCGCTGTAGTCAGGAAGATGGCATTTTTGGCTGAATCTTTTGGTGCTCTCTTTAGCAACCAATACAGAAAGTATGTTTAAAAGTGTGATCCTAATAAATAACAATACTATTCCTGAAGTATATGATGTACAATGTTTTTTCAAAGTTTTATAACACGTGCAATCCTGTAGTGCTGAAACCTAAGTTTTTTAAATTGTACTTTTGTCTTACGCTGTTCCAGTAGTTTCTATCTCAAGGAACCGATGAGGTCTATGCTCAGTGTCCTGCATTAGGTGCTCTCAAGGCCAATATATAGGAGCTGAAAGACATACAGTGGTACCTTGGTTTATGAACTTAATCCATTCTTAAACCAAAGCGTTCTTAAACCAAGGTGCGCTTTGCCATAGAAAGTAATGCAAAATGGATTAATCCATTCCAGACTTCTGAAAACAAACCCCTAAATCAGCAATTTAACATGAATTTTACTATCTTTACAAGACCATTGATCCATAAAATGAAAGCAATAATCAATGTGTACTGTACTATAAAATAAATAAAACAGTATTGTAGATGATTAAAATTAAAAAATGTACGTGCACTGATGATAGTCATTGTTTGGATGTGGGGCTTTTATCCATTTCCACAGTCATGGGGGAGAGTTGTGAGCCCGCCACAACGCTGTGATGACCCCCTTCTCTGCTGCCAGAAGTGTGGCACTCAAAACGGGAGTGCACCCCGAATGGAGTACATTCACACTCCAAAAAAAAATATGCAAACAAGAACACCCATTTCCGGTTTTGAAGTGTTCGTAACTAGGCTGTTGGCTAGGTTGTTCGTAACCTTGAGGTACTGTATTAGAAACATAGGGTTTTAGCAGAGATCCCATATATAATTTATGCAACAGTGCAGCTGTGCTTTTTGTATGAAGTCCTGTTTTCTAATCAAGCATATTCCTCCGTTGATAGATAATGGAATGGGCAGAAGGTAGATTGGAATCTATTGGTTTATTCACTCTGAACCACCCAGAGACCTGTAAGAATCTCTGGCTCATAGTAGCTGTAGCAGAATTACCCCACCCCATAAACATTAGTATTTAAAATAGATTTGAGTGACATTACCATGATTTGTTTGTTTGAAAGGATTGAGCCTGTACCTGTGTGAAATTCCTGGGTTTAAAATTAATCTAAACCTCAAGATTTTAGTAAAAAAAACCCACACAAGTAATCTCACAAGCCTCTGCACCATCCCTCTGCTAGGTAGCATTTCATCCAGACGATGATCATAAGACCACTGACCATGTAATTTGTATGTATAGCAAGATCAGCACCACATTTGTTATTTGCTGGTTTAGCCTGATTCCCCAACTTGCATGTGTTCAGGAGCAGTACTTTACTGGCATATGGGTAAATACTGACTAGCAAGAAGAATTTGGAATAAATGTCTCTTGTCAGAATGTTGCCTTGATAGTTAGGAATCAACAGCAACTGAAGTCTTTTTATCTGAAAGTTTATTAACTGAAACATTTTTGAAGTTTACTACAGATAGCCGTCTGGGTGTGGTTTTGGCCATTGAATGGTGAAATGTTTAATTAACTACAAATCAATTTCTTGGACTTTCGTTACAGAACTTCAGAGGAAGGGGAAACAATCGTGGCTACAAAAATCAATCTCAGGGCTACAACCAGTGGCAGCAGGGTGTAAGTAAACTTTCTCAATCTGCAGCAAAATAAGAAGTAACGTTAAGTGTATGTTTTAACAAGTAAACCTTTATGAGAATATAAATAGCTTAAGAGTAACGTTAGTACAAGATGTAGTTTGTTCGTAATTTGTACTTCATACAGTGGAACCTTGGGTTGCGGACGTAATCCGTGACAGAGGCACGCCCGCAACCTGCAGCGCAGCATCTGCGCACACGTATGATGCGATTTGGCACTTCTGCACATGCGTGAGGCGAAACCCGGAAGTAACCCTTTCCGGTGCTTCCGGGTTTCCCGTGGTCCGCAGCCTGAAAACACGTAACCCGAAGCGTTTGTAACCCAAGGTACCACTGTATGTGTAAACAATCATAGGAGTGGGATTAAAGTATTAGGAAGTGTCCACACTTCACTCCCAATTGCATGCTTCAGATGTTTTTCATACACACCTATGGAATGTAGAAATAAAATTTGCTGATATTTGACAATGGTTAACAGTGTTTATCTTGGTTTTTGCAGCAATTCTGGGGTCAGAAGCCATGGAGTCAGCATTATCACCAAGGATACTATTGAATTCCCAAATAAAATGAACTGATCCATATTTCTTCAAAACCTTCACAAGAAGTCGACTGTTTTCTTTAGTAGGCTAACTTTTTAAACATTCCACAAGAGGAAGTGCCTGCAGGTTCCTTTTTTAGAAGCTTTGTGGGTTTGATTTTTTTTTGTACATTTTTAATTGCAGTTTTAAAGTGAATCTTAAGAGAACCTCAGCATTGTGCACGATAAGAGAATGTCAGTATTTCAGGGTTCTGCATTTTATCTGTAAAATGTGACTTTTTTTTTACCACAACAAAAGTAAAATGTTGCTTTGTATCTGGTGTCCTCTTATTAAAGATTTTCTTTTCTCTTCTCCCCCCCTTAAAAAAAAATTATAAGAAACAGTCGAGAGTCATCAAAACAGAAAAGTTAGCAACCAGGCTTGTTGTGGCCCCATGAATACTAATACTATGTAAATAATGCTCATTACACTCCATCTTCCACTCCATCCTCTCTGTGCAGTTTCTAGGTATGGAAGAGGGGGAAGAGAAATAAGAATGGTCTTTTGGCAATAAGCTAGGTTGTATTTTTGTTTTTTAATTTGGCAAAGGGTTGAGGGTGGGGTTGCAAAGCAAAACCTAAAGATTAAATAGTGAAGGTGGAGTGCATGTAAAACCTGGTTGCTTTTGTCTGTGGAGGCTCAACTTGTGAAGGTACACACCATCAACTTTTTCCATTTGTTATGCATTTTGATTCTGAAAAAAGCTGGCTCTGCCCATTTCTTATTAAACAAACTTGTTGTAAATCCAGTTGTCTAATGGGATCTATATGAAGTTAGCTGTGTGTCTGTAACCTTTCCCCCACAAATACTGTGTATTTAGTGTGCTTGTAGTAGTAACTCCACCATTTTGTAAATGAAATTGTGATTCACCCATTTTATATCTAATTTTTAATCATGTTAGTTCTCAGATGGGTGTGTCTCCTTAGCCTGCTGATTTACTTATCTAAAGAAAGTGGGTGGAGAAATTAACTTTAGCCGTTTGTTTGCAATAAAATAAAATCATTTTACTCTTGTTCTGGGATTCTCACCACATTGGTCTAAAATCCCTTTAATGACTTTGAGGGGCAGGATACACAAATATAGTGAGATGTATATGCACCACATGCATGCTTTCACATAATAAAGAAAACCAGTTGATTAAGCAACTTAAAACACTTGACAAGACTTCTGGAATCAGGAATCCGGTAGTCCCTTGTTGGAAGGAATTTCTGAATTTCATGAAATGGATGGCAATATACCAGCACACAAATGTGTTAGTTTTGCAAAGAATAGCCAGTAGTATTTGTATATTGCAGGGTTGGTGCTTAGGCTAACAGAACTCTCAGTGGTGGTGGCAATTGAAGCTCATAAAGGTAAAGGGACCCCTGACCGCTAGGTCCAGTTGCGGACGACTCTGGGGTTGTGGCGCTCGTTTCACTTTACTGGCTGAGGGAGCCGGCATACAGCTTCCGGGTCATGTGGCCAGCATGACTAAGCCGCTTCTAGCGAACCAGAGCAGCGCATGGAACCCCCGTTTACCTTCCTGCCGGAGTGGTACCTATTTATCTACTTGCACTTTGACGACGTGCTCTCAAACTGCTAGGTTGGCAGGAGCAGGGACCAAGCAACAGGAGCTCACACCGTCGCAGGGATTCGAACCGCCAACCTTCTGATCGGCAAGCCCTAGGCTCTGGTTTAGACCACAGTGCCACCCGCTCATAGCCAGAGTTAATATTTGATGTAAAATGGCAAATTAGTTTGGGCGTCTTCTAGAGAGAATATAGGTGGTTATATATGTTGTGGCTAGATAGCTTCTTTTACAGCTACACTTGGCAGGATTAGTTTGGTATATATTATATTTGGAGTTCCTAGTGAATACGCCACTTCAAGTGAGCTAATGGTGCATCTGCAGGAGTGTGTAGTTGTGTTTCAAGGTTTATCACTGGATTCTACTTTTTAGAGTACTTGCACTAAGCTTATGAAAGAACAGGTTTAAAATGTTAAGTGCTAGGAAGGATTAACTAGATCATAGTCTTCAAGGTGCTGTGATGCCTGGTGTTTCTAGCTTTATATTTGTTTTGAGTTTCTCCCTGCTTTCTCCCATCTTTGCTGCAGCCTGCCACCCCCCTCTTGGAAACACGCTACCTGACATGGAAACAGGTTGAGATAGGTCTAAGGGGTGGAGTTGGTGGTGCTTGCTCATTCACAACATTTAGGTATCCATTTAGAGACCAAGCCTTGAAATGTGTTTACTCACTAGACTAGTTTCAGTTCACTTGAATAGAAATCTTGGGTAAGAAAGGGGTTGGAATCCCAGTTGACTTTGATGCGTAAACTGGTGGGGAGTGTGTGCCTTGAGTGTCTTTCTATGTTCCCCCTATTCCAGGAGTGCATATAGGGTTTGAGTTTATGTGGGAAGATTTATTGGGGTTTTCAGCTAGATCTGTTTGGGAGTAAGAGTGGAATCCGAATCTCATTTACCTGGAAGTAAAATCACTTGTCTAGATTATGCATTTTAGAACAGTCATAGAATTGGTAGCTTATTGCCAGACTAATGTGTCTGAACCCTTGTTAGTTCCATCCATAGTGTGCCACTAACGTGCTTTCAGGGAATCTAAAATGTGCAGTGGTAACCTTTAAGGCTTTCAGAAAGTTTCAGAAGTTAGTCTTGTAGAAACGTCACTAAGGTTAAGGTATTACATATCATCTGCCTCATTAAAATACAGCTAAGCCAGTGTAATGACTTGGACTTGCATCTGTACTTAGAATCATAGAGTTGGAAGAGACCACAAGGGCCATCGAGTCCAACCCCCTGCCAAGCAGGAAACTTGGGGACTGCTGGTCTAAATGGCTCTTGCCATGTTAAGATTTTTAGTTTCACCATTCCTAAAATGCCAAGATTTTAGTGTTTGGCTAGAAGAAACTAGTGCACTGCTGTATACAGATAACACTGTTAACCAATATGGAAAGATTGTAACTTGCACAGATGACTCTAATTCTAGGAGGAATAGTGTAAAAGCAAACCATGTGCAGAATGAATGCCTCCATGCTTTCAAATCCACACTCCTAGAGTCATGACTTAGTGAACCTTGCCGGAGGGACTTCTAGCCAAAGTTACAACTAAGAGAATATGCCATGACTAAAGAGTCCAGCATATGTCCCCGTAGTAACTAAAATTTTAAAAAAGCAGTTAATCAAAAATAACAGTGTTTTACTGTCTTACATTGGTTCTTGAATGTACTCTTACATTTTGGCTCCCAAACGCTGAAAACCTGTTAGTGTTACGGTCAATCTGAAGCTGCGCCTTGGTTTTCAAATGTTTCGGAAGTCTAACAGACTTCAGGAATGGATTACGTTCGAGAACCAAAGTATGACTAGTTCATGGTTCCTTGGGCCAAACATAATTACCGCTTGCAGGAATACTGTATTGGGTAATATTAAATTTGTATACCACCCTTCACTCAAAAATCACAGGGCAGTTCACAGCATAAAAATAGAAAATCAAAACGGGCCATGGAAAAGAGCATGTGCTTTTTGCTTGCATTAAAACATCCTATGTTAATGTAGAGCGCGCTCTTCTGCATTAGGTCTACACAGCGCCTCTGGTTAGACTTGTAAGCATATCAAGTTCACTTTCAATTGTTACGCATACTGTTACCTGTATAATTGTTTTGTGCAAGCCTTATTAGCAATGGCACAGGGTTCTGTAAACCCCACTTTAGGCAGTAAATTAGCACTAGATACCCATTCATCCAGTTGGAAAGCCCATCAGAACAAATATCTTTCTGGTTCTGCATTTTCATTCAGGAGCAAAGTACCACAACATCTTACTACATCACCATTACAGTAGCAAGGGATATAAAATGGTCGCTTGGATTTATCATTTCTACTAAACTTTATTCTTTTTTAAAAGTTCACTTAATATGAAACTCAGCCTATACAAGTAATTACCCAGATCACTTGTTGAACTGCTAAAACAGGATACGTTTACAAACTCTTAAAGCATAATGGGCTATCTTTGGAAGCTAGGCCTAGATGACAATCTGTACAAATAATTTTGCTGCAGGGATTCTCAAAAGCAACAGAGGCAAACTACCTTTTACAAAAAAAAAAAAACCCTGAAGAGTAGGCCTCTACAGCACAAAGAATGGTTAACAGTAAAAACCTCGCACAATGCGCTCAAGTATATTTCTACTCGCCCACCTAGCTCTTAAATTTATTTTGATTAATTCTATACAATATTGCAAAGAGTACTTGCAATGCTAAACATAAATACAGGTGCCTAATGTAATTAAGGATGCTTTTATTATTGTACAAGCAGCATACAAAACTGGTAAGCGGTCAAAGTATGGAAAACAGTAGCCACCACTATTATCAAACAGACCGAACAGAATTGCTTGCTATTATAATTACCGTATATACAACTGGGTAAAGGCTTTGTAAAAGGACAAGGTTTTTTTTTTACATGATTTCAAGGCAGAAAACTTGCACAACTTTTTCTCTGGAGTAGAAAGAGGGTAATGAGTACAGTGGTACCTTGGGTTAAGTACTTAATTTGTTCCGGAGGTCCGTTCTTAACCTGAAGCACCACTTTAGCTAATGGGGCCTCCCGCTGCCGCCAGAGCACAATTTCTGTTCTCATCCTGAAGCAAAGTTCTTAACCCAAGGTAATACTTCTGGGTTGGCGGAGTCTGTAACCTGAAGCGTATGTAACCCGAGGTACCACTGTACTTTCCTAGAACGATTCCCTTCTTTAGCTTAATTTAATGCAAACAGTATTCTAATGAAAGGGCACGATGCAAGTGATAAATTTTATTGAGGAAAAAGATGCTTGTATGCAACTTTAGATTAGTTGTAACATTATTGAGCAACCTTGCAAACTCAAATTGCTTCCAGCTCAAGACTAGTTTAAGACATTCTGAAGAAGTGTTACAAGCATCACGGTTATCTTGTGCTGCTCTAGAATCCTGGGTTAAACATCAAGTGTCATCTACTGCCCCTTCCCCAAGGAAAGTAAATCAGATTGCATATGCTTTACCCTTGATTTGAAAGTGAGAATAAATGAAAAATACGATTTGGCGCTTCAGGGCAGTCAACTGAACTGTTTCCTAATGCTCGGCAAATGAGCTATGGCTCGTATTGTGCTTAGAAATGTTCACAACCAAGTGCTGTTTCAAGAACGGCTTTCTTCACTTTTCTTTTTCTCTGGATCAAATTGGGTGCTTTCATACAAAATTTTCTTTCTCATCCCTTCTTGAACCATTCGTTGCTGAATCCTTAGTTTTGCATTATTGTATCTACAGTAGACCCTCAATAAAGAAAAAAACAAAATAATGAATGATCCCCATCCTATTTTAGAGAATAAGAACTCCCAGTATTTATTCAGATGGTATAGTATTGAACCAGCCTGTACTTTGAAGAAGACAGAAATGCTTTACACAACTTTTTCTTAAGTAACTGTATTCTGCAAACAAAAACATGGAATAGATGTGCACATAGGGAAAAGTTAAAGAAAGCTTTGTACAAAGGGAACAGACCTCTGCCTGCACAATAGGACTTCACCTTCCTCACACCCTCTCAATCCACTATATGCACCTTTATTACGCACCTTAAGACAACAGGCGAACACATTCCTCTTCAACCAGGCCTTTGGCTGATGAACATCTTACACCCTTTTAAAAAAAAGTGCTTGTGGGAGGGAGATTTATTGGTGGTTGGTCTTTTTGCTCATTATTATTTTGGGTTTTTAAAAAACTTTATGTTGTGAACCACCCTGTGATCTGTGGATGAAGGGCAGTATACAAATTTAATAAAATAACAATGCCCACAAAATCTGCTTGGGAGACAAGGCACTTGGGGGAGATATGTAGAGTCTGCAGAAAGTAGATGAAGGCAATGTTCCATTGCAGAAACAAGTCCACTCATGCAACACTGGAGTCTGCCATCTCTCAGTTGCATCAGTGAAGATATTGGATGTGAATTTGGATTGTTATACTGTCCCACCATATTATTTAAAGACCCCTCCCAAGCAACGGACAGCTGGAGTAGGGTGCAGAAGGTGTAAATATGTCATATATTTCCAGGAATAGCCTGGTACACTAGTGTGATTACATGTGCTGAGTTGTAGGCAGGGGTGCCAACTAGAGTAAAATATTGGGTGGGCTCAGGTAAGCCCCATGCTGCATAATTATTCATAAGGCGTGGCACACACCATTTGAATGGCAATGCCCATCAACTTTGGGGGACCTGGTTCCCTCAAATATTTTAGGGGGTGCGCAAAGGTTTCTAGGAGCTGGCTCCTAGGGCTGTAGGAAGAATCCACTCAAAGCCTATCCACTCACATCTTCAACACAAGTCTGAGAATTTCAGAAACGTACATACCAACATCCTAATGTTGTCAGGATAAAACCTCCCACTCCAAAGTCACAGGATCGTCTCACTCTGCCTAGGCAGAAAAGAAGTTTGTTCATTTTTAAGTTATGTAGACAACATAACAATTGGACAAGAAGAAAAGGAACTAACAGAAAAACAACGTAGGAAATGTATTTTAGAAGTATTTAGCCAACTATTTCTGAAGATATAGTTGGCTTTGCTTAATCTTTATGATAACATTTGCACAAACAAATGAGACAACAAGTTAAACAGAATGAGCTACACAAAATTTGCAGTAATTTGACATGTACTAACCTCATAAAATTTGACAAAAGGTCAATAAAGGAGGAAATGCAGCCTGTCGAACAAGACAAAGACTAGATTCTAGAACTACTGGCTGCCAAAGAAAGGAACCCTCTTATAAATCGGTATTGTTATAATGAGGCTATTACTGTTTACCTTTACCTTTACCTTTAATTGAAACTAATAAAAACTATTATTAAAAAAAGAGAAAGGAACCCTCTTAATTATTCTCAGCTGCTGAGGTATGCTTATGAATACCCCAAGAACTTTAAAGAACAATTGGTATGCAATGTTTTGGAGACTGATTGTGCTGTATGTACACCTTTGCTGGGAAGGGTTTTAGAGAGGACGCAAGCAACACTTTATGTCAGCTGTTGCGCTGTATTAATTGCTGCATGGAGCAAAGTATTACCAAAAGAGAGAATGGAAACAAAGAGAGAATGGAAACAAAGAAAATATTACATATAAAAAGAAATATCTGCAGATTTACTTTTACTTACTAGTTGCCAAAAAGTGTCCAAGACCCAAAGTTAGACCACCCAATGAGCCATAGAGCACTGATTCTCGAGCACAAGGGACATTTCTGACGTCAAGTATTCCCAGTAGCTTAAAAGACTTGAAAGAAATGAAACATATCACATTAAACAATGCATTGGTTATGTACAGAACCTTCTGAAGTGCTGCATTTAGTACAGTAGATGATTCCTGTCCCTTTAATAGTGATGTAGAGCAAAAAGAAAAAAACATGTAGTTTTCCCACTGGGCCAAAAGGACAAGAAAAGGACACAACCATTTAAACTAATTTATCTTACTACATTATTCTCCAGTAGCTTTTTAAAGGGGTGGGGTGAAGTTGTTGAAAAGTTATTCTGTTATTCTCATTGTCATTCTCATACCAATGGACAAAGCATGCATCAAATCACCTTGATCTTTTGCAGCTACCATCCACCTGAAGGCAAAATCATTCCCAATGTGGTATATAAAAGGCTATGCTTGATTTTTGTATATTTTTTTACACTGATATCCCACCTCTCTCTCTTCATGGTGGCCTCATATACCTTCAGACCATACCTTGGGATACTTGAGTTTGGATAGTGCAGCATGACCATATTGATCCTGCTGAATTTCTCAGGATTTGACGCACTGATCAGTGACACTGAGCCATCCTTCTGGGTTGGAAGGCTCCACATTTCAGTGGTTCCTATCTTTCCTGGAGTTTTGAAAGGAGTGAGCGCATGCTGATTCTGTTGAATTCTCAGCACCATATGATGCAGTGGAAGAAAATCCTATACAAATTTCCACTTTGCATCACCATTCTTTTAAAAATACAAGAGTGCTCTAAATTTGGCATTTTTATTTTACCTGCATTTAGTAAGGGATACGTAACCGGAGGCGAACATAAGTAGAGGTACCACTGCATTTGGGGGGGAGGGCAGGGGAAGAAGTTAATGCTGCAATCCTACAACCAGTTGAAGGCCCGCTGGGTGGGGGGGCGGCAATAGGAAACTGTGAGCGCTGTTCTACAGCTGGAGAGAAGTTTCCATGTGAAACAACATTAAGCTGTTGAGGCCCCTTGGAAACCGGAAAGTGCAAATGTCTTACAAGCAGTGCAGGTCTAAACAAGGCATTTTGGGGTTGTATTGGGAGAGTCGTGGATCTGAAGCTTCTATAATGACTGCTTTGCCCACCTCCACCCAACATGCTCACAAAATTGGTCTGAACTGGAACAATGGGAGGAAAAATTCTTTTCCCCACCTTCCACTACTCTGGCTGCAGCAAGCTGGCAGGTCTGCTCTAAAGGAAAACATTTTCATCTGCTCTAAAGGAAAACATTTTCTTCCAATAGCAAAGGTTCCATTTATAGCACAATCCTATACATGTCTACACAGAAGTAAACCCACTGAGCGCAATAAGGCTTCCTTCCATGTAAGTGTGCATTGGATTGCAGCTATAAAAGCCTCCACTTGTCTGCCCAAACATTCAGGGTCAGGGCATAAAACAATGGATCAAAATTTCTTTGGAGCTACGGTTGTCATGTCTTCAGTATAGCCCTCTGTTTTCCTCGAAGGCAGGATTAAAAACCATTTTAAATTATTAGTATTTTTAAAAAAGAAAAGAAATGCCAGCGATTGTGACAAAGGAACCTGAGTAAACAAAACGAGTATTATGGTCCACTTATGGCCGTGCGACGCGTTATGTGGACTCAGAAATATATCGGGCATTAAGTGGTTTGAAGCGAGCCTCCGTTTCCTAGGGAAGGTGCGGTCTACCAGGGCGATAAGGCGCGACGGTTGAATAGAGCTTCCACGCTCAGAGGCAGTGTACCTGCTGGAAGGGGAGGGCCAACAGAAAAAAGGCTGCCCAGCTACCGGGAGTCCGCTGCTGGGGAGGCAACCCTTGGCTCCACGAGCCCTGCTAGCCTCGTCACGTCGAGGCGCTTTGCGCGCTGCTCTGACGGCACAGAAGCCGCAGCCCCTTCCTCCGTCCACACAGCCAACGAACACCAGGGAGGCCCTAAGCAGCCACCGCGGAGCTCGCCGACGGCGCCTTGCCTCCGCTCCCAGCTCATTTACCTTCTCCGCGTCCCCGACCTCTTCCTCGCCCGCCATAACAACCCCGCTTGCCAGGCTTCTCCCGGCCGACCAACCGCCGCAGCTAAACCACAGAGCCCTAAAGCCTGAGTTGCGCAGAGAGGCCTCTCGCGCAGACGAAGGCGGCCGCTCTACCCATCCGTCTCTGCCGTCCACCCGGGTTTTTTCCTCCCTCCCCCTCCTTTCCCCTGTATGGCCCCTCCTCTAACTCTATGGTGCTCGGAGAGAAAGAGGGCCGGCGCCATTTTAGGTCTGGAGAGGAGATTTCGAGTAAGGAATCCTTTGTTCAGTGAGATGGGTCACGGAGCAGCGCGCGCGCCTGCGCGGGAGCGCGCCGCTTCCCTCCGCTCTCACCCTCCCCCACCTCCCAACCAGCAGCCTCGCGCGCGCGCTCCCGCGTCCTGCTCCCGCCACGAACGTCGTCGCGTCAGGGTGTTTGATGGCGCCTAATGGCGGGCGGGGCGAGGAGCGCCTCAGGATAAACCAGCAGCAAGTAAAGACTAACGAGGGCGGTTGGCGGCCCAGCCACGTTCCTGGCGGCCAGGCTGCCGCAAGTGTTTCATAATAAGGCTGGCAAGAAAATTGCGGGACGTTCTCGCAAGTAAGCCGCGACGGCTTGCTGCTTCTTCTGGAAGAAATCTTCATGTTATCTGGACTTTTATTCTCGTCTGCGGAAAGGCGGGCATGTGAATTCGAAGAGTTCCGAACCGAAAGCGCGAAACATGGGCGTGGTGTGGTGACTGGAGGGGTGGACTAGGACGACCCAGCTGCAAAGGCCCGTAGGGATTTCTCTCAGCCTCCCCTCCCTCGCAGTTGTAAATGACAACCCCCGAAGAGCCCAAGTTTGGATGACTCCCTAAAGCAAACCATGGCTTAGCAGCAGCAGAAACACCAAGGGCACAGCAAAGCGCCCCTGATCTCCTCCTATAGCACAGTAACACTTAGTATGACATACGTCCAGGCCCAGGGCCGGATTTAGGTTTGATGAGGCCCTAAGCTATTGAAGGTAATGGGACCCTTTATATGTCCAGCTGTCAACAGCAAATTGCCGCTGTTTTTTGTGTTGAATATATGCTATATGGTAATTTCTGGACCTGTTGTCGTTTAGTCGTGTCCGACTCTTCGTGACCCCATGGACCAGAGCACGCCAGGCACTCCTGTCTTCCACTGCCTCCCACAGTTTGGTCAAACTCATGTTGGTAGCTTCGAGAACACTGTCCAACCATCTCGTCCTCTGTCGTCCCCTTCTCCTTGTGCCCTCCATCTTTCCCAACATCAGGGTCTTTTCCAGAGAGTCTTCTCTTCTCATGAGATGGCCAAAGTATGGGACCCTCAACTTCACGATCTGTCCTTCCAGTGAGCACTCAGGGCTAATTTCCTTAAGAATGGATGCGTTTGATCTTCTTGCAGTCCATGGGACTCTCAAGAGTCTCCTCCAGCACCATAATTCAAAGGCATAAGTTCTTTGGCGATCAGCCTTCTTTTGGTCCAGCTCTCACTTCTCACTTCCAAAGTATTCGGACCTTTGTTGGCAAGGTGATAGACCTAATAGGTACCTAAAGCCATTTGCACATAACAAAATATGTATTTTATCAAAGTTTTTTCCCCTTTAATTTTTTGGGGGGCCTCCAAGAGAGTGGGGCCCTAAGCTATAGCTTGTTTAGCTTATATAAATCCGTCACTGTCCTGGCCTCTGTAAAACACATCAGTTACCCACATCTCCCTCCAGACACAAGTGAAAAACACACAGAATCCTTGTGAGACCACAACTACAGAGAAACACAGCAGGCGGTGGTTGTTGTTTTTTTACTAGCAAGGCAACAAAATTTACTTCACTGCAGGAGGTTGGACTGGATGACTTGAGGATCCCTTCCAACTCTACCATGTTGTAATTCTATGGAGTACGAGGTAAAAAAAGCCAAGAGGATATAAGCTGAGTAGCGTTATCTATTGGCTGGAGAGAAGCTACCCTTCTACTTAGTAAGGCTCCTAGGGCTGAAGGCAGATGGAAAAAGCCGTTGCCTGTTGGCCAGCACAAAGCATCTTTCCGTGCACTTAGGAGTGCTGCAAAGGGATATATTTGATTCTTGCTGTGTTTCATATTAAAAAACTGCATAGGTTAGTGACTGATGAAAAGGAATCTACAGTGTCAAAATCCAATATGCACAAAAATTATCCCAATAGTTAAAATAGTTTAAATTCTTTGTATTTGCATATGGAAATAGTTCTGCTTAAGAATTATGATGGATTCCCCCCCCCAGGCTTACATTCCCCCCCCTACCTTTTGCCACAGGAAACAGATCCTAAGGCTCATTTCAGTAATCAAAATAAATAAATCCTAAGGCTTATTTCAGTAATCAAAATACAAGTTATGTTATGATAACTGAAATAGTGCTTACCATATTCTTTATCTCACATAAATAGCTAGTAGGTTATATGCCAGTGGCAGTAATAATTTCATTAGTTCTGTATTATTACTTTCACTGATGTGTTACTTGTGGTTTATGAGAAAAAGAACTGCAAGCACTGAAAAGTGATACTGAAATTTTATTTTATTTGCTTTTGTCTGTAGTTATTCTGTTGCTATTCTGTGGCATAGTATGAAATAGAAGGAAACAGGGTGATGGTAAAGCAGTATTGGAGCTGTACCGAGGACTAGGTAAATAATCCTTTATTTTATATCATGCAGTTATAGATTGCTCAACTGAAAAATACATGGAGCTTTACATAATTTTAATATAAACAGAATTATTTATGCTTGGATTATGGATTGGTATACTATGGATTAGGCCAGTGCTGTTTTTCTTAAAAAATGTTTGGGTGTACTCTCATTTTTACTCAAGAAATTCACCATTTTATAGTTCAAATTGGGAAAAATAAATACAGTAAACGAACAAAAGTTCAAAGATTCACAAAATGTTTAGGGGTATGCGTCCCCCTGCATACCCGCAGAAAAAAAGCACTGGGTTAGACACAGAAGTGTAACAAAAAAATAAATACATTTTTCCTTTCATTTAAAAATATATTGATGACTTTTTCTTAGCAGAAATATAAGATATATTAAACTGACTATTAGGCCTTTTACAAGAAAATGTAAAGAGGTTATTTTATTGTATCATACTTCCTATTTTGAATAATTTGGAAAAGCAAGGTAAATTTATTTACATGAGCGTGACTGACAGCTGACAGAAAATCAATGGAATGAGGAGAGAAGTTTACAGTGACTTCCTCACTTGCTGGTGCAGCACTGCCCAGAGATTTAGGGGGAAAGTGCATATTTACAGGGGACTGCCAAAGTTATTTGACTGAAAAGATTTCTGACATTCGTAAGATACAGACTTCAAGTACATACTGTATCTGCGATGAATGAAAAGTTAGTTCCATATGCCATCTGGTGGTTGTCTGTGAAGATGCTGTAGCTTTTTAAAAAATGTAGATCGTCTCTTCATTTTACTCAGGGCGCATCCTGATGACATAATTTTAGAGGAGAGCCTGCTGTGGACCCACATTCATCTACTTTGGGTGGAAGTATAGTCTTTTTATCTACATTGAACTGAGAGGAAGCTTGTTTTTCCTGTTTGCAGCCATAATACTGCTTAGTTATGCTTTGACACCTGCAATGTTTCAAATCTCTGTTTGGTTTTTTAAAAAATAATTTCAAAGTTCCAAACAATTATGTAATCATGGTTTGCATCAATGGTTGGATAATATTTGGACACATAATAACTTAAAGTTTAAAAAGGTTAAAATGTGCATTTGTTGTTGTTGTTGTTATAGTTGTACCCTGACCATCTGACTGGGTTGCCCCAGCCATTCTGGGTGGCAAGCATACACGTTGTCAGTGGTGGCTGGTGCCCATTGGGACAGGTGGGGTGGATGTCAGAGAGGCCAACAGGAGGTGGAAAGAGCCAATGACAGGCAGTGTCAACTAATGCTCGTTAAGCTCCCCTTCCTCAGGGCAACACTGAGTCTAAATAGGTTTACATGTGGTAGGAATGTATTAACTATAATGGAAGCTGGCGAATGACGAACTATGAAACTGTAAATGTAACAGGAGGCTGAGTGACTGCTCCTGCAGGCTCTGAACTATCTCCCTCTTCTGACGTGATCAGTGCCATCCAAGCTGACAGCTTCTCAGGAAGGCAGGAATATGTGAATGGCTCCCCCCAAGTGATTGTGCTACTCAAACCAGCAGCACTGGTCACACTTCAGGCAGCATAGATGCTGGATGCAGAGCTTTCCCCCCACAAACAGCCTTTTGTGTTGGTGGCAAAGCTGACTTCTATGCAAATACCTCTTACGCGATCAGTCTTGATAGTATTTTCAAAGGACATGCTTCCTGTTACTTTGCTGAACTAAATAAGCTCCCAAGCTTTTGTGCACTAATCACGTGTTTCATAGCATTTCTCTTAAATTTATTTTAAAGCCAGCCCAGATCACCATCACTTTCCCAGTAAATAGGTCCTGTACATTAATAACATTGAAAAGCTGGACAAAGTTTGTTCTTTTAAATTAGTTTTTTATTTTTTTAGGCATAGAAGTGGGGGGGGGGGGAGAAGAGTAAGGAAAATTCATATAACCTATGTTGTGTCACAGGAAACATCAAATAAATCTAGTGGAATCAGTTCCTGATCTTCATCTATTTCTTCTTTATGTTGGGTTCCCCAGGTGCTTAGCCTCTTAAACAGTCTCCGCAAAGCAGCAAATTTCCCTTTGCTCCAATCTTTCTTGTCTTTTTTATTTTCAAGCCTGTTTTTCAATTCCTTGTACTGCTTAAGTTGTTGGTTTTTTCTAAAAAATAGCTTAAAGTACCTGTAGTTATCACTGCTGATGTACCCTTTAGTCCCTGCTTTTGCTTTTTGCATTTTTGGGTTGATGTTTAGCAAAGCCATGAACCTGTCATTCAGTTTCTTGACATTTTCTCTTAGCTGTGGTAGTTTTTCTGACAGTTCTAGCACACTCATATTAATAAATTCCATTATTCTTCAGAAGGCCTTTCTGCTTGAAGTTGGTGTTTTCCTTTCAAAGTCTACGGACAGGAAAATCTTATTAATTGTAGATTAAGTCAAAACTTTAATCATTAGGCATCTATTAATTTTTTTTACTAACCTCATAACACTGTTTTGTCTTTTAAACTGATAGATTTCCATGGATCAGGACAATATATATCTGGCAGTGAAATGCAACTTTTTATCCAAGAATTATTAGTATTCTGTTTCTATGAAAGCTGATGACATCACTATTGCTTTAGTGACTTCACAGTAAATGAAAGGCCAGCTCAAAGATGCTAATATGTGCTGTGCATGTACCTTCTGCTTCAGGAGACAAGTAACTGTTCCATCTGGTTCAAAAGTTGGTAGTTCCATTCTGTGGTGAGATCAGAAGATAGGATGACAAAAGGCAACTGGAATGTGCAAGGCCTTGTGCACTTGGGAGGCAAGGACCCTCGCCCATTTCAGATGATCTGGCTTCATCTGCCACTCCCCCCCCCCTTACATCTTCCTGGCATCTGATGCATCATATAGCTGCCTCTCTGTTTAAAGGCAGGGGTTGATTTGTTTCTATTTCTATTCCCATCCTCCTTTTCTGTGTATGAACTGGAAGATCTTTTTATGCCCTATATTTTACCATGTGCTGCTCTTTTCTAATCATCTTGCACCAGGCGTCCTATTGGGAAGACCCAGTTCTCTGAGTGCATGTTCTGGAAGTTGGGCAATAGGGGCAGTACAGGATTCCTTTTGGTGTACCGACCTCCCCGCTGCACCAAGAATTCCCTGCCCGAGCTGCTTCAGGTCGTGGCGGATGTTCTCCTGGAGACACCTAGTTTGGTTGTCCTAGGGGATTTTAATATCCATGCCGACACGACCTTACAAGGGGCCGCTCGGGACTTCGTGGAAAGCATGGCCTCCATGGGGCTGTCCCTGAATAAGTTTGGCCCAACCCATAGCCGCGGACATGCCTTGGACCTGGTGTTTACCTCTACGGATGTTGGTGATCTGACACTAAGTAAAAGCGAAACGAAAGAAGTGCCATGGTCAGATCACTTCCTGGTGCAACTGGACTTCTCTGCGACCCTTCCCCTCTGCAGGGAGGTGGGACCGATTCGGATGGTCCGCCCCCGCCACTTAATGGATCCAAATGGTTTCCAGAGAGTGGTAGGGGATGCTTTATCCCATGTTGATGACCTTTCAGCTGATTCCCTGGTGGCCCGCTGGAATGTGGAGTTAACCAGGGCTATTGACTGTTTGGCCCCGAAGCGCCCTCTCCAATTGCATGGAGCCCGGACAGCCCCGTGGTTTTCCACGGATCTGAGGGCAATGAAACAATCGTTGAGACGGCTAGAGCGCCGGTGGCGGATGACCCATTCTGAAGCTGACCGGACACAGGTTAGAGCTCAATGTCAAGCCTACCAAGTGGCGGTAGTGACGGCGAAGAAGACTTTCTTCACCGCCTCTATTGCATCTGCAGAAAACAGCAGCAGGAGACTTTTTCAGGTGGTCCGCAATTTAGCGGAACCACCTGCTACATCGGGGTCCAGTACGGGCCACATGATCTCCTGCAATGATTTTGCAAAGTTTTTTGCAGATAAAGTCGCTCAGATTCAGGAAGAGGTAGACGCCACCGTGGGAGCAGGGCCGGGGCGGGAGAGTGCTAGAGTCCTGTCTAGTCAAATTGCGTGGGATCAATTCCAATCTGTTACCTCTGAGGATGTGGACAGGCTGCTTGGACGAGTGAAACCAACCACCCGTCTCCTGGATCCTTGCCCATCCTGGCTTATAAAAGCTAGCCGGGAAGGGCTGGGCGATGGGCTTCGTGGGGTGGTGAATGCTTCCCTCCGTGAGGGAGCCTTCCCAGACCCGCTGAAAGAGGCGGTTATTAAACCGCTTCTTAAAAAAACATCTTTAGATGCGGCCACGATGGCCAACTATCGCCCAGTCTCAAATCTTCCATTCTTGGGCAAGGTGATTGAGCGAGTGGTTGCTGAACAACTCCAGGCACGCTTGGAAGAAGCGGACCATTTGGATCCCTTCCAGTCAGGATTCAGGCCTCATCACGGGACTGAAACTGCCTTGGTCGCACTGGTTGATGATCTCCGGCGGGCTAGGGACAAAGGTGAGAGCTGTTTCCTAGTTCTGCTGGATCTCTCAGCGGCGTTTGATACCATCGACCATAACATCCTTCTGGACTGTCCTGAGGGGCTGGGAGCTGGGGGCACTGTCATACAGTGGTTCCGCTCCTTCCTCCTGGGCCGTGTTCAGAAAGTGGTGGTGGGGGATGAGTGTTCAGACTCCTGGGCTCTCACTTGTGGGGTGCCTCAGGGTTCTGTCCTCTCCCCCATGCTTTTCAACATCTACATGCAGCCGCTGGGAGAGATCATCAGGGGGTTTGGGTTGGGTGTTCATCAGTATGCGGATGATACCCAGCTCTACCTCTCTTTCAAATCAGAACCAGTGAAGGCGGTGACGGTCCTGTGTGAGTGTCTGGAGGCGGTTGGAGGATGGATGGTGGCTAACAGATTGAGATTGAATCCTGACAAGACAGAAGTACTGTTTCTGGGGGACAGGAGGCGGGCAGGTGTGGAGGATTCCCTGGTCCTGAATGGGGTAACTGTGCCCCTGAAGGACCAGGTGCGCAGCCTGGGAGTCATTTTGGACTCACAGCTGTCCATGGAGGCACAGGTTAAATCTGTGTCCAGGGCAGCTGTGTACCAGCTCCATCTGGTACGCAGGCTGAGACCCTATCTGCCTGCGGACTGCCTCGCAAGAGTGGTGCATGCTCTGGTTATCTCCCGCTTGGACTACTGCAATGCGCTCTACGTGGGGCTACCTTTGAAGGTGACCCGGAAACAACAACTAATCCAGAACGCAGCAGCCAGACTGGTGACTGGGAGTGGCCGCCGAGACCATATAACACCGGTCTTGAAAGACCTACATTGGCTCCCAGTACGTTTCCGAGCACAATTCAAAATGTTGGTGCTGACCTTTAAAGCCCTAAACGGCCTCGGTCCAGTATACCTGAAGGAGCGTCTCCACCCCCATCATTCTACCCGGACACTGAGGTCCAGCACCGAGGGCCTTCTGGCGGTTCCCTCACTGCGAGAAGCCAAGTTACAGGGAACCAGGCAGAGGGCCTTCTCGGTAGTGGTGCCCTCCCTGTGGAACACCCTCCCACCAGATGTCAAAGAGAACAACAACTACCCGACTTTTAGAAGACATCTGAAGGCAGCCCTGTTTAGGGATGCTTTTAATGTTTGATGTATCACAGTATTTTAATATTCTTTTGGAAGCCGCCCAGAGTGGCTGGGGAGGCCCAGCCAGATGGGCGGGGTATAAATAATAAATTATTATTATTATTATTATTATTATTATTATTATTATTTCACTCTCTCCAACTGTCACTTATAACTTTCCCTCCCCCCCACAGTTTCTCTTGCATTCTGCATCCTGTCCTCCAAATTTCTACTCTTGTTCTCATTTTCCTCTTGGTTCCTTCTGACTTGCTTTTTGCTTTTAACCTTTCAGGAAAGGAGCGGGAAAGGTCCATCCTTTTTGCCAGAGACCTGCCACTGTATCTTGGAGCTGTATGTTAGATTAGATTCCTTTTGGTATGTTGTATATGGGTCTGTTGTGTTTCAGTTGGGAGTTGATAGTTGCCCAATACCATCAAGAAAATATCGTGTCTCTCCCTCCATCTCAAAGTACAGTGGTACCTCAGGTTACGTACGCTTCAGGTTACATACGCTTCAGGTTACAGACTCCACTAACCCAGAAATAGTACCCCGGGTTAAGAACTTTGCTTCAGGATGAGAACAGAAATCGGGCGGTGGCACCGCAGCAGCAGCGGAAGGCCCCATTAGCTAAAGTGGTGCTTCAGGTTAAGAACAGTTTCAGGTTAAGAACGGACCTCTGGAATGAATTAAGTATGTAACCTGAGGTACCACTGTAGAATGCTGAAGAGGCCAGGTGCTTTTGATGAATGTCAGTACTGTACCAGGATGCAATAAATTTTTGGCTTTTCTAGTATTTTCCCACAAAAATATCTTAAAGCAAGTTGTTTGTCCAAGAAATTCTTGTTCTTTCCCTTTTTTCTTTGATATCTAGATAAGAATAAATATTGTGAACCTTCTGATAATTGTTATGTTTCTCTTTTTTTGTACATTAGCCATCCTTGTACCCCACCATCAGTTCCCATTGCTCTGTTGTCTCTTTTGAATTAGTTTAATTTGAAACTCTCCAGTGATCACCCCTTCATCATGGTATGGCACTGGGTACGGATTGTTTTGAAAGACCTTATATAGTTTATATAGTTATGTATTGCTTCTGTTTAATAAAAACCCGTTAAAAACAATATTGTCATGTGGAAAGCCTTTGTTCACTCTTGCATGTTGATACTTTTAACCCAAAATATAAAAATAGATTTAATAATGCAATAGTATAAAGAAGTGGAATTGAAATCTAATATTTAAATTGACAAGAACAGAACACATGCGATTTGTTCTATAAAAAACTTCTCTTTAATAAATGGATGGATTCAAGTTTATAATAGTTTGACATGTCAAAGTAACAAAAGTCAAATTCTCTGACTATTTCATACAAATACTATGCATTACAGTAAACTTATCTTAAGTTACAAAAAGTGTCAGTGAAAATTCAGTATCTAACTGTCTAAAAGTGAAATTTTTCTTATCAATTGTGATTACAATTCTATTGCATGTTGGAAACCCACTACATTGTTATAATCAAACCATTATACAGTTTACTGATGCAAACTGACAAAATGTAGCATTTTATTTTTGGCTTCCTGAATAAAGGGTGACATTTTAATAAAAATGGCTTTAGTAAGACAGAACACCAAACAACAGTAATCCATCTTAAAGAAAAATAATCAAGTATTAGGAATTTGACAGATCAGAGAACCCTGAATGTATTTCTACTACCCGTTTGTTTTTGTTGGAAAACCCCCACAGATATCCAGTATTCTCTTAGCTGAGAATAGTGTTATAGTTTTTAAATGCACACTTTGGCCAATGGCAGACAGTGTACTCCCTGCTGAGTAGTAATGCTGGTGAAAGGTAACTTGAACTATTGCTTTGAGAACAGCCTTTGGCAGGGTTGTTTGTTTTAAAGAATCGAGTGGAGACCAAGCATAGCACATGTGGTAAGATATAAGACTACCACCACTTCGTAAGATGTACCAAATTCAAGGTTCAAATGGTAAGTTTGTTCATGGGGCTATGATCATTACTAAATGGCTTAACAGGGAACTCGTATTCAAAACGAACCACCAAATTATTTATTAAAAAATGACTGTACTTACTGTGTCATGTATGTCTTTGCATTGCTTGCATGCTATCCATGTGTATGAAAGTATGTGTGTATCATATACAGTGCTGTGAATATGAGCAGAACAAGGCCAATTTTTTTTGATAAAAATTTGATGGAGATTAATCTAGTTCCTAATGTTTGTCCAAACAACTATGACAAGCTACAGAATTACCAAAATCCAGCAATCCTATGTAGGCACAACTGCTTCATAAGTCCTCACAAGGGCCTCAACATAGGTGATAATTCCTTAAGTGTCAATAAATATGTTCACCAAATTGCCCCTTCCACTGAAATTAAGTTGGGAGGTTTTCAAATGGAGGAATGCTGTGTGCATTTCAGCACATAGACGGCTCTGGATCAGAGCTCATCTTGTTAACATTTGAGCTTCATTAACAGCTTCAGATCCGAGATGGAAAATTCCATTTCCACTTCACCTGCAGTTCAAAGAAATCCTCTCGTCTATCCCATTGTCATTCTACTAAGAAATGCTTTATATAATTTGGCAATCGTGAGTAGATTGTCAATCATAAGGGTACAATTCTCAGAATCCTAATCAAAAAGTATAAATTAAAGAACAAAGAGTGTAGGGTTAAACGTGGCATCAAAAAAATCTAGCAGCTTAAGCAGATTGTGCTGGCTACTGACAAAACAAAAATGGTTAAAATGCAATCATAATGGCACTGTTAAAGATAATTTAGTTTCTTACTAAAAAAGGTTGGTTAAAATATGGAACATGCTCATTATTTCACATTTTTGAGAATTATTATTGTTTGACTTTTAACAGGATAATGTTGCATACCTGAGTATTGTTTACAACAGTCTCCCTCAAATGAGTGTATGTAAAAACTTGAAGTGGTTAGAAAAATATCTAATGCCCTTTTAATTGGAAACAATAGCATTTTTATACCTTCAGTGGGATTGTATTTGTAAAATAATATGCCAGAACATAATGTAAATTTATGAACAAATTAACCAGCCCTCTTTTCTTCAGGTTGTCCAATATGTGCATCAACAAAATACCTCCCAATTTAGCTGACTGTGTCATCTACTCTGAAGAGTTTATTCAACAAACCCAGCAATGTAATACCACATGTAAGAGTTATTTACATATTCTTCACCAGACCTTTGTTTATACATAATTTCCAGTTGGCCTCTTCCCAGTTAAATGCAAGATCCTTAAGGCAGCATGTATAATAAAAATCTAAAACCTATTCCAATTTGCTATTATTTCTACTGTATCCTTCTTCCTGAAGAAGACATGCTAACATTGGGGAAAGATACCAAATAGAATGAATTCCTTGGTTATCTTGATGAATGCAATTTGTCTTTGATAGTTGCTATTAGACTAACGGTTAAGAAAAATGTGTCACTAAAAGAAACATCTGGGTAACTCACCTATATCTGTCATTGGTTCTGTTGTGAGCACAGAAGCTGGAGAAAACCTTTGCATTCCCTGTAATTGTTGAATGTTGCTGATGGAAAACTAAACAAAGCACTTTCCATTTCTCTTCATGTTTCTATTAAGAGACTCTTCTCTTAAGCAGCAGCTTACATCTGGTTAAATTAGCTGCAAAACTCACACTGCTAAAGTGAGTTCAGTCATGAACCAAATGTTACCATGTTATGTTATCTAATGTTAATGTCTAATTGCATGATTCATCTGTATTCCTCCTGTAGTTCTAGGTAATGTGAAACAGCACTGTTATTTTATCTTAATGGGGGGAAACTGTTGATGTTCAGAATGACGTTTTGCATCTCTAAGTCAGACAAAAACATGAGGCAAAAAGGAGGTTGAAATCTGACACCAGAGAGAACACACTCACCTTTGTAGTAAAATATTAATTCACTCAGCATGAGTGGATAAAAACTGACAGAGAAGTCACAGTTTTAGGAACAGATATTCTCAGATACATACTAAGGTAACCTCCTTGGTTACTAGGACAGATTTCTTTGTATTGACAATTATGTACCCTGTTTACACACAGTATTCATTCTTCCCTGCTTCATTATCAGCAACAGTTGGAAGTGAAATATTTTGTCCTGCCCAATTCCAAGGTAGCAACAAACAAAGCTGCTCATTCATCCACTGAGGCTGATGAAGTCATGCAGGCCTAATTGAGCTGATTAAAATTTATCTTTCAATGGCAGGTGTCCCTGTGGGACTTGTAAACAGCAGCACACAATACTGTAAACAGTTTAACTTCTGCTCAGTTAGTCCAGGCTTGCTGATTAGATGAAAATTAAGACAGCAGATCCACCATAAGTTCTTCCCATTTCCCCCATAAACATTTTCCCCACTACATATAAAATCCTGAGTGGAACACCATCATCTTGAGCTGGAGAATCAATTGCATACCAAAGACATTAAAATGGCCACTCTGAAGTTCTGTAATGAAGTCAGTTACTGACAAGGCTTCCAAAGGCTTCAGTGTAATGGAACTTTGGATTAAACCTATATTTTAGCATGATGTCCAGTTCTTGCCCCTGACGCTGACTTTGGCAAGGAAGCTGAGGCTGCTGCATCTTCTGCTTCTTCCAGTTCTTCCTGAAGCTCTTGGCTTACACTTGACTGAAGAGCTGCAGGTGTAAGCCATTCTTTTGGTAGGCAACTTTGGAGAAAGGGGATACAGGAACTGAAATAGGCAAGGCGATTCACCCAACGAGGAATTTCTTTTCCACAGAGAATCTATATGAAATGCCACAAGTTATCCAGTGCTTTTTTAAGTACATGTCAGTTTCTATACTTGAAATACAGATCACTGAATTGAAATGCCTGTCAATTATAGTACAGTGAATATGAACCCTTCCTTATGATACCTGTGAGACAGGCAAAATGAATACTAAATCTAATTCTGAGACAACGCAGTCCATTCTGAAAATAACAGTATGCTGGGCATCAAAAACTGAACATATTTTTGAATGACCTTTTTTACCCCAACAGCGCAATCCTAGCCATGCCATTTCAAAAGTTCTATTTCAGTTCAATGGGGTTAACTCCTAGGTAAGATAAAGAGTAAGTGTATGACAAATCATTTAGTGCCTCATTAATGCTGTTTCAAAAGTTCAAATTATCAAATGAAAGTTACAATTATCAGTTTTCTGTATGAGTCATTTATATGTAAGGTATAGCTTTATAAAATGCAGTTTTGTACATTCTTTCCAGTTATATGAATGGAAACAACTGGGGGAAAAGTTAAGGTCTCCAATTGCTTTTGAGAAAGAATGGCTGATTACTCTTACAAGGTCACTCTTTTTCATAACTTGGCTAGCTGGGTTAAAAACCCACAGAGCTTCCTCTCTGGAGGTGGCAGTGAAAAGTGTTGCTGCTACCATTTTATTTCCAGCAAGTCCTTTATGGAAAACACATTAATATTACATATGTAACCTATGTAGCCTACAAGTACTAAAGTGTTTATAAAAGTAATGGCAAGCATTTGCCCAGGCTGAACAAATAATACTTGCCTCTGAAAAAGCTGAAGAAAAGTGATTGCAGTTTTTGTGCATTAAGTGATAGGCATTTCCTTTAAAGTCTTTTCCAAGTTCTTCTATAATTTTTTCTATATCCTCCTCCATGAAGTCAGTACTTCCAAGAACAACAGCTTCTCTAAAATAAAAGAGGGTGGAGGCAGTTGCAGAGAGAGAAAGTTGTTGCAAATCAGACTGGATATGTTTTTATTCCCCGTTTGCTCTTGACAGCATGCACACACCTCCAAAAATTATCGTGTTAAAAATAAAACTTCACTGCTTTTGTCCTCCGGTTGTTTTTGAACTTCATGCCACAAGGCCTCACTACTTTTACACTACCACTTCCTTGCTCTTATCCAAGAGATCTCTCTGTAAATCCAGATTTGTGTACATACAAATGTATAATCAATCATTTATTATGCAGTCACAGGCCCGTTAAAATTATTAGTGCTTTATACTGCATATCACTTTTTTATTACTATATGTATCATCTTTTCCTCCAAGGAGCTCAAGGTGGTGTACATGGTTCTGCTCCTCATTCTACAACCCTGTGAGGTAGGTTAGGCTGAGAGATGGTGACTGGCCCAAAGTGAGGATTCGATTCCCGGTCTCCCAGGCCATAGTCCAACACTCAAATCATTACATTAAGTTCCGTATCTCATATTAAGAGGCAGTGGGTAGATACTTTTTGGTTGCTCAAAACGTACTATTCAAAATTAGCAGGTTGTAGTCAACAGACGTCTGAATCTAAATCACCCAAACATATTTTGGGTTACACCAATAAATGAAAAAACTTCTTACTTGAATTTAAATGTTTCTCCCAAGTCAGATGCATTTCCTGGAGAAATTTCAAATATTCCAGAAAAAGGGTATGGATGTCCACCATAAGCAAATTCTGAAATACAAAATCAGGATTTTATGCACAACTCATTGTAAGTAGGACTTTCACTTCTGGTGATTTTATAGACATGCTTTGATCAGCTGTAGGTTAAAACTGAAGTACTGCTACAAAGTAGTTTATATGTACAAATGTCAGTGCTTTATACATTTATATAAAAGTTTACGTTACATTTGGAGAACACTGATTTAAATTCCCATAACAATTACGCTGAGGCCAGTATATGCAGAAACCATGGGAGAGGTATGATCTGATCATTGGCCATGCTGCCTGAGGCTGATGGAAGTTTGAGTTCAACAACATCTGCAGAGCCACAGGTTCCCCAATACTGATCTACACCATGAATAAACAGTCAGAATATTTGTTGCAGAAATAAGATGGTGAAATGTAGGGAGTGAGACACTGCTATTTTCCTCCCTTCCTCCCTCCCAGCCACCCACCACTACATGTCCTATGTACATTAGCTGCTTCTTTGCACCAATGTGAGATTAAAGCGTGATACATACCTCTGCCATATATCTCTATTCCTGAATGGAATACTCCAATTCCGAGAGAGGAAGTGTATTCATTCATCCAGTACTAAAAAGGAAAATGGGAAACTTAACTGATTGTGATTACGGTTTTCTAATTCACGAGGTCAGCCCTGTACATGGAAAGAGGGGAGAGAATTTTTGCAGATTCCTCTTGCAGCCTCTTGTATTTGCCTGAGCAGAGCTGGAGCAGAAGATGCTACATGAGGCTACAGTGGTGAGGTTGAATTGGCAAAAAATACCTCCCCTGCCCCTTTAATGAGTGGGAGCCTCAACAGGACCACAGCTCTGAACTGAAAGAACCTTCAGGGTACAAAAGGGCAGGACTGGATTGCATTTGACAGAAAACTATTTATTTATTTTTATTATATTTATATCCCATTTTCCTTCACATAACCCAAGTTGCTGAATATGTGATTTCCAAGCAGCCTCCCATCAAGGCACTGATAAGACCTGGACCTACTTAGGTTCAACAAGGTGATGGCTTCATGTACCACTGGAAATATCAGTTAATAGCAGAGCTGGACCATTAAATATTAAGTTCATTTCTGGTTCACCTCAGTGGCAATGCTTAGCTGTTTGATTAAACCTTTACGTCTACAAGTGTTTGTCTCTTTATTAACATTGCTACACAAAACACAGGCGGCTGGACACAAAAACAGGGAGGGGATCCTGTCTCGGCAGCACTGTATGGTGCGCAAGGTGTCAAAACTGTGTTAAGAAGCCTCTCCTTAAAAATACCTGTGACTGATAAATAACACTGACATAATGCATGTGTTTGTTTGCAAGGTTACAGAAACCGCACATACTGAACAATAAAACAATAAGTACAACTGTAATCCGTTCTGAAAAACCCATGGAATTTGTGTTCCACTGAATCTGCAGCCAATCTACTAGAAGAATTATAAGAACTTCACTGAGAGGGGATTAGTTCCCCCCTGCCCCGGCATGATGATTACAAATAATTACCTTCTGTACCTGGAATCGAAAGCTGAGCCATGTTGATGGTATGGACCAAAACTAAGTCCCTGAAAAGATGTCTTTAAATGTATGAAGATTGCAAAAGTGAGTACCATGCAGCAAATATAAAGTACAATTGAGACTAGAAGAAACTCAGCTGCATGGGAAATGCAGGGGCAGCAGGGAATTGTGAATAGAAATGCACCCCACAGCTCTTGCCCAGAGTCCAGACCTTCTGCAAATGACACCACCCTTGCATTAGTCCTGTTAGGTCTAGTAGTTCCCTCAGACTATCCTACAAACAAGGAAAATTACGTCCTCTGCCATGGACTTAATTTGTAAAAGGGAACTATTTGTGGTAATAAAATGCTTACAGAGAAAATGGTCACCAGCTTGAGTTGGATAGAAAATAAATTTCCAAAAGGTTCAACAAGGGATAGAAAAAAAACCTGATATGTTTTGAGCATATTAGACATAAGAGATTGCATTAGGTGATCTTTGAAAACCTTCCCAAACCAGTCATACTACAAACTGAAAAATAAACAAGTTAGTAGACGTGTGCCTTTTTTTGTTTGCTACAAAGCAATACACCCTCACTCTAGCTTTGTAAGTCTCCCCATAATCAGTCAATATGTCACAGTTGTACCCAAAGGTTACTTGGGAGGTTCTGCTGATCCAGGATACACTGTTCAAAGTTAGGGAATACATTAGGTGTTAGTTTACACTCCGGGGACTTTCACATATTGGGACTTTTACAGAGCATTCTCTTCATGCAGTCTTTATGTAATAGCTTTAGGATTCTCAGTTCGAATATACATTTAACTACTTACAGGTTAACAAAAAATAGTGGATAGTAATTTGCCAACAACAAGGGATCAGAGCACTTCGTGCTTTTGTCTCCCAAATGCCATGCACTGAAAGTTATACCTCACACAATGAATTTCACAAAACACATCTCGGTTCACCATCTAGCTAGGCTAGTTCCTCTCTGGGGCTAACCCACAAGGCTGCACTATTACCTAATTGTAGATTATTGTCAAGATTACTAATTAGTCAGAATAGCCATTTTGGAAAGATTGGGACACGAAGAGAACTTAGATGTCCATTGCATCTAATTTCTTGTGAACTAGGCAAATGTTGCATTATAGACGGCAATTAAATCACTTTATAATCATACAAACAGCCCTCCAGGAAAGGAGGAAGAAAAATGGATGGAATTAAGCAAAATACAACAGGAAAAAGATTACAAGAGCAGCAAGGTTTTCTTGTTTCTGGGAAATAATTCCCATTGTTTTTGAACATGCAAACAAAAAAATAATTTGCATTCTGTAACATGGAAGCAACCATGGCAGTGAATTTGTTCACTCTGATAGCATGCTCAGGGAAGTAGACAGCTTCTGGAAGAATGCACAAGAATCCAATATATACACACTACTACATTTGGGTCACAATTACTCTGAAGAATGTAAAAATAATAGATTTGCAAGGCTCCCACAGGAAGATGGTTTTTTTTATCCACCCTCTTGCATTCCAAGTCTGGTGCAACAAGGGTGTATCCATGTGTGTCATGCAGAAGACAACACAGTACCAGGTAGAGGGATGGAACAGGAGAGAGAAGCTGAACTCGCCAGCAGTTTAAGAAGGTAAAGAGGAAATATTCTGGTAGCAATACACAAAACTCCTAAAATAGTAGGGGGGGGGATAAAAAGCAATGGGATCAGGGGTGCCAACTTGAATAAAATATTTGGGGGGTGGGCAGTTAAGCCATGCCCTGCACAATCGATCATATGTCGCAGTGCATGCACACCATTTGATTGGCAATACCCATCAACTTGAGCGGCCCCAGCCCCCTCAAATATTTTAGGGGGGGGCAAAATCTTCTCAGCTTCCAGGAGTTGGCATCTACAAATGAGATTAAGCAAAGGGGAGGGAATTGTATTTGTTTATTGATTACAACATTTCACTTCTAAGAGGAATGCAGGGGTTCCTTCCTTTCATCCTCAAAAGAGGATAAGTTAGTTCTGTAGTCACCAATGTGATGCCCATGGGCACCATGGCACCCTGAGCTACCTCTCCAGCTGCTGCCAAGACTCCCCGTCCCAATTTTTTGTTTTTAAAAAATCAAGGTTTGGGGCTTCTTTTTTGGTTGCAGGGGCTGCTTGTATGAGTGCAAATAATGTGCTTTTCATGTCTGTTTTATTTGTTTTGGCGGGGGTGTTTAGGTGTTCTAGCTATCTTTATTCTGTGAATTTGTGTGTGTGTTGTGCCCATAACAGTTTCTTAGATTTGCATATGTTCCCTTAGGCCCAAAAACGTTGGTGATGCCTGGGATAGCTGGAGAGATAGCAAACTTTCATGACGTAAATCAGACCCCAAGGCCCATTTGATCCTGCATTTTGTTTTCTCCTTGGGAAGCCCACAAACAAGGACATGAGCACAAGGACACTCCTTGCTTGTGATCCCCAGCAACTGATATTTAGAGTTGCACTCCCTCCAACCCTGGAGGTAAAAAAGCCATAAATGACTAGCAGTCTTAATCTCCATGAATGGCCTGGGTTATAGTCTGCACTGGGAGAAGGAAAAACAGAAAGCAAACCAGACAAACCACCCCACCCCACCGCTTCTTATCTTTGCCACTACTACCAAGTGGCCATTTTATTTTTCTCTGGTTGCCTCCACTAAATAGCCCTTTAACCTTATGAATTTTAACTAGCTCAACATTTTCCTAATATTGGTAGGAGTGACATGGCACTTAAGCATGTGGTGAGTAGCAAGACCTCAAACTGATTTCCCCCCTACAGCAACTATGCTTAAGGATTTAGTAATACAAGTTGAACAGTTTTCATTAAAACTAAGGGTGGAATTCAATGTTACGCTATTAAGATTGCTCCATCAGTACAAGCCCCATTGTGCCGGCAGGACTCGTTGTGCTGCCTTCTGCTAGCACAAGTTAAATCCAGCCCTAACTTTACAATTTAACTACATATCAGAGCTAACAAACAAACAGCAGCAGCGACAAATGCTCCCAGCCCTTTGTCTTCTGGATTGTTTCCCTATCCAAACCACTACTTATCAACTTACACTCTCGGTTCAGCTTCTGAGTCTCATTTGGTCTCCTCCTGGCTTCTGCTGCAGTGCCCTTCTGTGCACTTTAGCACTTTCTCAGTGTTCTAGCTCACTTTAAATGTTCCAGCCCTTTAAGTTTCTGATGCCACAATTTTCTTCTACTTTCAACTAACTACCCTGTTTTCTAGCTATTTTACTTCAGCTCATGGGTGTAGCCAGGATTTTTGTTAGGGGGCACAGGACTTTGCTTGGGAGGAACAGGACTTTGGGGGGGGGTGAACTGATGTGATTGGTCAGTTAGTTAAGTATTTCTACTGTTTTACTTGACGGGGCAACCCATGCTTCAGCTGCTTGTTAGCCAAGGTATAAAACATTAGGACCAGGTGAATAGCATGTCAATAGACTGTGCACCTATTATCCAATGCCATTCTGGCTAAACTAATTTATTTGAACTTAAACAATACGGAAAATTTACTCTTTGAGCTGTAGAAATTTGCAGCTAATAAAAACATTCACTGTATTTTTTCAAGTTATTTTTTAAAATACACTTATATCCCATCATTCTTTCAAGAAGCTCAAGGGGGTATACATATTTCTCTGCAATCCCTCTTTTATCTCCACAACACTCATGTGAGGTAGTTTAGGCAGAGAGACAGTGAACCCAGCCTTCATGGCTGGGTAAGCATTTGAACCTAGGTCTCCTCACTTCTGTTCTGACAGTCAATTCACTCAATTCACACTGGCTTTCTGCAATTCTTAAGAAGCTGTTGTGCAATGCTGAAGAAGTCAGATAACTAGATAGGAATGGTGTGTGTCATTTATGAGCTGGCAAAGTCAAAGATTGCAACACTTTAGCCAAAAGCAACAGGGAGTTAAATGTCTCCAATGTTTTTCCTCACATGATAAACCAGTACAGTACAGTAGTATAATTTAGACTTTAAGGCCACCTGACTACACGAGTGCTAACCTGTTTGAAAAGATATTATGTTTCTACTTGTGTCCAGGTCTTGTCATTTGATCTTTTAAGTAGTCACACCCCCCGCCCCCGCAACCAGCTTAGGTTCTTTGTACATGCAAAAATGGTGGTGTAAGGCTCTAGTCCTCAAGGCAATTCAGAGTGTAAGAAACTAGAGGATTGTGTTCTGGCCAACTCTGATAGATCCTTATTAAAACACTATCATTCTTTCTTTGTATGCATGACATTACAAAAATCAACTCAAAGTACCAAAGATGGAGATGGGCACGAATCCAACACCCAAAGAGAGGCAACTGAAAATTCACACACCTGTTGCGATAACTTTAGAGCCCTTAATAATTCCCTCGCTTCCAAATTGTTATTGTACCTTTCCAGGGCAAAAAGGGGATAATGAAAGGAGCATTTAAACCAGCATCCTGCTGTTGCAGCAATGTATGGAAGGAGGATGTGGGGGAAGAAACATGTGAGCGCAGAGGAGCCGCAGAAGGAGACTCCTGTGGCGTTTGGGAAAGGAAGGAGCTATGGAGGCAGAGCAGCAGCAGCCCAGGGCGAAAGATGAGAGAGCGAGCTCGAGAAATGTGAGCGTTGAACCTGGCGGGGAGTGGAGTTGCGGGGACAAACGCAGGCAGGCCCCCGACGGCCGGCTCCGTCGCCCACTCACCATGTCGTAGACGTTGAGGATCACCAGCTGGTTCGCCATTCTCCCCTCGCGCGACTCCAGGCGGGGGTCCCTCTCAGGCCTCGGGCGGCGGCCTCGGGGCGCTCTCGGGAGGCCCCCCGGGCGGCCGCCGCCTCCTCGTCCGGCCTCTGGCTGAGGGGCGCGACGGAGCCGCCGGCAGCATGGAGCCGCCTCCGCTGAGGGAAAGAGGGGAGCCGGGGCCGCGTCCCCACGAAGCCTCCTCGCCCCGCGCTCGGCAGACGCGAGCCGAGAGCCGCCACCGGCACCCGGGTGGGGCCCAGCGCAGCTCCGCCTCTCTTGTTTGTCTCCGGGCTGCTGCCGCTGCCGCTGCCCGCCCCTACGGGTCGCGGGGGACGCGCAAAAGTGACCTTCCCTGAGGAGCGGCTGTTGCGCCGCCCGCGCGCCCCTTCCTCCCCTCTCGGCCAACGGCTTTCGCGAAGGAGCCCTTCCAGCTTGCCCACATCTTCAGCGCCGGGGAGGTGAGGCGCCCAAACTACAACCCCCAGCATGCAGCGCGGGAGGAAGCATGTTTCCCGGCAGCCCAAAGGGAAGAAGCGGGAGTCTTTTCCCCAGTTCTGCCTTCTTCTGGCTGCTAGAATGCGCGAGGGTTCCTCGACCAACGGCCTTCCGAATGTCCGCGCGAAAGTTCGCCTCGTGTGACCCGAGGCGGGGGCAGCTGGCGCCAGGGAGACGGGTGCGGGGCCCGGTGGGTATGTGGAGGAGCCGCCGCTGCCCTCAGCTGACTGAGGGGCTCAGAAGCCCTTCTGTGGCGGAGGAGCTGCCAGGGCGCACGCAGGATTCGAGCCCTTTTGCTTCTTTGTGGGCTTGTGCGCCCGCTGGAATAGGGTGGAGGAGGAGAGGGGGATCAGGAGCGGGCGTGTGCAGCGCCCGATCCCATCTGGAAGCCCCTTTGCAGTGCTTCTGCTTCCCCTCGCCTCGCAAGCGGCGCTTAACATCATCAATCGCTGGCCTCCTCTCCTTCATGTGCAAAAGGAGGTTCTTTTTATAACAGATCACAGACTCCCATTATGTGCAACCTGGGGAAACTCGGTTTAAGCAAAGGAATTGGCAAACCAGGCTATCAAACGACAGTTGCAAGTTTGTACGTTGGAGAGAACTGTGATTTCTTCCAAAGTGAAAGCAGCAGCTCTTTCTTCTCATCTACAAAGAACAGAAGTAGGGAAAGCACATGACGCTGACAGTTGCTATGCCTAATTCATAGTCAATTTCACCATAATGAGATTATAATTTGAACAGGACTATAAATTCATTACAGTAGCAGTGTTTTAAACCTATGAACAAATAGATGGTGATCACCACATCCGTGTTATCTGCATAAGGATGCAGTTAACATTTCAGGTGTGAAATATGGCTATGGTCGTGTTCTGCTTCCTATCTTTTCCTTTTTCATTCTTTATGTGGGCACAAGCTGTAATCACCATGAGAAAGGTCTGCTGTCCCTTGGCACAACACTCCCCTGACATCCTCTTCCCAATTGCTTAGTCCCCTAGTACCATCCTTTGCTCCCAGACTGCCCAGCAGCCATTTGTCAGTGCTGTCCAATTAATGTCCCCAAATTACCATTGTAGCAATCAAAGCTGCCTCGTGATCTCTCTATCAACCAATGGTGGCGCAGAAACAGAGCACCTGATTGCTGTACTGTACTTGAGTGAGCAGGCTGCTCACTCCCACAGGTTGAAGTGAGAATATATTTCCCAGGATGACCCACAGCCATTTCACTGCACCTTGGAAAACATAATTCCTTCTAGATATATGTGCTCATTATATGCAAATAAAGGGATGGGGCCATAAGAATAATAAGTAAACCTTGGAGTGGCCCTTTGGTGCCCTATCTCCTTTCCTGTTTTGTACATAGCATTTGGGAGCCAAAGAAAAGACAGTATAGTTATAAAATCAAGGCTGAAAGACCAATGAGCTGTACAAGAATGCTGCATTTCTCACACTGTTTTTTTCATTTTCAGTAAATCACTTTCAATGGGTTGTTACACAGATCATTACTAGGTTCCCTTTCAGCTCCCAATTCCATTCAGCTCTGGTGTTCTAATACGGAGTTTTGATATACTGTATACACATATGACAAAATAACTTTATTTTTTCCACAGCAGAGTTTGAATGGTGTAGGAAATGAATTTGTTTTATATTGATTTGAAGCTTGCAATGTGCTGTTTTCAGATGGTTTTTTTTTAAAAAAAGATATCAAATTTGATTCAGAAGAATATCAAAAGTGGTAGGGGAGAGTTTGTTTAGTGGTGGTGAATTCTTGTGTAGGATACAGTATATCTTTCTGAGCATTTTAATGTAAGGAAAAACAAACTGCTTTCTTAAAAAAATATTAAACTAGGGAGAAATGGTTGCCCTCCAGATGCTGCTGCATCACAGCTCCCATAATCCCTAACCATTGGCCATGTTAGTTGGAGACCACAGCTCAATGATAGAGCATATATTTTGTGTGGAGAAGGTCCCAGGTTCAATCCACAGCATTTCAAGGTATGGTTGGGAGAGACCCCTGCTTGAAATCCTGCAGAACAGCTGCCAGTCAGTGTAGACAGTACTAAGCTGGTTGGACCAATGATCTGACTTGGTATAAGGCACCTTCCTATGGAGCTGCCAGGAGTTCAGTAACACTTGGGGGAACACAAACGCTAAATGGTCCATTCTCATGTTAAACCACATTTTGCCGTATCCCGTGTTTATTAAATGATTTATCAAGGACCAATGGGGAACTTCAGTGTCACAGCTTGCCCAGTGCCTCTTCCTTCCCCCTGCCCCTGATTGTGCCATTGACTTCTGATTGGACTGAAACCCACACGAACAGCTCCCCATATGCTAGGTAAAGGTGGCTGGGAGACAAAGAAGTTCAGAGGGGGAGGGAAATGTGGTGTCCCTCATCTGAGGGCAGGGGAAAGATGCTGAAAGAAATGAGAAAGAGATACAGGGTTAATTTTTTAAAAAAAGAATAACAACAATAAACTGGTAATAGAAAAGTTGTTATAAAGGGAAGAAATCAATGCTAAAGGAACAGGGAGGAGGGTTGAAGCAAACAGGCAGTTTGCAGAATAATAAGTATGACAAGGGATAAAAATACTTGGGGAAACATGAAAGAGAGGAGGAAATAAAAAGCAAAATCTTTCTCTACTCCAAATTAGCAAATTTCTGGCTAAAATGGAGAGGCTGAGTTTCAACAGCCTTACAGCCAATGTATGCTCTTAGCATGAATGAAACTGAGCTATGGAACTCCTTGTCACAAGAAAATCTCTGAAGCAAAAAACTTGAGAAATTTCAAAGAGGGATTAGGTATCAGTAGAAAATGATGCCAGTAATTGTTAGCTGATTACGCCAAAGTCTGCCTCCCTCTGCTACAATTTTGTGACTGGTGGGTCTCAGTAATTTTAAGCTATATCAAATTGGAATGGAAGGTAGAGAGTTTGAGAACACGTTTATTGCTTGCTATAAATATTTGTACACAGACATTTGTCCTAACACCCAAACTTGTCACTTATCTACCACCATTATGAATAGTACTATGAACAGTGCTAAGGATTAGTGTCTCACACTGAACATTCACTCACTGTGAAAAACTCTATAAATTGAAAGTGGAGACACTATATGTTCTTTCCATTGTCTGTTTGTTTATTTTGTAGCACAATAGAATCTTCAATAAAAACAAAATTTAAAATAACAACCAGTGCTAACGATTCAGTTCTTGAGTATCCAGAGGTCATTGTTAACATCACAGAACCATTCCTGAATAAATATTTTATTTTCTTGTTAAAAAATTATTGCACAGAAGGAATGGACCAATTTGGGATTGGGATTTTGAAAAATATAAGATGATCAGCTTTTGAGGGTTTTAGAGAATGTTAGAAAATTGTGTTTAAAAGTATACTTGTATTAATCTTAGTTTGAAACATTACAGCATTTGTTTAAAACATTACAGCATTTGTTTAAAACATTACAGTATTGTATGTTCATATACAGTTTAATAAGTACAAGTAATAATTTGTAACTGGGTTACTCATATTTCTTCGCTTCATCTGAAGAAACCGCTGAAGTAATCTCTGAATTAAATGACACCACTGGGTCCACAAAATGGAGTGCCCGAAATAATTTCACATACCGATAGTAGCTGAAGGCAAGGACTCCGCAAAAGAAAACAACTATCAGGCAAGCCCAACCGGCAATCTTAAGCATGTTTAGGCTAAAATACAAACAAAATGGAACATAAGTGTGTGTGTGTTCATTCAATGAGCTGCTGGCTAATAATAATAATAATAATAATAATAATTTATTATTTATACCCCACCCACCTAGCTGGGTTTCCCCAGCCACTCTGGGCGGCTTCCAACAAAATATTAAAAAAACAATAAAATGCATTACTGTCACAAGCTCCACTGAATGGAATGTAATTATTTGTTTAGCTTCCAATACATGTAGAATGTTATTGGAACACCTACACAGAGCTGGGGTGTGTTATAGCAGGCTGTGCCCCTCTCACCTAAACTTGACACTGCTGTGGCACTCACTACGCATGCCATACTCAATCCCCTAGCTCATGATCTAATTTTCTGAGTCAATTTTTTACACACAGAGAATGTTAACATTCATATTATCAATCTTCCATTGAACTAGAAAAAAATCTGAAAGCCTCTAGGCTTTTTAAGAATGTAGAAAGTAAATACATCTTCCCAGATTTCAGAACATGGAGTTTGTTCAATGGATTTATACTAAACTTTGTATCAGGATTTTTACCAAACTTTTGTGCAGGAATGGGAACTAATGCTTGATCTCATGCCAACAAATCAAGAGTACTAATGCCTACCTTTCAATGATGCCATGTGTCCGAACTGCAAAATAAGCTTCATAAGGACAAAAACTGGAATAAAAAATGAGAGACTAAACATTATTTTTCATAACTGTAAACTACAACAGTCTTATAATGAGAGGGAAACCATCTTATAATTAGAGGGGAAGTCAAATTTTAGACGATTACTGCTTCAGAAAAATCAAGTGTAAGATTCATGACAGTGATGATACTGTGAGAGGAGTGGTGACAGATACATTTGGGCCCTTCAGAGACGGGGTTACTGATACTAGTAGTGCTTGATAGCCTTAACCAACATGAACAGGACTATTCTCCTTCCATATCAGCATGTGTTCTCTGCATGAGTATAAGAAAAAGGGCATGCTACCACAGCGCCCCACCCCCCAGCACCCTCATTTGTGAGATTGGTTATGTAACTGTTTTTCCATATGTACATAAGAAGCTGTAATTGCTGGTGTTGTACAGAGATTAAATTAGATGAACACACTCTCTGCATGGGTGTGTGAGAGGTTTTTCTACTCTAAGAAAATATTGTGTGTAAAAGAAAGCAGAACTGGTAACAAACTGTACTTGCAGATTGACTTTGTCTTCCTCCTTGGATACCATCAGTTTAGCACATGTGCAGAGGCGATATGCCAGGACCCTCCCATAACACAAAATGGATGAGATTCAGAGTTCTGTGTACCTTATTTTATTTAAATTGTTTTACTGTATTTGTCATCCAATAACTAAAGTTTTCTGGGTGATATTCAGCACACTGAACTGAAAATCTGCTATGTTACTGTGTTCCTAAGTAACAGCTAGATGTCATCTCTGCTATTGACCTGTTGTATAATGTACACCATATATGACACTCAATATTAGTTCTATATACTCGAAGAAGACCCATTGAAACTATTTAACTATTTAATTGAAACTATTGAACTATTGAAGTAACTTAAGACCACTGATTTCAATGGATCTACTCTGAATACGAGTTGACTATTGTCCCAAACACTTAGGGATTAACTTAATTACAAATTTATAAACATGTTCCATTCAGGTATAATTATATTCAAAAAAAGAGGTTTAAAGACTGTCTCAAGGCAAATCTTAAAAAATGTAGTATAAACACCAACAAATGGGAAACACTGGCCTGCGAGTGCTCCAACTGCAGAACAGCCTTTACCAAACGTGTCATGGGCTTTGAAGACACTCGAACTCAGGATGCAAGGAGAAACATGCTAAGAGGAAGGCACGCTTGGCAAATCCACACCGTGATCAACTCCTGCCCGGAAACCAATGTCCCCACTGTGGAAGGACATGTGGATCCAGAATTAGCCTCCACAGTCACTTATGGACTCATTGTTAAAACCGTGTTTATGGAAGACAATCTTACTTGGCAATGAGTGATCACCGAAGAAGAAGAAGAAGAAGAAGAAGAGTTTGGATTTGATATCCCGCCTTTCACTCCCTTTAAGGAGTCTCAAAGCGGCTAGCATTCTCCTTTCCCTTCCTCCCCCACAACAAACCCTCTGTGAGGTGAGTGGGGCTGAGAGACTTCAAAGAAGTGTGACTAGCCCAAGGTCACCCAGCAGCTGCATGTGGAGGAGTGGAGACGTGAACCTGGTTCCCCAGATTACGAGACTACCGCTCTTAACCACTACACCACACTGGCTCTCAAAGAAGAAGAAAGAAGATACTTAACCATACAACTGCTAATTATGTTAAAGCTAACCTGTAGTTTGGATCCATTATCTTCAATCTGAACAGGAAAATGCCAGCATAGTCCTGAGGCCAAATGATAGAGTTGATGCCAGAATGGTTCATGAGTTCATATTGATTATCTAGTGTTCCTAGAAGTCCAGCACCACCACTCATAAAACAGGATACGTAATTCTGGGTGGGGAAATGTAATTAATTTAACATAAGACAAACATCCATAATACGTGAGGAGTATGGTAAGTACAAATAATATACCTGCTTTATGTCCTAAAGTGTTTGCATAATAAATAAGTAGCTGATTCCATAGTTGTTGGGTTGCAAAAAATAATTAGGTACAGCTTAAGACACTTTAGTTTTCAAAGTATTGGCAAATCATGCAATCCAGAACATCAGCAAAGCTGGTGGGTAGGAGGAAGACCAAAGATGGAAGATCCAAAATATCTAAAGCTCTGCTTGGGACACACAAACAAGGTGGATAGAAGGGTGGAACTCCCTTTCTGGCTGTTTTTGAGAGGGTGGGGATAACATTACAATTTCCCACCTATTGTTTCCATGGGGTATATTTTGTTCTGTTTGGCGTGTGTAAGAAGAAGGCAAAGGTTTTCATGTCCCCTTTTTACCTCTACTGATATCTGTAAGATAAGGGCTACCTACATATGTTTCTACAGGGCTGGTAGGTGCCTTACAAGGTCAGATTTCCTGTTTCAAGGTAGGGCACCACCTGCTGCCTTTGGAGAAGGAGATCCAAAACATCACATAGCTCTAGAGATGCATTGCCAGTGACCACAGGATTGTGCCCTTCTTGCATTGCCTCTTGAATATTAATTTGTACGTCCTGATCAATATTCATAGGCAAAATACCATGAGAGCTTCAGAATTCATATTATTAATTTTCTTATTATATACATTTTCTTACATGTCTCCCCCAATAGCGATCTATAGTATATGCAGTAATGCTTTCTAGATCCTGAGGAACCATTGAAGACATATTTTGTGCTTTGCTCAAACAGCGTACCTGTTCAAAGAATATAAATGCACAAAGTAAAACAGAAATCACATGCACAGTCTCAGTCAAAGTCTCAGCTGTACAGCATATTTAAATTTTATCAATCTCTTAAGCTTGATACTGATGAAACTGGAAAATTTAAAGGTTTAAAGCATTGTAACACAAATACAACCCTTCATAGATTTCAGTCCATCCTGTTTTGCCTCCTGACACCTTGTCAACCTTACTGGGATCTCAGGTAAGGTCATGTGCAGCATTTGGAAACCTTATATGGTCTCGTGGAGGCTCTCACAAGAGCTTGCCAGAAGCCACCACCGCATCTACTTGCTTCTCTGGTAGTGTGTGCGCACAGACACAAAGAGGTATTCCTTGCATTCCACTGCCTGTTTGGACCTACGTCTGCCGGATCCAATGGACACTGCCTCCAAAACCTTTGGGCCAACAATTAAGGCACTGGCCCAGGCTAGGAATCTGTGGTGGACTTTGTGCCCCTTAAAATTCTGAAGATTCTGATGTTTCTTCCCATGGTAATTTTAAAAATGTAGTGTTGATAAGGTGTCCGGTCTAGAGGTTAGAAGGGTCAATTGGAGAGTGCCGACTTCATAGATCCTTAGAATTTTCGTATGTGGTGTTTTCTCAAATTTGGACAGAGCAGATGTAAATATCACATATGTTAAATGCAATAGCACATATGTTTTGGCCCTCAGTTTAGCATTTATACTCACTACAGATAACTTTTAAGGGGGAAGTGAAGTCAGGAAGCAGGAGGATAACTCGTGAGTGGCAGCTATGTTTCATATACTAATTGGAACGAACTAACCAATTTCTGGGCAGGCAGCTTATAGTTTATATCTGTTGGGCTGTACACAGCTGTTCCGTTATTAAAAACCAGGTATTGAATAAATTGTGTGTAGTTCACCATACTACACAAAAAGGAATTTAATACATTTGGCAGGTTCAGTTGGTTAAAGCATGGTGCTGATAATGCCAAGGTTGCAGGTTCAATCCCCATATGGAACAGCTGCCTATTCCTGCATTGCAGGGGGTTGGACTAGATGATCCTCAGGGTCCCTTCCAACTCTGCAATTCTATGATTCAGTTATTTCAGTACTTGTGTCTTGTTTATTAAACATGTTGCTTCTAAAGTTTTGAAGAATTTGCTTTTAAATTAATTTAGCACTGTCAAGAGGGACGCGAGTGGCGCTGTGGGTTAAACCACAGAGCCTAGGACTTGCCGATCAGAAGGTCGGTTGTTTGAATCCCCGCAACGGGGTGAGCTCCCGTTGCTCGGTCCCTGCTCCTGCCAACCTAGCAGTTTGAAAGCACGTCAAAGTGCAAGTAGATAAATAGGTACCGCTCCGGCGGGAAGGTAAACGGCGTTTCCGTGCACTGCTCTGGTTCGCCAGAAGCGGCTTAGTCATGCTGGCCACATGACCCGGAAGCTGTACGCCGGCTCCCTCAGCCAATAAAGCGCTGCAACCCCAGAGTCGTCTGCGACTGGACCTAATGGTCAGGGGTCCCTTTACCTTTACTTTAGCACTGTCAAGAGCTGTGTAAAAGACTGATTGAAACAACATCCATTAAAAAACCCTATTGTAAACAAAAATTCATATTTATTAAAAGCATTTATATACCACTTACTATTTCAAAGATGTTACCGTATTTTTCGCTCTATAGGACACACTTCCCCCCTCCAAAAATGAAGGGGAAATGCGTGTGCGTCCTATGGAGTGAATGCAGGCTTTTGATTAAGCCTGGAGAGTGAGAGGGGTCGACCCCTCTCGCTCCCCGGGCTTCAGGCAGCTATCCACAAACCTTCGGAGCGCTCCCCCAGCCTGCAAGCTCCGGGAGCGGCGGCAAGGCTGCACAACCTTGCCTCCGCTCCTGGACGTGAAATTTTTTTCTTTATTTCCCCCCCCTAAAAACTAGGTGTGCCCTGTGGTCCGGTGTGCCCTATGGAGCAAAAAATATGGTATATCACTAAAATAAAAACACAACCTCAAACCAGTTAAACAGCAATATAAAAGCATTCAAAAGGGAATAAAGCAGAAATTTGTAAGATTCAAACATGTAAAAAAGGTTCAATCTTAGATGTCGGGGAAAGCCTGAGCAAAAATATGTCTTCACAATACATCTATCTGAAGCAACTGGTGGTTGCTGTTTCATGAATGGCAGATGGAAGGGCATTTCACAGTTGAGGAGAAACAGCAGAAAATGCTGATTTTGAAGTCATTGCCCCAAGACATTTTATGGGGTGTGTGGTGCCATGAGAATTCCCCCCCCCCCCCGTTGATCTAAATGATCTTAAGGTCTAAAATTGGGCAGGTGGTCTCTTATTCTTGATTAACCTGAAAGGTTAGTGTACAAATGTCTGCTCACCTGTTTTACTGTTGTGTTATAATGGTAGTCATTCCTGCCATTCATCTCCCACAAGATATAATTTGCCTCAACAGTCCCAATCATCTTTTCACGCTCATATCTAGAAAGAACAGAAATACAGTGTCATGTCTCTGTAAAGGACAAAAAAAGACCAAAAACAACAACAACAACAAACCATACTAAGGGTATACACTATTGTAGGCCAGAGTTCTTGCCAATAAGGCAATTTTTAAAAATATGGAACTGTTGGGGAATTGTGGTAATGAAGATAATAGCTGCATTATCACTCTTTTATCTTTCATCTGATTGGGATGGTCAAAGAAAGGGCTTAACGAATAAATATATATAAATACATATTTTCCATGGGTCTATAGTGTTTAAAAGCTGCTTACAAGAGAACAGTAGGACGAAATGGACGTGCGTAATGGACCTCTATTGGGCAACCAAATAGTGCAAAATTGTATTCTTGCACCTAGGAGAAAGGTAGGTTAACATAAATCTCTCCTTGCCTTCTATTTGCATCAATAGTATACTTAACATATTTATTTATTCACTTTATTAGTTGCTTGGCACTTAAGGAGTCTCCAGGTGACTTACAAAACTTAAAAGCATAAAGCATGGCAGAGAATCAGAAAGAAGTACATTGTATTACAATAAAAGCTATGCAAACGCCACAAAACAGCAGAAAAACCTTTAACAGAAAAACGCCATTACAGTTGTACCTTGGTTTTCAAATGCCTTCGTACTCATTTTGGCTCCCAAACGCTGCAAACCTGGAAGTGACTGTTCCAGTTTGCAAACTATTTTTGGAAGCCGAATGTCCGGCGGGGCTTCCGCGGCTTCTGATTGGCTGCAGGACCTTCCTGCAGCCAATCAGAAGCTGAACTTTGGTTTCCAAATGTTTTGGAAGTCGAACGGACTTCCGGAACAGATTCCATTCAACTTCCAAGGTATTACTGTAATACCATCATAATCTCTCAAATGCTCTGTAGGTATGTTTTTACCTCGTGCCAAAAGCAGGACCTGGTTAGGGAAAGTGTTCCACTAGTGGGAGCTATAACTGAAAATTAAATGTGTAGTTCTTACCCAGTATTCTCCCTTTGTTTTGACCCATCGATATTTCCTAATGTGAGGGAAAAAATAAAGTTTGTCAATGGTAAGGACAATGTTTTATCTATCTATCTATCTATCTGTCTATCTATCTATCTATCTATTTATCTACCTATCTATCTATCTATTTATTATTATTATTATTATTATTATTATTATTATTATTATACCCCCACCCATCTGTCTGGGTTTACCCAGACACTCTGGGTGGCCCATAGCATATTTTAGAACATAATAAAACATCAAACATTAAAATCTTCCGGATACAGGGCTGCCTTCAGATGTCTTCTAAAAGTCAGATAGTGTTTTATTTCCTTGACATCTGAAGGGAGGGTGTTCCACAGGGAGGGTGCCACTGCCGAGAAAGCCCTCTGCCTGGTTCTCTGTATCCTCGCTTCTTGCAGTGAAGGAACCAGCAGAAGACGCTTGGAGGAGGACCTCAGTGTCTGGGCTGAACAACGAGGGAAGGAAATACTCCTTCAGGTATACTAGACCAAGGCCATTTAGGGCTTTAAAGATCAGCACCAACACTTTGAATTGTGCTCGGAAGCACGCTGGAAGCCAATGAAGATCCTTTAGGACTGGTGCTATATGGTCCCGGCGGCCACTCCCAATCACCAGTCTAGCTGCCACATTCTGGATTAATTATAGTTTCTGGGTCACCTTCAAAGCATAGCAGCAGTCCAAGCGGGAGATAATCAGAGCATGTACCATTCTGGTGAGACAGTGTGCAGGCAGGTAGGGTCTCAGCCGGCGTATCAGGTGGAGCTGGTAAACAGCTGCCCTGGACACAGAATTGACCTGCGTCCCCATGGACAGCTATGAGTCCCAGCCTGCGCACCTGGTCCTTCAGGGGCACAGTTACCCCATTCAGGACCAGGGAGCCCCCCCCACCTGCCTGCCTCCTGTCCCCCAAAACAGTACGTCCATCTTGTCAGGATTCAACCTTAATACGATAGCCACCATACATCCTCCAACTGCTTCCAGACACTCACACAGGACCTTAACTGCCTTCACTGGTTCAGATTTGAAGGAGAGGTCAAGCTGGGTACTATCCGCATACTGATGAACACCCAGCCCAAACCCCCTGATAATCTCTCCCAGCAGCTTAATATAGATGTTATTGCATATAATGTGTGATTAGGTCTCACACTTTAAATTTTAGAGTCACAACTGCTCCACCATTTGCCTCCTCATTTTTCACTACTAAATAGCTGTGCACTCCATTGCAATTCCTGAATGCTCAGTCCTCAAAAGGAAGAAGTGAAACGAGAAAATTAGGAGAAAATATTTAGCAGATTGAGGATGAGGAGGGAAACGGAGCCACTTTCACTTAGCTGACAAACCAGCAACTTCCAGCTCCTCTTCTTGTACCCCCCGCTCAATTTCAGCTGCTCATTATAAAGAGTTTTGGAACTAAGGACTACTAGTTTCTGATTTTGCTTCCCCACACTCCTTCATCCCAATTCCTTTCCCTTTTGTGTCATGGCCTTTAGATTATAAACCCAAGAGCAGGGTATTTTATGATTGCTCTTTGTAAACCACCCTGGAAGCCTTTTTTCACTGGAGAATAGTAAAAAAAATCCAACAAACAAACAAACAAGCTATGGAACATGGCTGAGAACAGGCATCCTATAAAATAAAATAGAATTAATTTTTTTAAGTGCTTTTTCTCTATAGCTTATCATTAAACTTCTAAAATGTTTTTCCTGATAATGACTACCACACCCTCCAACACTTCTCTGTTGAAAATAGGGATGTCCCATTCCATAATGACAATTTTACTATTTATATCCCACACATCTTATTGGGTTGCCCCAACACTCTGGGCAGCTTCCAACATATAAAAATAATAATAAAACATTAAACATTAAAAAAACTTCCCTATACAGGATTGCCTTCAGACAGCTCAGGGGTTGGATAAGTCCATACCCTCCAAAATTTATCCAATGAAAATAGGGACATCCTAAGGAAAAATGGGACATTCTGGGATCAAATCAAACTGGGATGGCTTCTCTAAATCAGGGATGTCCCTGGAAAATAGGGACACTTGGAGGGTCTGGACTACTTCAACTAGCAAGGCAGAAAATGGCTAGCATGGGTTTTGGCCTGATGCAGAAATGTTTCTATATTTCACAAGACTTTATATTTCATGAAAAGATCTATCCCACTGTTTCTTGAGTTGTCCTATTTACAGTGACTTAAGACACACATAAAATAGCTTATTCCCAAAACCTGTTTTACACAACTCAATTCAAAACTGAAATCTTAACATTCAACAGGGAAAAAAAGAACTGGAAAGATGGCTTTATTTGCCCTTGCAGTGGAACATGTACAATAAAAGTGGAGTGTTTTAATGAATAATTATATAAGTCTTGACAACATATATATTGATTCATGGTTCTTGTCATATCTGCCTATGATATACCTATGCAGCTACTATATTTAAAGTTTTGTTTTCTATTGATGTGTTAGTTTTGTTACAGCTTATGGCCAATAAAATAACATATTTACCTTATTTACACTTTCCATATAGCAAAAGGATATGGTGGAGTATAAATTTAGCAAAAGACTTAGTAGCAAGCTCATTATTGTGTTTTGGGACAGACTAAATGGATTTGCCAGCAAAGTTAAAATACTGCCTGCTTGGATGATCTTTTGGAGGGAGGAATTTTGTATCTGGATTCACTATCTCAGTCTCAGAGATGACCAGCACCATCAGAGTTGGCAGCTCTGATGTATGACATCATTAAAAAAACAAAAAAATGATGCCTGTACTCTACCACCTACAAACACTTAAATAAATTGGAATAGCAGTCGAAAACAATCTATTTCCATCCATATTTTATTTGAAGTTTCTTACGCGGGTACTTTGAATGTAAAAGTTTGATTGCTACATTTTGTGGGTCTGTGGACACAAAAAAGAGAAATACAATTATATAAAGATATTTACGATTAAATGATAGTTTGAAAATATAGCGCAGAATTTATTATGGTCCTTCTACATTTTATATATTATTCATATTCTTATTATTTCATTTATATATAGCTGAATGCCAAAATAGGGTTCTAAAAGGTTTACGAGGTATAAAACCAATTACACAAGCATTAAAATATAAACATCCATAATTAAAATACACAATAAAACAATCCAATGAAAATAACACAGCAATTTAAACAGATCTCTGGTCAAGAGTTCAAGAGAATGCCTACATAGACAGAAGCATCATCTAAAGCTGGAAGAATATCAGTACAAATGCAATTTCTTGCATTTCAGTAAGGAGTGTACAGTTGGCCTGCAACTTACACAGAGGTAACATTCCAAGGGTTTGCATGCAAAGGCAGGAAGACCCCTGAAACTGCCACCACATGACTATCCCTATCTTACAGGAAGTGGTGGAGGAAGAGGGGTGCGGGATGTGTGGTCCACCCTGGGTTTCATCACTGGGGGGGGGGTTGACAAAATGAGTTGTTTAAAAAAATTGGGCTCACAAAACTTTTTAGGAGGGACGTGGTGGCTGTGGCTGGATGGTTACGTGGGAGCCGATTGAAGTTAAATCCTTCGAAGACAGAGATCCTCTGGCTGGGATGGGACAATATGGGATTGAGGGCGCAACTCCCATCTCTTGCAGGGGTGCAATTAGTGCCAGCACCGTCCGTTAAGAGTTTGGGTGTAATCTTCGACACCTCCCATTCTATGGAGGCGCAGATTACAGCTATAACAAAGGCGGCATTTTTTCATCTCCGCCAAGCTAAGCAGTTGGCTTCTTACCTCTCTCGCCCTGACCTAGCCACTGTGATCCACGCGACGGTCACCTCCAGACTGGATTATTGTAACTCATTCTACGTGGGGCTGCCCTGAGACTGACCCAGAAACTCCAGCGGATGCGGAATGCCGCAGCGAGACTCCTTACGGGGTCTTCACTGTGAGATCACATTCACCCGGTGCTATACCAGCTGCATTGGCTCCCGGTGGAGTACAGGATCAGGTTTAAGGTGCTGCTTTAAACCTTTAAAGCCCTATACGGCCTAGGACCCTCGTACCTACGGGACCGCCTCTCCTGGTATGTCCCACAGAGGAACTTACGGTCTTCAAATAAAAATATCCTGAAGGTCCCAGGCCACAGAGAGGTTAGGCTGGCCTCAACTAGAGCCAGGTCTTTTTCGGCTGCAGCTCCAATCTGGTGGAACGCTCTGTCACAAGAGACTAGGGCCCTGCGGGACTTGACATCTTTCCGCAGGGCCTGCAAGACAGAGCTGTTCCACCAGGCCTTTGGTCAGGGCGCAGCCTGACTCCCTCCTTTGGCAATCTCTACAGAACTTTAGCTTAATGGCTGCCATCAATTTGATTTTAATTAATTTTTATAATGAAATGTTTTTAGAATGTTGTACTATTTTATTGTTGTTAGCCGCCCTGAGCCCTGCTTCGGCTGGGGAGGGCGGGATATAAATAAAATTTATTATTATTATTATTAGGTACCTGCAGGCTCCACGCTGCCTCAAATGGCAGCGTGGGACTTGCGTCTGCCTACTACCTCTCCCTCAGCTGCCCTACAGCTGAGGGGGAGGTGGCGGAGAGGCTCCAAGCGTTGGAAAGGCTCTCCCCGCACCCATGGGCGCAGATCGCCCCGCCCCTGATTGCAGGACATGCCCCCACACCAGGCACTGCTTACTGGGCTCTGGGAAGCATGTGGGAGACCTCTGGAAGGCTGTGGGAACCTTCAATGAAATCTTGCAGGGCTGTCCAAAATCTTGGGAGCCTCCCACTGCCTTCCAGAGGCCTTGCGTGACTTTCCCAGACCCCAATAAGCAAGGTGAAGGGCTTAAAAACTGTTCCCGCAGCAGGAAAATCCGGCTCAAAAGGCCTAGGATTAATATGAAGGAACTTTAAGTTATCTGAATTTGCTTAAAGTTAGTATTACTTCACAGCAGGCATAATTAATAGATCTCACTGCCATAAGCTGTGGTGAGGTGACAGTCACTGGCTTAGATGACTCTTAAAGGGACAAGACAAGTTTATGAAAGACAAGTCAATCAACAGATATGAGCTGAGAGAGCTAACTTGAACCCCCAAGTTTGGAAGAATGGTGCCACTGAACAGCCTTCTCAGAGGGAATACTATTGCTTTCATGCCTCACTTTGGATTTCTGGGAGCAGGATGCTGCGGTTAGATAGACCTTGTTGGTTCTGGTACATAAGTGTTCCTTGCGTTCACAGACAGGTTAATTTATCTCACTCATCTGCCCCCAAAACAGGGTTTCTGAGGTGGCTAAAACTCATAGTGAACCGCAATTAATAAACAAGATAAGACCAGTTATACAATACAGTCAACGTCAAAGAAAACCCTACAGCACCCAATCTGACTATAGTATCTACATTTATTATTTATTTATTTTTGGCAATGTAGAACATGGAGGAAGAAGGAAAAAATAGCATTGTTACTTGCTTTTCAATAGCCAGGTCTCGAAATACAGGACAACCAACATTTATGTGCGCTACCTGAAAAGAAGCACATTCTAGTAAGCTGACAGTTTCTGCCATCACACACAATGGCCAAAATATCAGTGGGGAAAAATAGTTTCTGTTCAAACTCACACCACTGTAATGGCACTCTGTGCGGGGGGGAGAGGGGAGAGAGACAGCACAGATCTAGGTTAAAAAGCTGACATTTGAAAGCCAATTTTTGTGATTTACATGCATGCAGTACAGTATTAAAATATATGTAACAAATAAAATAATACATTTTTTAATGTGCATTCCAATGCACAACATGGCTAGAGAAGTCCCACTGATCACATACTTAACTATTGCCATTAATCTCATTTGAATTGATTTTATAATGAAATGATTTTGGAATGTTGTATCATTTTAATGTTGTTAGCCGCTCTGAGCCCAGCTTCGGCTGGGGAGGGTGGGATATAAATAAAATTTTATTATTACTTATTATTATCTCCTAAAGAAATCAATGTACAACTTTGGCTAAATTGTGCCTCATTTGGAGGTGTCAAGCAGTTCACTCTCCCAGAAACTACTTACTCTTGGTAGAAAGCAAATTCATAAAATACGGTACTCTGGCTGCAACCCTTAGTATAATTACTTTTGATTAAGTCTCACTGATCACTTCATTTCCAAGGCTTGTCTTTAATTTTTCTAACTTATATTGCAGTTAATGGACCTACATTAGTTATAGCTATTCATTTCAATGGGTCTACACTGAGTTAAAGTTAAATATAAGACTGAGCCTGGAAAACTGAAACATCTTAAACCTACAATAGCAGGCTGTATCTCTTACAGATTTCTAATTCAAAAACTGAACTGAATGAGGGTGATCAAATCAAGTGATAAGAGATTGAATCAATTTTTGTAAGGGCTCATTAATGTATTGCTGACAAAATTATGTGGTGTCATCGCTGCTCAAGGAAGTGCTTGAAAGAGTAAATTCACCCTAACTTTAAATCTCTGTGCTTGAATAGCCATTCTAACTTTAGGCCAGGCTCCAACTTCTCTGTTGGGGGAAATTTTATTGAACAGGTGACTGTGGTGCCATTTCAGATATCCATGACTGAGTTGGTGGAAGAAGATTGGAAAAAATTTAAAGATTATTTACAGAAATATTGTAAAATCAATGAATGTTAGAAAAATGTTGGAATGAAGTTACATGGCTTTAGTAGAAATGTTATAAGGAATTAAGTATAAATAGATTAATAGAGTATTAAAGGAAAAAATAAGGTTAGAATGAGTTAAGATAATTATAGGATAGAAAACAGAGATAGATGAAAAGGAATTGCTGAAATAATTAACAGAAGTGGAATACAAAAAGGGAGGTGTGAGGTTGTGGAAATAAGTGAATGAAAGATGGGTTAATGAAATTGTTTGATTTATTTTATTGTTGTTGTATTGTTTTGTTAGTTTAATGTATTGTATTGTATGTGTTTTTTCTTTTCTTTTAGTGTTTAATTTTTTTGGAAAAGTAATAAATATTATTTTTAAAAAAACCAGATATCCATGACTGAAATAATTTATGAATAACTTGACATTTATTATGAATAGTATTGACATAACTCTTCTTATCATACCTGTCAACTTACAGATTTGAAAATAAGGGACCAGCAGCCAAAATAAGGGATTTTCAGAGCACAGGGATGTTTGACTTCTGAGCCCCTCCGAGCCAAAGGCAGAAAGCCCAGCCAGTAGCCAAACAAAGCCTCAAGCGGTGGTTCCCACAGCGCAACAACCCGGCAAAGGGGGTGCAGCAAGGAAAACCACCGTCACCTCTCCGCTGGGAAGCGCTGAGCAAAGGCGAGTCCCTAGGCAACGCGGCCGATTTGATCGGCACAAGGCATGCAAGCTCCACCCTCCAATCGTTCTTAGACTCCTTATTGGGTGAGCAACACAGCCAAGCAACACAGTTGGAGCCTCCCTCCTCCCTGGCCGGCAGGGAGGGAGGGAGAGAAGCTGCTTCCTTTGAAATCCGGGAAATTTAAGGGACATCATCAATAAGGGACAGCAGCGGGACATGGCGCTGGGATAAGGGACTTTCCCGCCAAATAAGGGACGGTTGACAGCTATGCTTCTTATCTTTTATATTTTATGATTGTTACATTATGTTATGAATGTATGTATGTATGTATGTTATGCTGTATGTTATTCTGAAGCCTTTGAGCAAAAGGCTGTATAAAAATGTTTCAACAAACAAGCAAGCAAGCAAGCAAGCAAGCAAACAAACAAACACATTCGTTGATGAGAGTCCTCCTCAACCCTTTATCATATGACGGCAATATTTTTAGACTGACAGTAATTCCAGATGGGCAGTTTATTGAGCATTCATCTTGATTTTTTTTGCACATAATTTGTGAAGAGGCTATATGACACTGCCATTTAGTAGTTGGTATCTTGTGTAATTTTTCATCACTTATCTTACCATCAAAAGTCAGAAAGGGGAAAGTTAACAAAAATTGCACTGGTGAGTGTATGCTAACAACCACTAGATGGCAATGTCATATAATGTCACAACCACAAAAAGTGTGAACAAATCAGGATAAACTCAGTAAGCTCAATAAACAACTACCTGAAAACTGTGAGTATTTTGATTGTTTTGGTGGACAATCTTTGAAAGTCACAGCAACATCTTGATTTTATTGGACTTCTCAGCGGCTTTTGTCCCTGATATCGTTGAAGTATCAGATATTATCAGATATTATACTGCTAGTGACTATCCAAGACAAACACTTGAGATGGTTTTAATTTTACCTCTCAATATGTACCCAGATAGTGGAGACAGAACTGTGTCTTGTGAGGCTCTTTTTATTTGGTAATGTTTGTCATTTAATATTTATGCAAAACTGCTGGGAGAGAGAATGTGGAATTTAAGAGTTTGATATGATTAACATCATGATGTTGCCTAACTTTCTGCTTCATTCTTTCTCTTTATCATCCATTAACCAAGAGCATCCTTGGTCCTGAACTCATTGGTGTCTGAAGGCTACGGTCTGCTGGATAAGGAGCATAAAGCTGAACCTGGATAAAATGGAGCTGATGTTGATAGAGGATCCAAGGAGGCTGGAGCCCTTGCCACTGACAGGCATTTCCCTTGATAGAGTATGTATGCAGCCAAATGCTGCTTATTGTACAGCTGCTCCTGACGATCCAGGTTGTGGCCAGGAGATTTTTCTATCTGATCTAACCTCTGTCCTTCCACCCAATATGAATGGCAGAACTGTATTCAGTGGTACCTCAGGTTAAGTACTTAATTTGTTCCAGAGATCCATTCTTAACCTGAAACAGTTCTTAACCTGAAGCACCACTTTAGCTAATGGGGCCTCCTGCTGGAGCACAATTTCTGTTCTCATCCTGAAGCAAAGTTCTTAACCTGAAGCACTATTTCTGGGTTAGTGGAGTCTGTAACCTGAAGCGTATGTAACCTGAAGCGTATGTAACCTGAAGCATATGTAACCCGAGGTACCACTGTACTGAAAAATGGGGACCAGGCGGTCAGCAATATCTATCAGCTATTATTGTATGACTAGGTGGTAGTTTTCTAAAACCTCTGGTTTCAGGAAGGGCCGCTTCAAAAGGGGCCACACCACCCTGGCTCCTGTCAAGTTCGGCAAGAGATGGGGCACTATGACGGCAGAAGTAGTGTGTGTGAGAGCAATTCCCATTTAAACTCAGGCAGTGAAACAGGATGGGCTGCCCAGGGGTGGGGAATAACAAGAATTTTTAACAAAATGTGTGGAATGAACCTATGTTCTGTTCAATCAGCCATCCTGTACCTCACAATATTTTATTCCATCCCTCCTCTCACTGGGAATGTCTGTAATCCTCCTACACACTTCAAGCAGCAGTATGCGGCTCTGTCCTTATTGGGTTTTTTGGGGGGGCAGGGTTCCCCTTAGGATTTCCCCTCTAATGTTGTTTTTTCCCCTTCTGCACACCATGTGGTCCTCCAAGCCAACTTTATCTTCATTTGATATAAAGTCAGACATTAAAGATCTCTATCAGGTAGTTTTAAAAAAAATGAAAGTTTTTGCAACAGTGTATTTGTTAGTGCTTAAGGTACTATGGTATTCAGTTGTTTTCATCCTTTTTAAAAAAGAAAGATTAGCATCTCATGCTAAAAACTTACCTTGTTGGGAGTCATACATGTTCTTCCAGTGAGGGAAGGTTCCACTTCAATTGTCATAATACCCGTTGAACTAATTCTACAAGGAAGTATCAGCCATAAAACAGGTATATTTAAGACACTTAAAATTAATCCTTAATATAATACTTATGTGTTGCCTTCACAATTGATATTTATTTTATTATCTGTTCCCAAAATTCAAATCCACAAACTTAATTTTTTAAGAGTTCAGTATTATACTTGAGATTCTGGCTGGGGGATTCAGGGTCTGGTGAAAGCACCGCAATACTGTCAGAATTTAACATATATTGCTGGCATGACTGATGTGCCAGTGGAACTCCCACAATCTGCCAACAGAGCACTCTGTCAGTAGAACTGTCCCACAAGCAAAGATACACTGGCAAAGCAGCCAAAAAAGGATAGAGATGATGAAAATGAGAGTGGAAGCATGGCTACCCATTGCAACATGGTGCACAGACACGGCTGGGGGTATGCTAAGGGCCCAAACAAATCTGGCGATGGTGTTTGCTGTCAGTGTGGCCACTTGTATTCATCATTCATTTGACCTTAGAACTAAAAACCCCTTTGCATGAGAATTGTTGTTTCTACATATTGATTTCCTATCTGAAATAATGACCTCAAGCTTTTATAGTAACATCCCAAAAAGGGATCCAATGCTAAGCAACAGGATGAGGATATCAAGATTTTTAGATCCCATGCCAGGTTTGTGCCCAACTTGGGAATCTGTGTGTCAAATTTTGGTTCCTTGTGGGTAAAACTTGGTTCATTTAAGAACTTCAGACTTATAGGTGAGGCCTTCAAGCAAGAGATAGCAGTTTCTGACCCTCAGCTAGCAGGCCCAAGATATACTGCATCTGCTTATTTTGTACCAGTATCCCAAGGACAGAAATTGTCATTTACTAACTATAGTTACATTTTTCCACTGTGCTGTCATAGGGCTCTATCATCCAACCTAGGTTCTGGAAATTTGCAGCTAAGTAGCCTTGTGATTGGCTGAGAAGTGGGATAAGAGGCAAAAATATATAAAAGCGATCTACCTTGTAGTATTCCTTGCCCCAAACTAGCCCCTCTGCTAGCCTCCTGTTTATCCCCATCTTGTATTCTGAGTTTTGGTTGTTGAACTGACCTGTCAAGCCACATCTCTTTGCAAAGTCAGAGCGTGATGATGAAGTATCTTAGCTTAGGCTGTCCAATTTTTCGTTGTTTTTAGTGTATTTTCCATTATGTTTCTGATTTCTTAATTGACCTCCTAAAATATTTTCTTCCTATTTAGTAACAGGGTTCTTACCGTGGTATTATTTTATTATTCTTAAACATATATGTTCTACATTTTACTGTGGTTATTTGGAAATCTGCCTTGGCGTAAATCAGTGCCTTAGATCTATTTGATCATACTTAGCTACCATACAAATGGTTGTTTTTGCTGGAGGCTTCCTGGAACCTCACAGGGATCCCACAGAGCTACAGGCATCTCCTGGGTCTGAAGGAAAGGACTCTTAACAGGAGTGGTGGCAGCATACAATTTGGGGGATTTGGTTGGACACTGAACCCTATAATCTTTACATAGTGGCATCAGCTGGAGATTAACTATTCAGAAATGTGTGCCCTAGCTGAGATACAATTAATTTGGAATTTCTTGAACGTTGTCTGAGCAATATGTTTGGGGTAAATCATTATAGACAAAAGTAAGTGGACAAAGGTTTTTTTAATACAATCTATGTTTATGTGGCGAGGACAACACCATTCAGTGAGTACCTTTTTCCTTCTCTTGTTTGTACACCAGAGAAACTGATGGGTAACCTTTTTTAAAAAAATGTGTCTAAGATTGTCCACAGCTTCCTCAAATATTAGATTTCCAAAGTTGGAAATGCAAATAGTTTTAGGCTTTGGATCTTATGCTAGAGCCCAGTTTGCCCAAATAGAAATGGTTTTAAATTGGTGTCCTGGAGAAATATTTTTAAATTACGTATGGTGCCAAGGAAAAACAAAATTCTGCCTTAATAAGTTATATAATTCTGGTATGCAATTTCCCCAGAGTTTTCACATTGTAAACTATGGCTTGGATCCAAAGAATGTGAAACTAGTTCTTGGAGCCTAGGCAGACTTTATATCAGCTCCCCGTGCCATGTGGCAGATTGTGTTTCAAACTGAGACAAACTTTAAAAAACAGGCTGTGATGTGTCACGGAAGAAGCAAGCTGTTCAATGGGTTTAGTTTTATTAAAAATAAATAAATTTTGCATTAGTGCAAGCCTCTTGCTTCAGGGTGCATGCATACAGGCAAATGTACTAATCTTCACAAAAAGGAAAGAGAATAGTTGAACTCAAATTTATGGGCATACACTAGAAAAGATTATAAAGAAATCAATCTGTAAGCATCTTGATAACAATTGCAGTGATTAATTGAAGCCAACATGAATCTGTCAAGAATAAATCCTGCCAGACTAATAAACTCATAGAATCATAGAATCATAGAGTTGGAAGAGACCACAAGGGCCATCAAGTCCAACCCCCCGCCAAGCAGGAAACACCATCAGAGCACTCCTGACATATGGTTGTCAAGCCGCTGCTTAAAGACCTCCAAAAAAGGAGACTCCACCACATTCCTTGGCAGCAAATTCCACTGTCGAACAGCTCTTACTGTCAGGAAGTTCTTCCTAATGTTTAGGTGGAATCTTCTTTCTTGTAGTTTGGATCCATTGCTCCGTGTCCGCTTCTCTGGAGCAGCAGAAAACAACCTTTCTCCCTCCTCTATGTGACATCCTTTTATATATTTGAACATGGCTATCATATCACCCCTTAACCTCCTCTTCTCCAGGCTAAACATGCCCAGCCCCCTTAGCTGTTCCTCATAAGGCATCGTTTCCAGGCCTTTGACCATTTTGGTTGCCCTCCTCTGGACACGTTCCAGTTTGTCAGTGTCCTTCTTGAACTGTGGTGCCCAGAACTGGACACAGTACTCCAGGTGAGGTCTGACCAGAGCAGAATACAGTGGCACTATTACTTCCCTTGATCTAGATGCTATACTCCTATTGATGCAGCCCAGAATTGCATTGGCTTTTTTAGCTGCCGCGTCACACTGTTGGCTCATGTCAAGTTTGTGGTCAACCAAGACTCCTAGATCCTTTTCACATGTACTGCTCTCAAGCCAGGTGTACTTTTTAAACTCATTTTTAAAAATTAGGTTACTAGATTATGGATTTTGGAAGTGCTGTGATTTTTATTTCTCTTACTTTCAGAAACACATTTGACGAAGTTCTACATATTATTTTGGTTACTAAACTGGTTAAGTGTGGACAAGTGCTCATCAATTGTTCCTCATCAACCCGGAGAGAGACTGAATGTGCTGCTGCAGGGCTCTAGTCTGGGCTTGGTTTTCTTCAACATTTTTAGTAGTTTTATAGATGAAAGGGAGGAGTGAATCATGAAATTTGCCAAAGGCACAAAACTCAGAACTGCTACCTAACATCTCAGAATGACCTTGATAGAATGGAAAGCTGGGTCAAAAATAGCAAAATGAAACTCAAGAGACATATGCAAATATCTGTTTTGCAATACATTTTAAAATTTTCAGGTAAAGAATGGCAGGAAACATGGCTTGGCAGTAGTACAAAGTTCTTGGGATTGTAATAAACCATAAGCTGAATGTGAGTCAGCAAAGTGATCCAGCTACAAGGCAGCTAATGTGATTTTAGGCTGCTTCAACCAAATCATAACATCCCAATAATGAAAAGTGGTAGTTCCACTTCATTCTATACTAGTTAGAACTCACATGGGAGTATTGTGTCCAGTTCTGCACACCACACTTTAAGAGTGATATGGTTTGCCTGAGCCCTCTCCTAATTACTGGATCCAGCACAGATTCAATTCCTGAAATAGCCAGGCTAGCTTCCAGGTGGGCTAGTGTCCCTCTAAGTATGAACCATTAAGGCAACAAAGGAAGTGGCTCTGTGCCAGATGACAAATAGATGAGCCCCCTTACTTCAACTCGCTGGTAGTTAGAAAGACAAAACCAGAGTTGAAGGTCTGAGTTACGTGAGCTAGAAGCAAGGCTGCAGGCTGGGCAGCTGGGAGGAGCCATGCCTGATTTCTGCTTGAATCCAAGGCTGTGGCTATTGGGGAAGCAACACCTTCTTGAGGTGTTAATGCGGTGTCCATCAAGCTCATGTTGTATATATGTGTAAATAAACCATATATCATAAAGATACCACAGTCTCCAGTGTCCCTCATTCCAAAGGAAACTGAATCCTAGGTAAGCCTGGAATCTTGCACTGCTTGGAGATTAGGGTGGCATGCAATAATATAGACAAATGAGAATGGGGTGATGAAGATGTTAGGTAGTATAGAAAACAAGTCCTATGAGAGAAGGTTAAAGGAATTGGGTATATTTAGTATGCAGAACAGAAAACTGAGAAGGACCTGATAGCACCCTTCAAATACTGGAAGAGCTGTCACATAGAATATGACAAACACTTCCCTGCTGCTGTAGAAGATAAGACTAGATCTAATGGGCTTAGCTTACTGAAGGGTAAGGTAAAGGTAAAGGTACCCCTGCCCGGACGGGCCAGTCTTGACAGACTCTAGGGTTGTGCGCTCATCTCACTCTAGAGGCCGGGAGCCAGCGCTGTCCACAGACACTTTCGGGTCACGTGGCCAGCGTGACAAGCTGCATCTGGCGAGCCAGCACAGCACACGGAACGCCGTTTACCTTCCCGCTAGTAAGCGGTCCCTATTTATCTACTTGCACCCAGGGGTGCTTTCGAACTGCTAGGTTGGCAGGCGCTGGGACCGAGCGACGGGAGCTCACCCCGCCGCGGGGATTTGAACCACCGACCTTTCGATCGGCAAGTCCTAGGCACTGAGGCTTTTACCCACAGCGCCATCCGCGTCCCTACTACTGAAGAGTAGATTGTTGCAAAGACAGAACTAGCTTTAGCCATTAAGGAACAGGAATATAAACATATGTGAATGCATGGTGATAATTTTGAAAGAGAAGAAAACCAAGTAATTGCACAGAATTTGGGACCAGCTGCTGAAAATATGAGGTTGTCTGAGGAGTAGGGAGAACAGGAGAGTTGTAATGAACATTTACAATGCCGGTTGGAGGACATGAAGTAGAAAAAGCAGATTTGCAAGGACCTGTGAAAGTTCTGACACAGCAACTTGAAAAAGCAACAGGTTGCTAATAGAAATTTGGAGGGGTGTTGAAGGAGCAGCTCCATGCTCAGAAGCCAATTTGTTGAATTGTTGGAGCTTATTTGGATAATGATGATGATATATGGGAAGAAGAGTGGAAACAAGAGTGTAATAGCAAGGATATTCATTCACATATTTTAACAGTACAGGGTGTACTGACAATAAAAGATTACAGGGGAGATAGGATAAAGAGCAACAGAGAAATTGTAATGGGCTTGCTGGTGAAAATAGATAAATAGATAGATATGCTGGACTGTGGGGGACATTTGCTGGAAGGGGAAGTGGATTAGATATTAGGGGTCAAGGCTGGCATCTCTTATTGAAAGCTGGGTGTCAGATAAAACATCTTGATGCAGTTCCATTATATAAAAAAAGACTGATAAATTGTTTCTAGAGTACTTCACTGTTGTAAAGAATCTGCTGTTTTCACAGCCACCACACACCGGGTTGACATCTTCATTGAGCTATTTATCATAACTTCAATGCCTCATTCCTGATCCGTCACCTCCAGTTCCAGACCCCATGAGCATATATGTGAAATTCACTGAGTTTGGAGAGATGTTTTCAGAGCTCTCCGCAAGCTCTTTTTGTTTTCATGACTCAGAACAGTTTTGTATCATCATCAGTCTTAGCCACCTCACTGCTTAGTTCTAACTTTAGTTCATTTATGAACAAGTTAAAAAGCACAGGTGCCAGTACTAATCATTGGGGGACTCCACTTTCTACTTCTTTCCATTCAGAGAACTGTTGCTCTTCCTCTATTATGCACTGAGCCACAGCAAGGCTCTTGGTTTCAGCCTGCAACTCAGAATAGAAAAATGTCTGTGCATTAACCCCCAGCACAAGATCTTTGGTTTGCATTGGAACATTGTGGTTCTATGCTAGGGATCATTGGGAAAGGAATTAAAAATAAAGCTGCCAGTATCAAAATGGCATTATATGAATCTATAGTGTGACAGCATTTGTGTTACTGTGTACAGTTCTGGTTGCTTCTTGGTGACCAACTCCCCTTTGAAGAAAGGTTGCAATGTTTGGGACTTTTTAGTTTAGAGAAGACGCAAGTTAGAGGTGACATGATGGAAGTTTTTAAAATGAGGCATGGCATGGTAAAGTGGATAGGGAAAAGTTTTTCTTCCTCTCCATTACGCTACAACTTGTGGGCATCCACTGAAGCTGAATGTTGGAAGATTCAGGAGGGATAAAATAAAGTACAGTGGTACCTCAGGTTACATACGCTTCAGGTTACAGACTCCGCTAACCCAGAAATGTTACCTCGGGTTAAGTACTTTGCTTCAGGATGAGAAGAGAAATCGTGCTCCGGCAGCGCAGCAGCAGCAGGAGGCCCCATTAGCTAAAGTGGTGCTTCAGGTTAAGAACATTTTCAGGTTAAGAATGGACCTCCGGAACGAATTAAGTACTTAACCTGAGGTACTACTGTACTTCTTCACACACCACATAGCTAATTTATGGAACTTGCTTCCACAGGAAGCAGTCATGGCCACCAGCTTGGATGGCTTTACAAGAGGATTAGACGAGCTGATGGAAGAGAGGGCTATTGATGGCTATTGGCCATGATGGCTATGCTTTGCCTCTACAGTCAGAGGCAGCAGAACACCAGTTGCTGAAAAGCCACTGGAAGGTAGCGTGCTCTTATGCTTGAATCCTGCTTACTGGTTTCCCACAGGCATTTGTCTGGCCATTGTGACAACAGGATGGTGGATTAGATGGGCTGTTGGCCTGATCCAGCAGGTTCTTCTTATGGTCATGTTCTGAGCAGATGAAAGGGAGGCCTAAACTCCAGTGGCCCCCTGTCAGAATTGGACTATAATAGCAGCATTACAACCACATCATATTTAAAGTCCTTGTGGACCACAGAGGGGTTAGTTAGGAACTGAGCTGCAAAGGACACCTTAGGATTCAGCTGCTGAATGTACTTTACTCAGAGAACAGCTTGTGAATATTATTGTGATTAACCAAACACCTTTAAATGAATTTGTGGGAACTGCTACTTATATGGCTGGCACAATAATAAATTTCACTGGGAGGCTGGGTCTGTAACCCATATTGATATTTTGATATGTGTAATTTTGAACCATCTATTGTTGAAATAGATACAATGAAAAAAGATATTGCGCTTGATTTACCTCATTTGAGAGTATTGACTGATGATTTGAAAATGCAAAGTGTAGTTAAACAATGCCAAAGCTCTCATCATAGTGAAAAAGGGAGATCTTAAAGAAAAATGGTGGTCCATCTCAGAAGGGGACTTGGACTAAACCCATGGCCTCACTTGTAAAACCAAGAATAGATAGGACCCCCAAATTAACAGCTCCCAGAAGGCTTCCCAAGATGGAACGTGGTCTTTGGAATTAAAAAGAACTTCCCCAGCCCTGAGCTAGTTCCAATAAGCCTTCAGTGTGCTTATGCTATTGACTCTTCTGAAATGTAAATGTAACCAATAAATTGTTAACCATTTTCATATTTTAACTATCATTATACTTACATTGCATCTTCATACTCTCCCTCTGTTGAATAATCATGGTCATGATAAAGTGTTACAGTCTTTAAGATATAATAAACAACAATAATGAATAGTTAGTCTTAAAATACCATATATTTAAGGGCTGCAGACAGGTAACATTACTCATCATATCAGAATAAAACAGGTTACTAAAAGTTAAAAGAACTTCAAATTATATAAAATATAAACTCCACTTTATCCTAGACATTTGAATCCCCCTTCATGGATCACTGCCTTGCCTTGGCGAAGGGGCTTGAATAACTCGGAGAAGCTATGAGCTATGCCGTGCAGGGTGACCCAAGATGGACAGGTCATAGTGGAGAGTTTTGACCAAACGTGATCCACCTGGAGGAGGAACTGGCAAGCCACTCCAGTATCCCTGCCAAGAAAACTCCATGGACAAAGACAAAAGGCATATAAAAGTTATGACGCTGGAAGATGAGCCCCTCAGGTCAGAAGGCGTCCAACATGCTACTGAGGAAGAGCGGAGGACAAGTACAAGTAGATTCAGAGCTGATGAAGCGGCTGGGCTAAAGCCGAAAGGCTGCTCAGTTGCGGATATGCCTGGAAGCGAAAGGAAAGTCCAATGCTGTAAAGAAAAATATTGCATAGGAACCTGGAATGTAAGAACCATGAACTTTGGTAAGTTGGATGTGGTCAAAAATGAGATGGTAAGAATAAATATTGACATCCTGGGCATCAGTGAACTAAAATGGATGGGAATGGGAGAATTCACTTCGGATGACCATCATATCTACTACTGTGGGCAAGAATCCCGTAAAAGAAATGGAGTGGCCCTCATAGTCAACAGAAGAGTGGCGAGAGCTGTACTGGGATGCAATCTCAAAAATGATAGAATGATCTCGATACGAATCCAAGGCAGACCTTTAACATCACAGTAATCCAAGTTTATGCACCAACTACTGGTGCTGAAGAAACTGAAATTGACCAATTCTATGAAGACTTACAACACCTTATAGAAGTGACACCAAAGAAGGATGTTCTTCTCATTATAGGGGATTGGAATGCTAAAGTAGGGAATCAAGAGATAAAAGGAACAACTGGCAAGTTTGGCCTTGGAGATCAAAACGAAGCAGGGCAAAGGCTAATATAGTTCTGTCAAGAGAACAAGCTGGTCATCACAAACACGCTCCTCCAGCAACACAAGAAATGACTCTACACATGGACATCACCAGATGGGCAGCATCAAAATCAGATTTATTTTATTCTCTGCAGCCAAAGATGGAGAAGCTCTATACAGTCAGCAAAAACAAGACCTGGAGCTGACTGTGGCTCAGATCATCAGCTTCTTATAGCAAAATTCAAGCTTAAACTGAAGAAAGTAGGAAAAACCACTGGGCCAGTAAGATACAATCTAAATCAAATCCCTTATGAATACACAGTGGAAGTGAGGAACAGGTTTAAGCATTTAGATTTGCTGGACAGAGTGCTTGAAGAACTATGGATGGAGGCTCGCAACATTATACAGGAGGCAGCAACAAAAACCATCCCAATGAAAAGGAAATGCAAGAAAGCAAAGTGGCTGTCCAACGAGGCCTTACAAATAGCGGGGGAGAGAAGGCAAGCAAAATGCAAGGGAGATAGTGAAAGATACAGGAAATTGAATGCAGATTTCCAAAAAAAACAAGGAGAGACAAGAAGGCCTTCTTAAACGAGCAATGCAAAGAAATAGAGGAAAACAACAGAATGGGAAGAACCAGAGATCTGTTCAAGAAAATTGGAGATATGAAAGGAACATTTCGTACAAAGATTACCATAATAAAAGTGGTAAGGACCTAACAGAAGCAGAAGACATCAAGAAGAGGTGGCAAGAATACACAGAGAAATTATACCAGAAAGATATGGAAGGCTCGTACACCCCAGGTAGTGTGGCTGCTGACCTTGAGCCAAAAAAACGAACAGATCCTGAAGCTGAGGCTCCAATACTTTGGCCACCTCATGAGAAGACTCCCTGGAAAAGACCCTGATGTTGGGAAAGATTGAGGGCACAAGGAGAAGGGAACGACAGAGGACGAGATGGTTGGACAGTGTTCTCGAAGCTACCAGCATGAGTTTGACCAAACTGCAGGAGGCAGTGGAAGACTGGAGTGCCTGGCATGCTCTGGTCCATGGGGTCCCGAAGAGTCAGACAGGACTAAACAACAACAACAGAATATTCATGTACAACTTTGTATGTATTTAGTGAATCATAAAACTTGATTATATTAGTTCTTATTTAGTTAGTTATTTAAAATATTACAGTGGTACCTCGGTTCTGTCCAGGTTAAGAGCGATTTGGTTTACAAACTCAGCAAAACTGGAAATAGTATCTTGCTTTGAGAACTTTACCTCAGTCTAAGTATGGAATGAGAATGGTGGAAGGGCACTGGTGGCAGGAGGCCTCATTAGGGAAAGCACGCCTCGGTTTAAGAAGAGTTTTGGTTTAAGAACGGACTTCTGGAACGGATCAAGTTCATAAACTGAGGTACCACTGTATTATAATAGCCCCTTTCTGAGCTATCATGACTGTGGAAATCATTGCACCCATTATCTATAGGTTTCATGTAGAAGTGTAAGTTCATAAATCTGGTTCATCCATGGAATTCCCATTGAATCAGAAATATGCTAGTAGCCTTGCATGTGTCTGTAGCCAGTAACATATCTGAACCAGACAGCCTGACCCAAGAAACAAACAGGAAGAAAAATGCAAGCTTCACCTACCTGATTCTTAGTACAAATTCCACGTGCTATTTCATATTGAATAGAGTTATTTTGCTTCAGCAAGTGTGACCTGTAGATTGTAACTTCTGTGGACAATCCCACATTTTCCAGAAAGACAATCTGGGCCCAAAAGGTCATATTTGTTCCCATATCCAGATAGTAAGTATCTGCTTCCATATTTTGCTGAAATGATATATACGGACAGACCTCTCCTAAAGGATTTGTGGCACTAAGTACTTCAGTTTTCAGTGGATAAGCCTTGTAATATATATGAGTACCATTGTTTATGAGCAAAAAGAAGTCACCATGCCCATTCACATATATGGCAAAGTCTCTGGCTTCAGTTTCCCAAGCACTGAGCCTTAGAACATCTTTCATATTAAACTTTAAGAAAAACATGTCATTGTTTTTCATTTTGATCACAGTGTTTCCAGCACTGCCTATAAAAAGGAGAGAGAAAAATAGATAGAGCTTAATATAACATCTGGTTTATGTATATAATTATATTACTATTATCAATAAAAGTACAATTCTTTCTTATCTTTTCAGTAACAGTGATTGATTGTTTTAACAAACATTTGTCCTTAGTACAAATTTGCCTTGAATTGTGGCAAAAATTATCTATAGAAAACGTATGCTTGTGATTCTGAACATTCATTATTTCTTGAAATTATTTGTATAGTGTCTTTCATTTCCAAGGTGATTTCTGGGGCACATTGTTTTAAATTAAAATTGGGAACACACATTATTCTTCCTTTCAGAAGGCCACATTTTCTTCTCTCATATCCAACAACAATGTGCAAACATCCTGTTCAACTGTAGGATGACCAATTAATGCTACTTCCTGGCAGCCACCCTCCCAGCATGCAGCCAAACTAGGGTTCAGGGATGAATCTGAGTCTCCTGTAACTCAGCTATATTGCAGCCTCTGCCAGAGAAACCTGGAGTATTGTTATTCCCTTACTTAGGATAATGTCATTACATACATCTGGTAGCTAAATTTTGCAAGGCACACATCGCCACACCTTATATTTATTTCAGGTATACAAACTCCTGAAAACATACTAGTGACCCTGGCAGAATTTTGGAAAGAATTGAGGTACACAGTCCAGAAGTTGGTATATGAAGTTAAGTTAGCTAGGATCACTCCTCCTGTATGAAGTGCTAGGTGGGGAGAGATCTTGGAATGTATGTCAATACTAAGATGATATACCAAATGTTAATTATGTGCATGTAGATGTGCAATTGATTACAGTGGTTCCTCGGGTTACAGACACTTCAGGTTACAGACTTCGCTAACCCGGAAGTAGTACCTTGGGTTGAGAACTTTACCTCAGGATGAGAACGGAAATCACATGGCGGCGGCACAGCAGCAGCAGCAGCAGCAGCAGCAGGAGGCCCTATTAGCTAAAGTGGTACCTCAGGTTAAGAACAATTTCAGGTTAAGAACGGACCTCCGGAACGAATTAAGTTCTTAACCCGAGGTACCACTGTAGTATGTTCTTTCTCTCAAGTTTGAACTGCCCTCCACTAATGTTTGTGATACTTATAATTTAACAGTTATACTATCTTATTATGAATAGTATTAGTAATAAATGTGTTACAATTCATAATTTCAAACAAATGCTGCTCCAAAGAAAAAATGATCTGCAAATAATACACCTGTGTATTCTTAACATTCACTTTTTCTTTTTCTTTTTGTAATTGTTATTTGGCTTCCTGAAATCTAGAAACTTGTGTCCCCCTACCCACCAAATATGAAACAACGATACAGCACGGTTGAGCTCTTTTCTGAACCCTGACCATATAGCTTGATACAATACAATATTAGGCCTCTTCTCACTAGTGTAATGTGTAAACAGGCCTCCTACTGAAGGTGGGAGTATGCATCAGTATGTGTACCCTGACAAAAGAGAGAGAGGAGGAGGGGAGAGATTAACTGTGCCTTGTTTGACAGAAGGGGAAGATCAATCGTACTTTTTGGATGACTCTGAGGGTCATCTAGTCCAACCCCCTGCAATGCAAGAATCTCAGCTAATGAATCTGCTGACAGATATTCATCCAACCTCTGCTTTAAAACTTCCAATAAAGGAGAGTCCACCACCTTCCAAGGGACAGCTCTTACTCCCACAAAGTTCTTTCTGATATTCAGTTGGAATCTCCCTTCTTGTAACTTGAATCCATTGGTTCAGGTCCTACCATCAAGAGCAGGAGTACACAAACTTGCCCCAGACATGCAAAAGCCTTTTTCACACAAATCCCACTTTCCATTCACCCAGGAAGCATTATCAGAGTTCAAAGATACATTACAGCCACGTGAAAGCACTTGAGGAGCTTGCATCCCTTCCAGTTCTACAATTCTATGATTCTATGACTCATCACCAGAAACATGCGCTGCAGAGCTCTCACAGCAAGAAGCTGAAACTTGAGAAGCCAGAATGTGCTTTTTGGAGATAGGTTGTAGCAACAGCAGCTACAGATAAGCTTTGCAATGATGAGCAAGCTAAGACCTTCCTCTTGGACCAGAGAGAGAAAGAACTAAACCTCATTGCTTGTTTACAATGTGTTATTTTCTTGTCTTGTAACATTTATCTTATTGTAACTAGTATTTAAGACTGTTCTATAGTAAAGCTTTGAAACTCCTTCTTGTGGTGGAGAAAATCCAGTTCTACGTGAGATAAAGATCAGGAATTCTGTTGAGCTCCTCTAACTCCAAGTTGCGAGGGTGCTTTGAGCAGGGTTTGGATGCAGCAGTTGAGTATCTACCCCAACACAGCTTTTTACTACTCCTACTCCTACTATTATTATTATGCCAGGTAGATTAGTGGCAGTTGTGGCTTCCAACCACCAGGTGAACCACTGGTGAACAGACGGAGGTATACTGCCTTAAGCTCCCCTCCTCTGAGGGCCCCCCAATTGCACTGTATTCAGAATCTTGTTTATAGCTTTAATAGCCATAATCTCTGATACACATTATGGGAAGAGCCCCAGTGGTCTGCCACTGATACGTATAGTAAATGTAATGGATTCAAGCCATTATTGGCTTAATTTATATAACTACTCACACATTAGAACTTTGTTTACAATGGACTCAAAAAGTAGTAATCTGAAAATTATAGCATCAGCCCCTAGGGAATGAACAGGATGTATCCAACTGCCATAGCTGTGCCATCCTCCTGGGAAGCTTTTTACTATAACAACACCTGCATATCTAGGGACATACAGATCCCCCCCCCACCATTTACACATGTTCAATTAACACATGACTGTGCATACGTGCGGCCCTGGAAACCCAGATACTGGGGAGGGAGACCTGATGAGCTTCAGCAAAGCCCCACTGAGCCTCTGACACCCTCTTTGGGCTTCGGGGAGGGTCTCCTCATGAGCTGGAGGTGCAGCGGGGCTTTGCTGAGGCTCCCAACTAACAGCTGTAACGCAGGAAAGTGCCTGGTGCTAGTGCGCTTTCCCATGCATCAGCTGTTAGCTGGAAAGCCCAGCTGTGCTTCAGGGCAGCAGGGCTTGATTGACCAGCTCAACTGATGTGCGGGAAAGAAGCTTCCTTGTGCATCAGCTGTGCAAGACCCACTGTCTCTTTGGCTCCCGAGAGCTGGAGGGGCAGCAGGTCCTCATTGACAGACTCAGCAGACGTGGGAACACTTCTTCCCTGCAAGTCAGAGGGGCTTTGTTGAGTTGACAGGCAACTCTCAATTTTATGCAATTTCACAGACATGCGCAGGGGTTCAGAACATAAACCCTGTGTAAATGGGGAGTCACCTGTTGTACTTTCAAACACTATGCATTTATGGCTTAGGTTACACACTATAATTGCCAAAATCAACTAAAATAACAACAATTTCCATTAGTAATTTATATCAAAATATACTATACTTAACCAATAACAACTTGATGAATAACTGTTCCTAATGCTGTTGCTGATAATTCCACGCCTGTCTCAGCGTCTTTAATATATCCGGTGAATTTGCTTCCTTTGTAAGAATAAATAATCTTGTCACTGTACCACAGCAGCATAGATGATGATGCTCCAAACACAACTTCCATGTGCAGAGGGTCACTTGTAGGTGCAGGCAGGGAAAGATCTCTCAAGAACCAGTGGGCCTCGTCTTCATTAAATCCTGCCACATATAATTGTGTGGAGGTTTTGCATCCAGTACAAGCCAGTAAGACTGAAATTTCAGAAGGGATTGAATCATAGCAAGCACTTATTACAGCTAAAGTAACGTGGCCTTTGAATCCTAACACACTCCTTAAGACATCTACTTCCATGACTAGAACAAACATATCAGTTATCTTTCTCGATGGGTACATGAGGAATATTTCTGTTTTTGTCCACAGGACTGCTTCACTTAAATCTGATGCCAGCACCTTGGGCGTCGGATGAGATAGAGAGAAAAGCGGTGGGAGAGATAAATAATAAAATTCAGACACTGTAGGTATTGCTTAAAAGCTCCATCTTAAATTTATCATAAACAGTATCAAAACATTCACTGAAAAGTACCATATTTTTCCGTCTATAAGATGCCCCCATGTACAAGATCCTCCCCCCTATTTTGGGGGACTCAATTTTAAGCAAATGAGGGGAGATGGCCCAAAGTTGTTGAGCTTCTCCCCCCCCCCCAGCTGCGGGCAGGAAACACTCCCTAGTTTGTTTCCCGCATGCAGTGGCATCAGGGGAAGTTGCGCTCCCGTTGGCCAACCGGTTGGCGGGAGCACAACTTCCCCTGATGTCGCTGCACGCGGGAAACGATTTAGGAAGTGTTTCCCGCACGCAGCCGCATTGGGGGAAGTTGCACTCCCGCCAACCAGCTGGCTGGCAGCACACAGCTTCTCCCCCCGCATGCAGCTGCGGGCAGGAAACACTCCCCAGATCATTTCCCGCTCGCTGCAGCATCGGGGGAAGTTGCAGTCCCTCCAACCGGCTGGCTGGCGGGCGCGCTGCTTCTCCCTCACCATGCCACTACCTGTGTATTGGATGACCCCAGTTTTTTGACACAATTTTTGAGTCAAAAAACCTCCTCTAACACACAAAAAAATACGGTAAAAACAGTTTGAGATATAACAGATTTGCACTTAAACACTGAGTGCATGGAGTTCCATGCAGATAAGAGTCAGTCCCAATATAAATAGTATTTCCCCCACCCCAACTGTTATTTGCCATATTAGGAAAAATGTATGCCTATACACGTACATTTTTCCTGTTTGCCAGAATGTAAGGAAATCTGATCTGATCACAGATCTCCATTTGCTCCTTTGAGGTAGGGGTTTAGAATCTTCCTTTCACTTTATTCTACTAGCATTAAACATTGCACCTGTTAAAAATTCTTCTGGATATTGTTTTTTTTTTTGCAGAACCTGACTACAATTGGTTCTACGTTATAGAAAAGTTGCATTTTGGATGCTTCTTGCATCACCATGAGAATGGTGTGTGTGCTTGATGAGAATGGCCATTTGTAGGGAAGTAGGGTGATGCTGCACAAACTTGGCAAGTGGTAGGCATATAAAAAATCCCATAATGAAGAGTTTGCTCAAAAATCCTGAAGGAGAGGAAACCTTTTGAAACTGCAGGGAAAACTTTGCACATAAACTGTCCAAGTCATTTCCCTAAAACTGTTTGGCCTGTCTCAGCTATGTGCCTCAGCTCTTGGTCAGGAGGAGGAAGGTCATACCTGAATGGCTTCTGCGGACTGCTGCCATTTGGCTCCTGGTCACATTATTCCCCTTTTCTTGACATTCATTAAGTTCAGTTGCTGCTGAATGCTATTTTGTGGCTGCTAACCTACTAACCAGACAGATCGAGTCTGGGAACTGAAGGAAAGCCCTTCCCCTTGCAGCCAGTGCTTTCTGAGTGTGCTACCTGTCAATCAAGAGGATATGCTTTACAGTGCTAAACTACCGCATCCCGGAAGCACTGGGCAGCAACAGGCTGCAATGTTTTTTAAGTTGTGGTGGTATGAATAAAAAATAAGTCCATATGAACCCTCTAAAATATAAAATATTTTGAATAACTCACTTGAACTGGATAGTTCCTTAGACACCAGATTCTTTCTTTTATCCCAAGAATTCCGCTTTCTGGAAGTTTATGTTGTTTTCCAACTCTGAACATCTTGTCATCATTTATAAAATAAGCAGAATTGTCTATTAAAAATACAATGTGTACCTGTACTATGGCTACATCATTTACTTTCTGAGCTACAGCTGGATCTAATACAGTGGAGGGAAATGTGATTCTTTTTGTATGTCTGAACTCATCATGTGTTAGGAAAGCTCCATAATTTGTCACCACAACTGCTTGAGTTGTATGACATGCAGACCATGCTATCATGAGCTCACTACCAGCTGGAGTCGAGATAGAGACATCATGTACGTCGACTGGAGGAATTTCTGATTTTGCCATGATAAAAGGAGTCCGGGCAACAAAACAACCCTGAAAAGTAACTGGTTTTCCACTGACTACTCCAATGATGTAATCTGAAATGCTAGGCACGTCAATCTCCCAGTATCTAAAAATAGAAAAAAGCATCATATGATTACACTTTATTACCCTAAATCCAAGCATGTTAAATGGAAATTTCTATTAGGATCTATGTAACGTAATTCCACGTTATCTTATAGGATTGCAGTGCATGTCACCATTAGAAAAGCAGCAGTTCAAAAATTTGTATTATCAATGCATGTAGAATACAGCTATTGTGAAACTATTCATATGCACCAAGCTACAAACACTGACAGATGATATACTAGAGTTTGGAAGGAGACTCCATTTCTTGAGCTATCTCATTTGCTCAAAAATCTGTGTATTGAGCGAATGACATAACTCATGCAGGTGGCAGGCAGAATCTGAAACTCCACTCATAAAATAATAAAAAATAGTCCTGTACGCAATAACAAGCTCTTTAGGAATGCTGAAAACAGTCTCAGCAAGCTCAAAACTAGGAATGAAAGAACTGTCAATTTCAGTTCTTTCAGATTCTCATTTTTCCAGTCTTAGGTTCTCCATATTTCTGCAGCAATTTGTGAATTTTCTTTTTCAAAATCATCATGAAAATTCATGGCATTTTAGTTTTAATTTCTCCTACTAAACACATTTTTGTGCGCAGTTTTGACTAATACACACATTGTTGCAATTTATCCTAATACAATGCATTTTTGTATTTCATTTTCATAACTATATTCATTTTTATGTCCACTTTCTCCTAATATATGCATTTTGTAAACACTGTTTTGTTGGAGATCTGCATACCAAATTTCAAAAACTGTACAGTAAGTGTGAATTTTGAAGGGTGACTGTGTTTTAGTTCACATATTGTTTTGTCCCACACCATAAGAGGTGTCATATAATCGTGGGTGGCTCATGCAGGGTTTATATCTGGCCTGTGTTGTGCTTATTGATAATTGGGCTCATCTCAAGAGCAGTCCACCTGGCTGTGAAGGCATAGCTGCTGTCTGAATAGGGTTGGAAATGGTGCCTAGGAAACCGCTCCATAGCACACCCTCCATTTTACTGTTACGCCAGGAGGATCAGCAGTGCATGTGAGTTCTGCCCACCAAGCTTGCTGGTGGAAGATGGACTTCTCTCACCTTGGCTTCCCCTTCTTTGGGGGACTAAGGGGTTGTGCTAAATTCTCACCTTCCTCCAGCCTGGTGGAGTCAGAGTTTGGATTGCAATTTATGTATTTTTTACATATACCTCTTTAAAAAAGATTTTTGAAAGTGCTTATAAGATTAAGACCATCATCAAGGCTCTAGGCATGTTTTGCTTCCTGGAACTAATAGCCCTTGATGGGAATGTGCATGAGGCCCAAATATTTGTTCCACAGAAATGCAGGTAATGCTTAGCTTGATAACTAAGATCAGGAGAAACTGCTTTTAGGAGTGCAATCAGGAGAAGATTTAATCTTCTTCCACATCATCACTCAAGTGACTTTTCCTCATGTTAAGAATACATATGCATTACAATATACATTCTCATTAGGAGGTGCATCAGATATGTCTATATGGATTTCCCTTACTATACTGGGCCACGTATACCTCTAGGTTAGATTACTGCAACAAGTTCTATGTGAGGCTGCTTTGAGTGTATAAATCCAATCCTGGCCTGACTGAACTGGCTCCCAATTAGTTTCCTAATGCAAAGTGCTACTTTTGACCTAAAAATCCTTAAATGGCTGAGGACTGCAATACCTTAAGGACTGCCTCTCCCCATATAAACTGACCTGGACCCTGCAACCATCATATATTTTTGTTTTTATATTGTAAACTGCCCCGTGATCCTCAGATGAACAGCAGTATAGAAATTAAAAAATAAATACACATTATACCCACAATAAGGAACACGGGTGGCGCTGTGGGTTAAACCACAAAGTCTAGGACTTGCCGATCAGAAGGTTGGCAGTTCGAATCCCCGCGACGGGGTGAGCTCCCGTTGCTCGGTCCCTGCTCCTGCCAACCTAGCAGTTTGAAAGCACACCAAAGTGCAAGTAGATAAATAGGTACCGCTGCGGCGGGAAGGTAAACGGCATTTCCGTGCTCTGCTCTGGCTCACCAGAAGCGGCTTAGTCATGCTGGCCACATGACCCAGAAGCTGTACGCCAGCTCCCTTGGCCAATAAAGCAAATTGACCCCAGAGTCGGTCACGATTGGACCTAATGGTCAGGGGTCCCTTTACCTTTACCTATACCCACAATATATGAAAATCAGCAGTCTTCTTTGTATAGTAAGATTATATACAACATATTTTTTTAAATAAAAGACAATTAAAGGCTTCCGCCAAGATGGCGAACTAAGGAGAGCACCCTCAGAATCTCTCCCAGATCGTCTGATGAACCCCAGGACCCAAGGGTACAAAACGGGAGAAGGCTGATCTAACCCTTGAAGGAAGGGAAAAGGAGAGAGGCAAGAGGAGGGACTGCAAAGCGCAGAAGAGGCTCAGCCACACACTGGCCCAGAGCTAGCCCTGTGAAAAGGGTAGGAGATACCCCTCTCATTCTGTGTCTCACCCCCACCCATTTGAAAAAGAAATAAATAAATAAAGGGTGGTGCCTAGGAAAGAGACGTAAACTGACCCCGCCCCAAAGCGGATCTTCGGAAGGATGATGCTCTCACTGCAACCCACAGTGGGGATCTGAGGACGTGAACTTCCCCAAACTTATACTGCCTATAACATTAGTTATTGGTATGAGCTTTTGTGTGCATGCGCACTTCTTCAGAAGAAGCATGCACACGAAAGCTCATATCAGTAACAAACTTAGTTGATCTCTAAGGTGCTACTGGAAGGAATTTTTTTATTTTGTTTAGACTACGGCAGACCAACATGGCTACCTACCTGTAACTATAATGCTAGTGCCTCACATCGAATATAACTGATCTGTTGAAAAAATGCTATGAACGGAAAACTGAGACACTGTATGTACTTTTGTAATTTAAGAAAATATTTAATTAAAATGATTGTTTAAAAAGACAAATTCAGAAAAATGTAAATGAGCAATACCCGTCATCTGAATATTCTGATTCTTCCGATTCTCTGCTGTCTTCACTGAGGTGAAACATCTTAACTGAAGGTGTTTGTCCCAAATTCAAGAACTGTCTGGAAAGTGTCTTAGAATGCTGTTTAGAAAATGGAATGAGTTGCATATTTTCAAAATTTGCTTATATATATTTAAAGTCTTATCTGTTTTCATATCTAAAATGCTATCTTTGAAATAGGTACTTCCCAGGACCAGGCTCAAACCTGAAGTATTAATATTAAATAAATATGATATTGACATTCCTTTCAGATAATAATTCTACATGTCAACAATCAATTGATTGGGTTGGAAGAGACTGGGATAGCTATCTTGGACCAGAGGAAATTTTAGCTTCAGTGATGTAAATCAATGGCCTGCTAGTGAAAGCAATTTGGGACCTTAATACTTTAATAAACTGGGCAAACAAATTATATTAAAAGTTGCTTTAAATAGAAGGTATGATTATTTATTTATCTAAAATATTTCTATACCATCCTTTGGCAGAGCTTCCAGGACAGTTTATGAAAAAATACAACCAATACATAAACAACGTATTTTAAAGTTTAATTAATACAATTATATACTGGTGCAATTATTTAGTTGAATATATAGCCCTTTGTTTCCATAGGAATATGGATATTTCATTACTTCCCATTTCAAGTTAGTTTATGAAGGGAGGATAACATACTTCTGGTGGTCCTTTCGCAGTATGGCTCATTTCTTTACTATCAGCATTTTCTGGGTCATAAATCCATACAACCAGAGTCTGGCAAATAAAAAATGAAAAATTTTGCAAATTTTGATGAATTTGAACGATACTGTTTCTTCCTGTGAATTATAGGCCATTTTGTGTTATAGAACTATATTAACCATGTATGTAAGGTGACTATTTAAAAGCAAATTAATAGTCCCTGTTTTAAAGTTTAAGGTTTTATAAGCATTCAGGTAAATATGATTTTCCTGTAACAAAGATATCCAAGTGCAAAAGTACTGAGAGTGCATTTCATGGCTGAAAACAGGTGAAAAGAGTAACTGAGATAACATTATGTTTTTTAAGAAAAAGACATCAGGTAATTCTATGGTTTAGTAAAGTCACAGAAAACAGGATGTAGTGATGAAAATCTCTATTAAAACAATATATTGTCATTTTGAGTATGGAGCCATAATTTAACCAATAGATTTGCTAGGTTTAGCATAAAAAATTAATAAAGATAGGAAATTAAGCTTCATAGGTGGAAAGGTGAGAGGGTATGGAAGAAGGGCTCATCCTTTTCTGGAAGGAGCAGCATGGGGCAGTTTGCAAAGGGCTGTCTGCAAACAGGAGGAAAAAGGCATGCACAGCCACACAAAGCAGACCCTTTTGGAAGGATAAGTTGCATGCAGGATTTCTGCAGCCAATCATTCAAAAAGACACATTTTTTTTCTTCCCTCCTGATCAGGTGATGTGGGAAGAATAAACAGCTGTCTTTTCAATGGGCTTTCAGACAGACCATCCCTGCCACATTTGAGCCTCCAGAGAAGACTGTCTGAAAGCCCTTTGCAAATAGCAAAAGTTTTTCAAACAGTGCTGTAAGTCCCTAAAATTGGGACTTCAAAGTTAAAGATTCAAAATGTTACATGATTCAGTCATGGCAGAAGTGTGCTGAGAAATCTATTGAACAAATGTGCACTGAATTGCCACCTAGCCAAAAGATAATAAGAATAATTCATTAGATCAACATTACTGGGATAAATGCATTATCTTTCTAATGCATTCATATCACCAATTTATCTATAAATAAATCCATTAATTGTCACTATACATATATTCCGAACTCCAGTTCAATCCTAAATGTGTGTTTCTAAAAAACAAATTCCTTTAAAACAGAGGTGGTTAACCTTTCACCCTCCAGAGATTGCTAAACTACAACTCCCATCATCGCTGAACATTGACCATGTTGGATAGAGATGGTGAAAGCTGCAGTTCACCAATATCAGGAGAATCACAGGGTAGCCATCCCTGCATTAAAACAAATGGGTCTTGTTTCCCAAGAGTTTGATTCTAAATTTCTGAGAAGTAGTAATATCTCCTAGCTAGATGTGGGGATGTGCTGCTGATGGTTGCAAAGAACCACTAACTGGTACTGGGCATACAACAGAACTGATGGTTATGCAATTTTGCAAACATATTTGAGATTGGGGCATGTATTTAGAATCACATCATAAAGCAATAAGACACATACATATCTCAGAGTTCTTACCACATGATCACTATGTATTGATGATCTACAAAGTAAAAAAACTGAATATTTAGTGAGCATAACAAAACTTCAAAAAATAGTCAAAACAAAGATAATTTAGGAATGCTTATAGCAAATGAATGTTGTTAATTCAACTTAATACATCTGCTTAATACATCTCCATTATTGATACACATATACATTATCATGTTTAGTGTGTATAATGAGGAAATGTTCTCAAAGAAAAAATGCAACTGTATGCAATTGAATATATCATGTTGAAAAGTATGTTTAATCTTACCTTGCGAAGGAAGTATACACATACCACAAAAAACAATCTAAATCAGCATTTATAGTCAAGTAGCGTTCCCTATCCTGAAATGTCTAAAAGGGAAAGGAAAGGAAGTTAGATATTTTATTCTGTTGCAAATAAAATAATTTTGCTTTACAGTATAAGGAGTTTGAAATCCACTGGTGTCAGTAATCTTGCATTTCACATACTGTAGCATGTTACAATTCTGTTTTGTCTACAAATTTTATCTAATTAAGTCACTTATAGTCAGAGTAGACCCACAGAAATCAATGGACTTAAGATAGAAACATACAAAGCTGCTTGTCAGACCACTATCTAAGTAGCTAAGAACTGTCTACGTAAATGGTGTTTATGTAAATGGCGTTTCCGTGTGCTCTAGCTTCCATCACGGTGCTCCGTTGCACCAGAAGCTGTTTAGTCATGCTGGTCACATGACCCGGAAAGCTGTCTGCAGACAAATGCTGGCTCCCTTGGCCTGAAGCGAGATGAGCGCCGCACCCCATAGTCATCTTTGACTGGACTTAACTGTCCAGGGGTCCTTTACCTTCACCGTCTACTATAACTGGTAGCAGCTCTCCAGGGTTTCAGGCAGGAATCTTTCCAGACCTGGCAATATAGAGGACTGAACCTGAAAGCAAAGTATATGCTTGACTCGCTGAGCTATGTCCCATTCCCAACTCATTTCACTGGGTCAACTTATAGTATGACTTGGTCAATTATTTATTAAATTTGTACACAATCCCAAGAAGGATACAATTGCCTTTTTCGCCTGTCCTCCAATAATACTTTTGTCTTATGTCCTATTTTGTTGTCTACATTTCTTTTTCTCTTTACAGAGAATGACAATTTTCGGCCCTGGAAGGGGGTGGAAAAGGCTTATGTGTGACTGCTGATGCACGTAGTGACCTGAAACACAGCCCCCTGTGCAAACGGGGAGTTGCTTGTACTACATGAGAAGATGCAAGGAGAAGGGTCAATGAATGATCGTTGAGGACTATACCCTTAAGATAACAGAACATGTGGCCTGGTATGTGTTCTGCCATCAAATCTCATAATGTGTTCTAACGCTGGCTGTCAAGTCACTGTACGAGCTTAATCAAAATTTCCCCCTCTCTAAGATGAAAAACCACCAGTGATCTATCTTTCTATCTGAATAACAAAGCAATTAATGGACTGAGTCAGTTCCAAATGGAAGAGTGTAATACTTGAGTGGTATAAGTAAGTGGTATATGCCAAGAACATTTGATCAAGTCCTAGAGGTACATCTCTAAGACATCAACTAAGAACTTGTTCTCCCTTTAGTTGATAGTTCCCTTTGATGGTCTTGAGTATTTCTTATGTTGTCCTATTATTTTATTTTTGCCTTTTTTACTGTAATTCAAATCTCAGATGTTTAAGATGAGCAGAAAACATTTAAATACATTTTAAAAAACCTTTTCAATATCCAGAATATACTCCCTTTACGTGCTTGCTCAAAAGTTAAGTTCCAACTTATGTTTGAATAAGATGGAAGTAAATTGTTGGTTCTGGGTCACAATTACTTTTTGAAGATACATATTAAAAGTGGATTATACATAAAAAGTCTAAAAAAGCCTAAGGGAATGTGTGTGCACGCATATGCATATATATAACATATATATATACGCCACCACTCATTTCACCCTACTACTTGAGCAAGAAAAACTGTAGGTTAATTTTGAATAAGGAGCTACTACTAGCTAACTCAATCACTGTTACAGACGCTTCAGGTTACAGACTTCACTAACCCAGAAATAGTACCTTGGGTTAAGAACTTTGCTTCAGGATGAGAACAGAAATCGTGCTCTGGCGGTGCAGCAGCAGTGGGAGGCCCCATTAGCTAAAGTGGTACCTCAGGTTAAGAACAGTTTCAGGTTAAGAACGGACCTCCAGAACAAATTAAGTTCTTAACCCGAGGTACCACTGTACCACAGTAGTAATTCAGGAACTAAACAGAAACTATTCACAACTTACCAGAGACCCCCCAATCTTTGGTTTAACCATATGAGTTCCAGCAACTGGACAATTCAATTCTGGGGTACGTGAACTAGCGTAATAAAAAATAAGTAACATGTCTAGTGTGAAGTTGCTTAGCACTGACACTATATTATAGCCCTAAATATATGTATTAGTTATAGAAAAATATATTGATCCATTCAATTGTAATTTGATCCTCTTATATGTTTTATGCATTTTATAATCAACAGCTTTAGCATCATATTTCCATATTTGCATTGACAAACCTCCACTCAGATAATTCCTAGCATTTCAATATTACAAAGTAACAGAGTAATGCTGCAAATTGCAAATATCCCTTTAAACAGGGGTGCTGGGTATAGGGGGCAGAAGGGGCTTCAGACCCTCAATATTTTGGGGCAGGGGGATCAGCCCACCTCAATACTGAGGGGGCCGCCACCCCCACCACCGGGTGAGTGCTCATCACCTGTATGTTGAGGGGGCTAACATGCTCTGTGTGCCCCCGCCCAGGAGCTGGACGGGGGACAGGGACGAGCAAAGGCAAAGATCGCCCTCCTGCCCCCCAGCCTCTGCCCAGCAGCCCAGGAGGCTGGGACCAGTGAGGCACTACTGCCTCTAAGCCAAGGAAGATGGGGAAATAAAAGAATGATTATTCATTCATTAAACTATCTACCATGCATTGATCCACGTTCTGTAGACCTTGAACAGTATGACAAACTAACTCCCTGGTACTAAGCAAACTTGGACAGTGCTGCTAACCTTCGAAAGTTCCATCATACCCAGTATGCAGCTCAGAATGAAGAGGCTTATTGCTTCCCTTTCTATATGCCCAATTAGAATGCTCTTAGATGAAGGAAGAAAATCATTATCTACATGGATGACACTGAGTGCAGCTCAAGGGGGGGGGGGGGATAAACAGAAAAGATACCCAAGAAGCCCCCGGACTATAACCAATACAGGAAATCACAGCAAAGTCCAGCAGATGGGACCTCAGTTAAACTGCCAAAGGGAATTGATGGATATTGCAACACCCCTTAAAAGGTTTGGAACTGGCAATATTCATTTGACCAATAATAAATATAATAACTCTGATTAGACCCTGGACATATTTCCCTCTAAAAATAAAAATGACAACCCCACTCTTAGAAGGGGACCAAGATATTGATTATTCCACCAATCAGTCAGGTCTCAGTACTGGAGCAGTAATGACCAACCTGGTCTGCCTACCACAGGAAACACCTGCACCTGCCAAATCTGATTCTATAAGAGATGTTCCCAGTACTTTTGACTCATTTTTTCCACTCAGATTTCTAACTCTGACCTATTAGCAGGCCTGACATAAAATCCTGTCACCGAGCGAATCATTCAGATTAGATCCCAGCTTCACAAAGTGGTGCAGGGTTGGCTGGGATCAGAGGAAGTGTGGCTATTGCAGCCTTCTCATGCTGCCCTGCCATGTCCTCACCATCAGGGAGTTGAGCCCTTTCCAAACATTCTTTTTAGGATCAGGAAAAGAAACAGTGGGAACAACTCAGCCCTTGTATGTCATTTGAGAATGGAGGCAACTACCCGTTGTTGCACCCATAACCTAGGTTTAAGGTGCCATTTATTTATGAATATTTATTGAATTTTATAACAAATAAAGATACAGATCTCAGTCATTATGTTATATACCACTGTTCTCCCTCCCCTCCTCTGGACTTCCCTCAACTCCCCCTCTGCTGAGTTATTTAGCTTTATTTATTGTATCCTGCTTTTCTTATATAAAAGTTCCCTTATCATTTCTCTAAGATATATGTTACTGAAATAAAGTTGTGAACGTTTTTTTCGAACCCTGCCAGTGAATCCAGTCCATTTTGTTGTTTCTGCAAATAGACTGTAAATGGTTCCCAGACTCTTTTGAAGACCTTTTTGTCCTCTTGTAGTTTCTGTTAGCTTAGCTAATTCTGCATAGTTCATCAATTTTTCTTGCCATTGTTCCTTTGATGGTATTTCTTCCATCTTCCAATATTATCCAATCAAGATTCTTGCCGCTGTTGTAGCATACATAAATAGTATCCATTATTCTTTTGGCAGCTCTTGGTTTGAGATACCCAGCGAAAAGGTTTTGGGGTGTTTAATAAAGTTCATTTTGAACATTTTTTTCAGTTCATTATATATCATTTCCCAGTATTTTTAATACATTTGCATTTCCACCACATATGATAAAATGTTCCTTCTTTTCCTTCTGTCTCCAGCATCTGTTATTTTCTTTCCTAAACATCTTTGCCATTTTCACTAGGAGAATGGAGGCAACTACCTATGTTCAGTTCCTTTCCAACCCTCAATGCCTTTCCAAGAGACTTTCACTGGCCACTGGCAGTCAGGAGATGGAGATTCCAGGGTGTTTGATCTCAACTGGGAGAAAACGTAATTGGAGCCTCCTGAAAAAGCCTTCTTTCCATCTGCAAGTCACTGTGGAAGAACTGTAATACCAATAACCTCCTGCAAAAGGACTTTTCTTCATCACAGACCTAGTCTAATCTTTATCACACAGCTGTGAGGTAACAGGGTAGAAATAATAAAGCCGTGCTAGGAGACTCTATGACAAAAGTCTATTATCCAAACCATGATTATTTAAAGGACAATTTGTGTGAACATATAAACATTTTAACATTCCTCATGTTTCCAGGTGGCAGTTTGTCTTCTGTGTGTAAAGGTAAAGGGACCCCTGACCATTAGGTCCAGTAGCGGACAACTCTGGGGTTGTGGTGCTCATCTTGCTTTATTGGCCAAGGGAGCCGGCATACAGATTCCGGGTCATGTGGCCAGCATGACTAAGCCGCTTCTGGTGAACCAGAGCAGCGCAAGGAACCCCTGTTTACCTTCCTGCTGGAGCGGTACCTATTTATCTACTTGCACTTTGACGTGCTTTCGAACTGCTAGGTTGGCAGGAGCAGGGACCGAGCAACAGGAGCTCACCCCGTGGCGGGGATTCGAACTGCCAACCTTCTGATCGGCAAGCCCTAGGTGACAAATCTTTTTAAAATCAATAATCCACCTGCTCTATGGGTCCAGAAAAATTATCTGTTCTCCTTGTTAACAAAAAAACATGGATTTCAGTAGTAGCAAATTCCATTTTCTTCTTTCCTTCTCCATACTCCCATATTTTTCCCCCTGCATATCCCTCTCAGACTGCCTCTGACAGAATGTTTTCTAACTATGTGTAACCCTAGGCTGTTTGCAGAAGGGGCTAATAGGAAGATCATTGAATTTATCACTGCCCAAGTCTCATACATTTTCAAAGGGGGATATTGTTGTCCTGTAGCCACCATAAAGTGGGGAAACCTGAGTAAGCAAGCTTAGTAGGACCAGTCTGATCACTAAAGGGACTGTATTGCCTGAAGAAGGGAATGTGAGACTAGGGGCCTGAGTCTATACTGTGGGTGAAAGCCCAATAAAGCTGGAGTTAGAATAATAGAATGTAGAGTTGGAAGGGAGCACAAGGCTCATCTAATCCAACCCCCTGGAATGAAGCAATATTTTGCCTAATGTGGGGCTTGAACCCACAACCCTGAGATCAACAGTCTCATGCTCTACCAACTGAGCTAATCCCAGCGTAGACAATATAGCATGTATTGTCTTCAACTGGGGCTCATGTTTGAGCATACTCCCCATGGAGCACATAGAACACAGGGCATTCTCTATTCCACTCCCCCAGGACAGCCCCACATCTGTGTTACACATTTTTGCATTCCTTACCTTTTATCATCAATAGTACATAATACGGAAAATTCCCATTCAACAAATGAAGTCCCTTCATACACTAAATGTATCTAGACAAAGAAAAGATAACTTGGAATCACTCAAGCCCAAAGCTGCCAAAATGACTTTAATCAAATATTGGGAATCCTGGCACAAATTATTGTGTTGGATTTCTGCATGAATTGGAATTCAGCAGTGAATTCTCCAGCCTACTTTTGTAAATTTTTGAAAGCTATGACAGTGGAATGACCAATTTCTGGGATGTTCCTTGTTACTAGGGATGGGTCATGGTTTCCCACTGCCCCCACCAGACCTCCCTGCCCCTCGTAAGGGAGAAAATTGGGGCAGGCAAAAGTCACTTGACTTTCGGGGTGGGAATGAGTAAAGTTACAGTAACAAGGTGGTTCAAGGTTTGACCCAGTTCTACTTGCCAAATTAGATCTTAGCCTATGTATGGACAGTAGTCTTAAACATGAAGTACTTACACCAGTTCTTGCAGTAAATAGAATATAATGCCCTACTGAAGTTTCATATCTGAAAAGACAGTAAAAAACAAGGTGCTCATTAACAAAGGCAAAACTCTTCATAGTTTTTCGATGTTAACGAGCACACGCACACCTCTATACTATACATGCAGTTTGTGATTTAAATATCTTGGCTTCCTTGAGGAACCCTGGTCTGATCAATTACCGGTAGATATTCATTGCTTCCTTAAAGAATTACTGTATCCAGCTGTCTGCTTTATCTGTTGGTATCTGTTGGATTTTTTGGCCTGTTTCCCCTGCTCAGGTATGAATTGAATAAACCAAGAGAAGCAGAAAATATTTGAAGGTCTCTCTGCTGATCTCACAGGATAAAGCAGTCCCAGGGATGTCCTGGGAGGACATCCCAGAGACCACTGATCCTTCTCTGAGGGTAAAGTGAGAGGTCTGTTGTGAGAGTTCCCACACTGCTGTCATGGAAAATTCTAGTCCTTGCCTTCCAACACTACAAGCTCCAGTGTTTGTAGACGCAAAGAGGGTGCATGCTGAGGGCAGTCTGGTGATGGCATGTTGCCAATGAATGGATCCATAGCATTCTCCGTCCCCTGACATGCTTCTGAAATGGGGAAAATATATGCCAGCCCTGTGTACATGCAGTTTCTCTTCCACTGGAAATAATGAGAGGGAAATTGGCTGAAAAAATAAAAACCAGAAATAGCCGGAGGGAAAATGCCACTCTGTCCTCACTTCTGCCATACCAGCACAAATATGGCAGAGAACTGAATAAGATGGTTTGCCTGCTTTCAGTTCGTCTCTGCCAACATGGTAACATGGTTCTGTTAATAAACCTATTCACTATAGACAAATAATGTATCTTAGTAAGGTGCAGTGCGAGTGTGTTTGCCAGACAACCTTCCCTTCGCCTAATTTGTCAGCCGCCTTCCATGTCAGAGAGTGGGCGCACTGGCTGTGCTCACTTTCACTATGCCCACCACTGGCATGCAACCCTCGGAGGGGATTCCTAATGTGGCTCTCGGACTGAGAAGAGTGAGCAAACCGAAGTACGGTGGTATCTCGGGTTACATACGCTTCAGGTTACATATGCTTCAGGTTACAGACTCCGCTAACCCATAAATATTACCTCAGGTTAAGAACTTTGCTTCAGGGTGAGAACAGAAATCGTGCTCCGGCGGCGCGGGAGGCCCCATTAGCTAAAGTGGTGCTTCAGGTTAAGAACAGTTTCAGGTTAAGAACGGACCTCCGGAACGAATTAAGTACTTAACCCGAAGTACCACTGTAACGGCCCCTGGGTGGCCGGCTAGGGGAGTGCTCTGCCTCATATCTGTTACCTTTCTCTTCACAAGATGCAACCTGCACTCACCATGAGGGCCGCTCGCTACCCTGAGCCATGGACACCCCCACTTCCTCGTTTCCCCTCTCGCACCCTTAAACCTGCCTCTCTGACATCCCCTTCCCAACCCGTTCAGCCCCCCCCCCCGGGCCATCCTTGTCTCCCGCACCTCCACACTGCCCAGCATCCCTTCAACCAGAGGCAGAGCAGCAGGGGCTTGGCCCACACAAGCGGGGACAAAAAGCGCGCCATCAGCGCTGCCGAAAGAACGGCCCCCAAACCGCCGTTAGCAACCGACGCTGCCTCGCGCTCGCTCTGCGTCTACTAAGAACAGCGCGGATGGCCACAGTGGGGCGAGCGAGCAGCGCGCCGTCCCGCCAGCTGAGGCGAGATCCGGGGCGACTGCGTTTCCCAGCATGACCCGCGGCCATTTCACGGCGAGACTGCGAAGTTAGCCGCGCGACACTATGGGCAGCGTAGTTCCTTCTATATATGGGCACGAAGCGCCGGCATTTAACATATTATGCAGATGAAGGGGCGGGCCTCCTGACACGCGCAGGAGCGGGATGCCAAAGGGAGGCCGGTAGGCGGCAGCAGGAGCCGGAGCGGGATGCGGCAACTGTGAGGGAAGGCGGGGATGAGGTAGCCGTCGCCGGCGGAGTCGGGCGCGCCGCTTCCTCCTCTGCTCCTCGCATGTGCCTTAAGAGCAATACGGAAACCTTCGCCTGCGGGAGCCATGTCTGAAAGCGGCTCCACGCCCGCCGCCGCCGCCACCATCCCCAACGGCGGGGCCGCCTCACGGCACCCCGGCAATAAAGTGGCCGTGGTACTGGGGGCACAATGGGGCGACGAGGGCAAAGGGAAAGTGGTGGACTTGCTGGCGCAGGACGCGGACATCGTCTGCAGGTGCCAGGTGAGGAGCCGGGCGGGCCGAGTCACCTTGAACTCTCCCGGAGGCGCGCGCGGGGAGGCGACGGGCCGCAGAGAGAACGAGAGCGGACCCCCCGCGGCTCTTCCCGCCGCCGCCGCCTCGGTTTCTATAGTAACTGCCGCGCTCAGGCCGGGCGCCGCGCTTTTTACCCGCCGCCCTGGTCTAACCAGCTGGCCGTCAGGGCGAGCCTCTCTCCTTCGTTTCCCCCATAGCCGGCTCTTCCCGCTTCCTCCATTGTTGCGACTGAGCGGGGCTGCTGCTTCCTTGCGAGCGCCTGGAGCCGCGGAGCCGCCTCCCCACCCGGGCCGACTACGCTGCTTTGTGACGGACGGCGGTGGGGAAAGACGGCAGCGACCTGTTCCTTCCTTCCCGCCCCCCCCCCCGCTGTTTCTTTTATCTCTCTCTACTCTGACTGTTTCCCGCCGCCCGCTTCTTTTTCTCCTCGGGCAGCCCTGCAGTGCAGCAGTGGCAGCCCTTCGCCCAGGCGAACGAAATGCAGCGGCGGAAAAGAGGCGGCTGAAGGAGCTGCTGGCAAGGCCTTGGCCAGCCCCTTCGCCAGGAAGCTGTTGTCTTCCTTGAGGCTCCACCATGAGTTCACTGGCGGGAGGAGAGGTTCATCTCAGGTGTTCAGCTCCTGTTGTGTTGCCTGCCCAAAATAAGAAACAAGCGTCCTCCTGTTTTCTTCACCTCTGTGTGATACTTGATGTCTAAAGGAAGAGATCCTAGACTCAGGCTTCTCTCTTTTTCTCCCTCTTCTTATGACCAATCTGGTATAGCTAATTTCTTCCAAGTATGTGGATAATGCTGTTTAAATAATACAGGTAATGGTAAGATCCTAAATTCAGTTGAAAAATCCTTATCAAAACGTCTATTGTCTTTCATTAAGTGATTTTGATGGAAACGGATAATCCAAAGAACAGGTAATGGCCCTGCAATCTCTATCAGAATTGCAACCAAGATTACTTAGGATCCAAAGTGCACCATGTGCATGCCTAAAACTCTGCTTTGCATGCACAAAACATGGGTTGTTTTCATCTTACTAATGCAGCCTCTTACACAGCCTTAGGATTCTCCAGAAGGGCAGGGGAGGGGTGGAGAAAGAGCAGGAAGCTCAAGAGGTGGTGATGCAAAGTGCCCTGTTGAATCCATAGAAGTTCACACACAATTCTTTGGGTGCTTTGTTTCTAAATTGTAGTCTGTGTATTTCAGAACATGCTCAGGTTGGAAGTGCTTTCTCAGCCTTAAACAATGAAGTAGGAATTCTGTGCTTATGAGTTGAAAAAAAATCAAAAGACCTGCCATACCTAGACTACTTAGAAAAAACTAAGGCTGCCATGTTGTTGTTTTTAAGAATCTGATCCAACTGTTTTGCACATGACTCTTCTCTTATACAGATATATAAGAAAGTATGTGCATAATCCTGTGTACATATATTTGCCACAAATACTGATGGGTTGTATTCAGTTAAGTCCTGCTCAAAAGTAGATCAACTTGATGTTAATGAACCTAAATTAGTCATGGCTGTTTACTTTGAGCAGGACTCACTTTGAATATCACCCCATATTTAGAAGTTACAAAAGTTTATATACACTTTTCTTTTTTATCTGCTCCAAATGTAAGCACCTGCTCATATCATAGTTGGTTGTGTTGAAATTAGTAATACACTGCTATGCTCTGTCTCACTTTTCTGAGCTGCGAGAAGTTCCAGGGACATAGTGTTTGTCTGGATTTCCTTCCATTTCAGCAGAGATTTATAGAATTTTGAATTATTTTACTTTTAATTAGATATATACAGTGTCATATAAAATCTCCAGAGACAGGCAGTTCTCAAGAATGCTTTCTCTGCCTGAACTAGTAGATCCCCAAATCTCAGCTCTGTGTCTTACTTGAAAATTATGCAGCTATCTGCTTTGTTGCCTTTCCCAGATATGCATTCTCCTAGATTGCATTATCCCTAGCTGTAGGGTGGGTAGATGGGTGAGATAGAAAGCTACTTTCTACCAAGTCTGACCACTGATTTATCTAACTTAGTGTTGTTGACACTGGCTAATACATGTACTGTAAGGTGTTTTCAGGGTTTCTGACAGAAGCCTTCCTCAGCCTAGCTTTGAAGATACCAATTAATTTGGATCTTCACAAGGGGAAGGGGGCCTGTAGAGGAGACAGTCCTTCACATGTTTGAAGTATAAGTCATTTGGAGTGTTAATCTAGCATGAAAACAAACAAACTGGTAGCCCAATACAGCTGTTCTAGAACATGGATTATATGAGTTCTGAAGGTAACACAGATATTAATCTGCCTGCTGCATTTTGAACCCGTTGAAGTTTCTGAGTTTTCTTCAAGGGCAGCCCTCATAAAGACAGTCCTACATATCTTTTGCAAACTGTCAGTGACTGGCAGAAGCTGAAATTTTTCAGCAAGTCTTAACATTTATAAAAAGCTGCACTGTTAGCTACTATGGGGCAAAAACAGTTAAGATCTTGGTTTTTTATCTGTCTGGTGTAAACTTGCAAGATAAATAAGGTTTGAGAAATAACCCATGGTTTTGCAAAGAAAGATACTAGAAAAATAAAATTTTCAAGTAAATTGATCACTTGAGAAAGAAGGGAAAAGATTGAAAGGCTAATACACTTTTGTTAGGACAACCAAAAAGTGTCAAAATGGTTGGCAAACTTTGTAGAACACTTCTTCATGTTGGACGTTAAGAACACAAGAAAAGCCTGAATCAGAGCAAAGGCCCATCTAGTCCAAGTATTCTGTTCTCACAGCACTCTGTTTTGCAACAACATTGGAAGGCCACAAGTCCCCACCTCTGACTTAAATAATAGCCCTATTCACAGAAATCTGAAACCTTAACAATTCTTAGAAGTGAGATTTTTAACACACACAATCTCATCCCAGTTTGTTCTATTAAAATGGTGCTTTCCAATGCCTGCTTTTGATGGAACAACTTTCAGATAAGGAGAAAGCAAATTAGATTATTTGCTGAAGTGATAACATATCACCAGTGTTACAATACAGTACAGCATATGCTGCACGTTGTTTTCTTGTTTGCATTTAAATGAAAATGTATAAATGTAGCTTGTAAAAATATTGTGTACATTTGATAATCTGGTCTTAAAGTGTGTCTAAAAATCAGTGTGGTGAGTCTGATTTCTAGTGAAGTGCAATTAATGGCTAAACCTTGAAGTCTGTTTAACTGTTGAAGTAGGGAACAAGAACCACACATCAGTTTCTCATTGAGCAACATTCTGCATTTTCTTACAAAGATCACATACTACCAAGTCATCGGCACTATTACTTCAAAAGCATATTTTTCCCTTATTCATCTTTACAGAACCACTGTACCTTAGGCTATGATAGGTTATTAGCATTAGGAACAAGTATAATACACCCTGAGTAGAGATGTGAAGGCCTGGGAAAAGTACTGGAAAAATTGCATGGAAGCGGTAGGTTTTTAAAAAATCTGTCCCCTCCCCCCCCCTCACCATCACATCTCTAACCCTGAGCATCTCTTCATATTATGCTTTGCTTGTTTGCAGCCATCATTTGAAGGAAATGATAGCTGTTGCATTTGTGTATAGAATGGGCAAATTGTAATTTGGACAGAGTTGGATGCCACAGAGCAAGTCCAATAGAGCACTGTTTGATCCTTCTGTACTGGATTGGTTTCAATTACTGTGGTCTGAGGATGTGGCAAGCTGATTGTAAAATATGCAACTAACCACCTGCCCCTTTCACCTTTGCCTGTCTTGGCTTCTTGGACTTAGCTGTAGGGGGTTGATTGGGTGTGTCTGAGGATTAGTGCTTCCCTGGAGGAGAAAAAGTACCCGTCTTGAAGTGGTGCATTAAAAAGTGGTCTTTAAATAGACCTCCCTGCAGTCAGATGTGTTGGACAACTATCGCCCAATAACAAATATCCCCTCTTTGAGCGTGTTGTGGCACAGCTTCAGATATGTTTGGGAGAAAGTGATTGCTTGGATCCATTCCAGTCTGGCTTCAGGCCCAGTCATAGCACTGAAACTGCCTTGGTCGCCCTGGTTGATGACATTTGGCAGCAGAGATGTGGGAAGTGCAACCCTTCTTGTTCTTCCTGATCTCAGTGGCCTTGATACTGTTGACCATGGTATTCTTCTGGAGCTTCTCAGGCAGGTCGGAGTTGAGGGCATTGTTCTTCAGTAGCTCTGCTCTTACCTCCAGGAACAGTTTCAAAAAGAGTTGTTCTGTGGTGTCCTGCAGGGTTTCATCTTGTCCCCCATGCCCTTGAAGAAACATCAACTGGTCCAAAATGCAAAGGCCAAATCACTTGTTGGGGTTCCATTTATAACACATATAATTCCTATTTTAAAACAGCTACATTGGTTGCCTGTTCATCTTTATATGTCATTTAGGGTGCTCACACTAGTGTCTAAAGCCTTAAATGACTTAAGCCCCAAATATCTGAACAGCTGCCGCCTTCTCAACAGACACACTCTGGTGTTAAGCTCAGAACACTGGGGTCCTCTTGGTGGTTCTTCTGCCCTCAAAAGCTGAGGTTGCGGGATACCCTGAAAGAAAGCATTCTCTGTGGCAGACACCCACAGAGGGGTTTATGGCACCTTCATTATGCAGCTTTCATCATGAGCTTAACCTGATCTTTGACTTTCTGTCTGTCTCTGTATATCTATCTATCTATCTATCTATCTATCTATCTATCTATCTATCTTTCTATCTGGACCCATTCTAGTTGTGACTGTAATTTCTGTTAAACTGTTTTTAATGTATTTTACATAGTTGCATCCTGCCCTGGGACCTTCTGGTGAAGGTTAGGTGGCTATGGTGTTGTTGCTGCTGCTGCTTCAAGAGTGGGCCCATATATTGTGTAGGATCCAAAGTTGTGCAAGTGGGAGCCTCCATAAACCTATCTGAAGGGCCAAGAAATTCTTCTAAACAGCGGGGGCTACGTTATGATAGGGAATTACCAAAAGTCAGGTGGACACAATTTATGCAAACACTTGCCTATGTTGTTCATATAATGTAGAGGGGAGGGAAGTGGACAAAAATTATCAGGTGCCAAAGACTTAGTAGGGACGCGGGTGGCGCTGTGGGTAAAACCTCAGCGCCTAGGACTTGCCGATCGCATGGTCGGCGGTTCAAATCCCCGCGGCGGGGTGAGCTCCCGTCGTTCGGTCCCAGCTCCTGCCCACCTAGCAGTTCGAAAGCACCCTTAAGTGCAAGTAGATAAATAGGTACTGCTTTATAGCGGGAAGGTAAATGGCGTTCCGTGTGCTGCTCTGGTGCCGGTTCGTCACGCTGGCCACGTGACCCGGAAGTGTCTAGAGTGAGATGAGCGCACAACCCTAGAGTCTGTCAAGACTGGCCCGTACGGGCAGGGGTACCTTTACCTTACCTTTAAAGACTTAGTGAATTGGGGAGACTGCTTCATGAGTAAGCATGCTTTATTTCTTATAACTCTTCAGAGGTGTAGTGCTTCTTATCACTTCATCTACATGTTTAAATATTCTTTTTAATGGTTGTGTGCTTTTAGTTAAGGATCTTGCATGTTTTTAATACTTTTATTGCTCACAAAAACAATAGCATAGATGGTTTGGTAGTTCAAAGTACCGTATTTTTCGCTCTATAAGACGCACCAGACCACAAGACGCACCTAGTTTTTGGAGGAGGAAAACAAGAAAAAAAATATTCTGAATCTCAGAAGCCAGAACAGCAAGAGGGATCGCTGCGCAGTGAAAGCAGCAATCCCTCTTGCTGTTCTAGCTTCTGTGATAGCTGTGCAGCCTACATTCGCTCCATAAGACGCACACACATTTCCCCTTACTTTTTAGGAGGGAAAAAGTGAGTCTTATAGAGCAAAAAATACGGTATGCTGAATGCTGGTCATAGTTTTCATTGGTAAAGCAGTGTACCATTTGCTTATAACCTCATTTTTTTATTTAGAGAATTTTTAATCTACAGCATTTTACAAATCTCTAAAAAAGATTGACATCCTTGGTATAAATCTGCTGTAAGAGTAATGATAGATTGGTTTTTTAAGCAATTACTGCTGTATAACTGATAGCAATCTCTTTGCTGAGTTCACATTGGTAGATAATGGCTTGGTTTGATAAGCAGCAGTGATCCATGATGAGTGAGTGATTAAGTGATACCTTGAAACTCTTGTTAAGCTGTGACATCATCAAAGGAACTGGCTTTGAAGTCCAGTTGCTTTCAAATTAGCAAATGAGCATGGGAAACTGAGGTTTCTTTCTTTTCTTTTTTTTTAAAGGATGTTAATTTGATTTGAAGTAAGCCTCCAACAGTGTGCAGAACTGGTGCATGGTTTTCTGCTGCACTGAGCCAATGTGGTTATATGTTCTTAAGTGGAATCAGTTGCCATCTTCATGCACCACTTTAACTTTCTCAGGTTGTTAAATTGTGAGCCTCAACTATAGTTTCCATTGGTGTTGCTTTTTTGGGGAAATTACCTTAATTTGCAGAGGAAAATTATCAAACTTGTGAAAAGTAATTTTCATTTTTCATTGGTAAATGGTCTGATGCCCTAGAGTGATCTAATTTATCATGCTTATTTTTCTTGTATCTAATAAACAAAAGTAACAATTTCAGAACTGCCAGGCTTGCCTAATTTTTATGTGCAATTAAGATCCATTCATTTTTGCTAATGAACTTAGGAAATGCGAAAAGCTCAATGGAATTATTTCTACCCGTCATCACTGGTAGCGTTATGCAGTTCTTTGGGCGTGAAACAGAACCAAAAGCTTGCATTAATCCATTTGCTAATCACATTCTCCTAGTATGAGCTATGTGGCTCAGGGTTCCTTCAAAACTGATACAAATATCACAGATTTGGAGGGATCAGACTTTCCACTGCTCAGCTGGATAGGATATCACTATCTTTTGTTTAAAAATAGAAATGATTTTAATTCTAAACACTTTTGTGTAAACAAACAAACAAGCAAACAAACTTGTTTTCTTAGGTAGTTTACATGTAGGTATCCTAAGGGCTTCTAATGTGTAGATTTTTTCTTTTAAGAGTCCCAGTGATTACATCTGCAGTTTTAAAATAAGCCTGTCTTTCTAGCTGTCAGATTATTTGATCATATACAATTGCAAACAATAGTGTAGTGGTAAATTAATCTTTGTAATGTACCATGCCAGAAATCAACCAGATTTCTTGCAGTAAAGTGTTAATTTGTTAAAATATTATCTCATTTTTCCTTTGACATATGTTTACTTAACTAGTCAACATGCATAGCAGTTAAGATACTTTAGGATTATCAGTTTGTGGTCAGGGATTGCATTCATGTCTGAAACATGATATGAGCAATTGGCAATTCTTTTTTAAAAAATATTATTCATTCCACAACTGCAGTCTATTTTGTGTATAAAACTTCACTGTTTTCTGCAAATGGTGTGATGGAATACTTGTGATAGGGGATATATTGAACCCCACGGTATCTAGACTTTTGCTTCCTCTGGTGCCTCCTTCATCTGCCAACAGAGGCTATGAGGGGCGTTAGCAGCAGCCCGGTGAAGAAGCAGCAGCTTCGAGGGATGTAACATCTAGTTGACTCAGCAGGTTTCAGAAATGAGTGGAAGTTGGAACATGGAAGAGATGGGGAAACATATTTACATATTTGACCAATCTTAGTAACTCTTATCTATTTCATAGTGTTTTAATTATTTTTTAATGTTATGTTGCCTTAAGAGGTCATGGCATAAGCACTACAAGTAAAATAAATAAATAAATTACTAATCATTCTGTGATAGGATTTAGAATTTGGCTGCTTAGGAAAATCTGGATTTCAAGCTTGTTCTGAAGTCTAATCCTGTTCCATTTCATGGAAAATACTGTTAACCTTTTCAGCAGAAATTTACTAAGAGTGTAGTTGCAATCCACAGGCTTGGCTAAGATTTCACATGTGTGCTTTCAGCTGTAGCCCTCAGGACACTTGATACGCAGTATATCCATAGTAAGCGTAGCTAATGTGATTTATAGATATGCATAGTTGAAGTTGCGGTGCAGCTCATACTAGAATAGTTATAGTCCTCCTCTGGATTTGATACATGTTATGCAGCCTGTCATTTCTACTCCTCTTCTAACTACTTACTATATTAGTCTGCTTATATGGGAATGCAGAGACCTGGGGACTGAAAGGATTTTAGAATGTTGCCTAAGAGTCTGCTAGTTTTGATGCTGTGTGATTGTTTTCCATATGGCTAGCATAATTATTTGTCTGGTAGCATAGTTTGAGCAGCTGTTGGTGGGTGACATTGGTGGCGGACTTGTCTTTCCCCTTCCTCTCCTCTACTGTGTGCACCCCCAAAATCTGCTTGGAGTGTTAGCAGATTTTGGGGGCACATGTGGAACTGCATGGAGAAGAAGAAGAAAGAAGTGTCATTGTACAGGTGGATGTCAATTGTGCAGTCTAAGTGGAGATTTCATTCTCTTTAATATCTTTAGGCCTGGCATGCATTGTTAAATTGAAAGTAGTGTTTTATCTAAGTGTAGCTCATTGGCCCAGTTTGCATGCCACATTAAACCACAGTTAAAGTAAGCTATGATTTAATGTGAAGAATCAGTGTGCTTCTGCCCGTTGCTGAAATTTCAGGCACCTGTGTCAGGGAGGAAAGTACCCACAGTCTTGTTTGCTTGGGGAAACCCACATTCACATATGACAACAAGACAGACTCAGAGTTGTTTCCTCCCTGACATGGCAGCAGTTGGAATGGGGGAGCAGGGGCAAACTTTGATGTTTCAAATTTTAGTGGCACCCTCTGCAAGGCCAAAATTTGGCACCCCATGCATCTCACCTTCTGTTCTGCTCAATTCACTATGTCATAGTTGCAGTGCTCTGCAGCGGCCACTATGCTCGGTGGCCAGTGTGGCGGAATCGGTCACACTGCCCTAAATCTGCCTCTGGAAGAAGGAATAAAACTTCCATGATTTCAGCAGCATGCACTAGCTTATTTTAATGCTGCTCTGAGCCCCAAGAAGGAAGGGCAGGATAAAAATTCATTAAACAAATAACTATTAATAGGAAATACAAGCATGTTGGCTTGCAAAATTCTTGAGGGAAATCCATATCCCAAACAACCACTTTAGAGGAGTAGAAAGGTTCTGTTTCCATTTGCCCACACATGGTAATTGAGGCAGGGATTTTGGCCCCATGCAACTGCTCAGAGAAAGTAATTTCTGAATGAATTTGTTTCTGTAATTTATACCTCTTTTTCTAACAAGTACTTTCAAGGCAGCACAACACAGTATCTGTGAAACACTGCTGTGACAGAAGCAAGTGCACACATGCCAACTCTTATTTAAGCTAATATTTGGAGTGGGGAAGGCAGGCAGATTCCCTTCCCCAAATGTAAGATTTTTAAAGAGATCCTTGTTTCCCAGGAACCCATTCTGGCTTTCTTCTTGCTGCATGTGCCCAGTGTGGTTCGATGCCGGAGATCCACTTTACTAAAGGGAGAGTAATACTGGAGACTGATTCCCCACCCCTCTACCCCAGAAGTTGAATGTATGAAATGCCTGCACAGTTTCAAGTAGCTCACAACTATTCATCAGCAAGAGAAACTCGCATATTAGGTTACTGCTAGGAAAGAAGTTCAAATAAGGACATGAGCTTTGTAGCTCTTTTGGATGAGCAGCTCTAGAGAGACTTGATAAACATTTCTTATTCTTGAATGTAGGAAATAGAACATTTCTTATTTGTATAAAATGTTTTCAATTTTAAAAGATACTATGGGATCAAATGATAGCATTACCTCTTCAGATCAATGTTATTTAAACTTGGAATCCAAAGTTAGTCTTTTTGAGATGCCTGAAAATAATATTGATATTGATTTATAGGCACTGATATAAGGGTTTCCTGATCTCTAATTTCCTTAAGAAAGGGATCCTTGTGGAATTCCCTCCCCACAGAAGTGTGGCTGTTACTTTCATTTACGGTTATTATTATTATTAATTAGATTTCTATGCTGCCCTTCAGCCAAGGGTCACAGGGCTGTTTACAATATGGTTTTCATTGTATGCTGCAGATGTACCTCTTTACTCTGCTGTTTGAAATTTGAGATCATTTCTATGTCCAGCATTAGAAACTCAGATATATAAGCTGGGCACCAAATAGCTCCTTAAACCAAGGTTACAGTTGCCAAAATGGAGTGTCTAGTTGCCATTTTGGGGGAAGACGGCATCATGTCTTACAAGAACAGCATAGGCAGGAGAGCTGCATGATGAGCTTTGGACACTGTTCTTATCATTTAGTCCTTATGGTTGCAGAGATAACATGGTTGCAGAGATAACATACCAACGCACTCAGGCCAAATATAGTTTTCTAATTTTGAATCATATGTTTTGCTGAAGGCTTTGCTCTGTATACATTTCTTAAACTTCAGAGTTCTTCCAGATCAAATAAAACCTAAATTGTTTTAAAGGTAACAGAACTTATTAGAAGTCAGATTTCACTATACAGTGGTACCTCGGGTTACATACACTTCAGGTTACAGACTCCGCTAAGCCAGAAATAGTACCTCAGGTTAAGAACTTTGCTTCAGGATGAGAACAAAAATCATGCGGCGGCAGCGGAAGGCTCCATTAGCTAAAGTGGTGCTTCAGGTTAAGAACAGTTTCAGGTTAAGAACGGACCTCCGTGTGGTGCGCATCCTGGGAGTGCGGTTGCGATGGACCCTTTCCCCAAATGGTACCCGGTGTGGTGCGCTCCCCCTCCCCTCGTCCATATGCCAGTGGAAGTATTACTGCACGAACAGAAACCCTTGCATGAGTGTGACAACTTCAATGGATACAACTCATTGAAATTTATGTACTATTCTTTTGACTTTATTTAAGAATATGAAGTAACATAGGATGGGATTATAAAAGTTTGTAGAGAACACCATCCTTCTTTTCTGAACTCATGTATAGAACCCCTTTCTAATTCTCATGAGGTGATTCTAAATTTCTAGATGTATGAAAAAGATAAGATAGGCAAGGCAAATGAATTAATGGTTTAGTCTGCCAATGAAATTCTTTATGAATCTCTTGAATGTTTAAGACATGGCAGAAATGGCATGCTAGACCTCTATAAATATTGGCACTGTGGACTACTGCAAGGTAAATCTTGTCAGAAAAAATATGCCCAGTATGTTCACATAACTGGAATGCTGTGTTTGCATATTTTACTAGCTATTCAACCACAAAAGTCACTGAACATTCTGTGTGTTTCTTACACAGCACAGTTAAACTGGCCTGATTTTTTAAAAAAACATTGTCCTCTTTTGTTAATTAGATAATAGAGTACAATCCTAAACTCTGAGTGAGTTTAGGATTGTACTGTATTATCTAATTAACAAAAGAGGACTATGTGCTCTAGCATTCCACTCTACACAATGAATTTCCTTCTAAACAAGAATGCTTGTGACTATTTCCTTCTAAACAAGAATGCTTATGACTATTGTTCTGTGCTCACTTACCTGTGAATAAACCCCATTGAAAGCACCAGGACTTAGGAAGCACACATAGGGTTGTCCAATTATTTGCTACAAATTATTAGTATTTCTGTGTTAAAATAATCATCCTTGTACTGGTTTACCTATGCATAAGAATAGGTTACAAAATGGTAAAGCTTGGTTGCTTTTTACGGGAATTACCAATTCAGTAATGACTCCTTTGAAGACTTCAGCTACCACCTGTAAAATCTCTGCAGCCCTCTCCTTCATGAGGTGGCCCAAGTGCAGTGGATGCCTCCTCCTCCTCCTCCTTTGTCCCGCCTCCTCCTGCCTTTGCGCAGTTAGGGCAAAATGGAGCAGCCACGTGGGGAGGGGGAGAGAGAGAGAGAGAGAGAGAGAGGCAGAGGCGGCGGCGGTGCAGAGACCCAGCCAGATCCGCTGGATCCCAGCCCACCTGCCTCCTCTGTGCCCTCTCCAGAAGAGGATCCCTCTGGAAAAGGTAGGTCGCTCCCTCGCTCGCTCCCTGCCAGCCCAGTTCCCGCTTCAAAAGGAAACAAACTTGCGAAGCAAGCCCATAGGGAAATTTGTCTTACGAAGCACCTCAAAAACCGCAAAACCCTTTCGTCTTGCGAGTTTTTCGTCTTCCGAGGCATTCGTCTTGCGGGGCACCACTGTAACAGGTTTGAGATTTGTTGTTTATGTAGCCAAGTTCAGCAGAAAGTAGCTTGATTTGTTTTTCTTCCAAGTAACAGACAGGAACAACATGTATGAAAGGGTTGATAGTTCCAATGTGAGCTTTTAATAACTATTTTAAGACAAAATGAAGAATAATAAATCCTATCTTACCTGCAGGGAGGCAACAATGCTGGGCATACTGTCGTAGTAGATTCTGTGGAATATGATTTCCATCTCTTACCCAGTGGTATCATCAATCCAAAAGTTACGGCTTTTATTGGTAAGTGGTATTTTTCAGAATATACTGTACCTCTACAGTTTAAAGTCTTTTTTGTAATTGTTATTTTATTGAAAATTTTTCAAATATAAAGCAGTAAGTGACACATAAAGAGAAAAAACAAAACGAAACACACAACTGTGTAAAGGGGGGGAAAAGCACATATGAATATATAGAATAATACCCTAACCCATACATTCTTTTATAAATTTGATATTATTATCCTAATACTAATGTAAATATTAATAGCCTACTACATTTTGTATAAATTTGTTCCAAATTTTCTTGTATTTATCCAAGCAGAGTCTATGTCTGTAAGCAGTCCGTTCATAGGTTGCAAGTCTTATCATATTATCAATCCAGTTCATCTCTAGGAAATTTTACCATCAAGAAAGATGGTATAAAAAGGTTGACTATCCCTGGACTAGATTATCAGACTAAACTCTTCTGGATGTGACCCTGCCCTTCCAAGTAAGCAGGGGTGCCAACTTGAATAAAATACTGGGAGGAGGGCAAGGGTGTCAACTTTGGAGGGCAGCCCTCTCAAATATTTTATGGGGGGGGGGCGAAGGAACCTTGTCCCCTAGTAGTTGGCTCCTATGCAAGTAAGTACCACTTCTTCAACCTTGCCTCTACTGGGAGCTTTGAGCCAAGTTAGGTCATGACAATATATGCCTGTCTACTTAGGTAAAGATGGAAACATTAAATGTAGCTGTTTTGCAGTGCACTCTATTCGCAAGAACTATACACTATTAAATATCTAGGCATCCTAATGCCAAAAGATATAACACAGTTAGTTACACTTAATATAAATAAATTAATAAAAGAGGTTTATTCAGATATTAATAGATGGGAGTCATTGAATCTTACCCTTTGGGGTGTTGGGATACTGCCAGGGAGACAAAGTCCATCATGGCCCCCAAGCCGGCTGCCGGACGATCCATTGACCTCCCGTAGTCACGCAGTATCAGCAATTAGTGACATGAACTTCTGAGAAATAGCTTGCCACATTCCAGAGCTCATGCACACTCTATCAGCAGACAATGCACAGCCAAAGTCGCACTCAGGAGAGCATTATTTACAAGTTTATTCAGCGTTGATCAGAACACAGGAAAACATGACTGCTCTGCTTTAGTGTCTACGACACAGAGAGAGAAAACGAAAGCAACAGAAAACATAAACATCCTGTGAACAGGAAATACGCAGACTCTGTGACTCACGGCCTGCTCCCTTTTAAGGTGGAACGGAAATATCCTAACATCCTCCCCTTTCCGTGTAACCTGTAGTACCTGTGGTTCAACCCAATTGCAACTTTTGTACATAAACCTCAAGTTGTTCTCTGTTAACAACCTTAGACAACAGATCAGCAGGAATTTCATTTCCTGCCATGTAGGACACCTGAATGAGTCCTTTCTCAATACACTCTCTTGCACGATGTAGCTTAATCTGCAAGTACTTGGTTCTTTGCTTGCAACTCTCTGAGTTCAGCAAAGCCAAACAGGATCTATTGTCTTGATACACTTGTACAGGACATTTCACAGAAACTCTGATGTCCTTAAACAGTTGCATCAACCATTCACAATCCATGAGTGAAAATGACAGAGCATTGAGTTCTGCTTCACAGGAACTTAGGCTCACTGTCGTCTGCTTCTTGCACAGCCAGTCAAACATACAGTGGTTGTACATGTAGCATACTCCAGAAGTGCTTGTACCATCCGTGGTGTCACTTCCAAAACTTGCATCTGCAAAGATTTCAAGACCTCCAGTCTTCTGACTGGTGAACCTCAGCCTGTAGTGCAAAGTCCCTTTCAAATAGCGGGCTATGCGCTTCAGAGCTTTCCAATCCTGAACAGTAGGATTGTTGGCATGTCTGCTAAGCAGGTTACAGCTTACAGCTATGTCAGGTCTTGAGCATCTAGCAATGAAATTCAACTTGCCTAGAATGCATCTGTACAGCGTTGTGTCAGAAAACGCTTCAGCAGTACTGTCTACCTGGTAACTTGTCCTCATCGGTGTGTCTGCTGGGTTTGTTTCAACCAAATTCAACCTGGTTAATACATCAGCAATTTTCTGTGTTTGGTGTACCAGAAAATTACCTGCTTGGTCCCTCTCCACCTGCAGAGAAAGATAGTTGGATACCTCACCAAGATCCTTCATGTCAAAGTGCTCCTTCAGCTGAGCTAGGGTGCTTTGGTAGAAAGCCTGATTCTTCCAAAACATCAGAAGATCATCAACAAAACATAAACAATACAGTTTGTTTTGCCCCTCCTCCTTGACAAACACACATGGATCAGCTTTGCCCTGGTGAAAACCTAGAGAAAGCAGCGTCTCAGTGAGTTTCGTGTTCCAACACCTGGCACTCTGCTTGAGACAATATAAGGATTTCCGCAGTTTACAGACCATTCCCTTCTGTATCTGCATCCCGTCAGGTGGAAGCATAAACAGCTCCTCCCCCAGAATCCCGTACAAAAAAGCTGTATTAATGTCATGATGGGAAACATGCAGTTTCTCCTCTGCAGCTATCTTGAGCATCAGCCGAATGCTCTCATATTTGACGGTGGGTGAGTAGGTCTCGTGGTAATCCTGTCCTGGTACCTGTGAAAACCTCTGGCAACCAATCTGGCTTTGTGTCTGACAACCTTGCCATTCTGGTCTGTCTTGGCCTTGAAGACCCATTTGCTGCCAACCAGTCTCATTCCTGGGACTACTGGTACCAACTCCCAAGTTTGGTTCCTGTTCAAGGAATCAACTTCAGCCTTCATGGCATTAAGCCAAGGCTCAGCATCTTTAGAGGTTAACTCCTGAACCTCTTTGAAGCTTGAAGGTTCCCACACCTTCTCTGAGCTACTAAGAACAGCAGTTGCCGTCTTAGCAAACTCATCAGCAAATCTCTTTGGAGGTCTGCCCTTTGTCGCCTTTTCAGATCTGCGTACTAGACGCAAGTCTTCTGGACTCATCTCCTCCTTCTTAGGAGAAAAGTGACCAATGGTGAACAGTGGTTCTTCCAGTTCATTGTCAGATGCATCAGATGGTCTGACTGAGGCTTTTGCGCTCTTGTAGTCTGCTGTGTCATCACTGTCACTGACACCAGCAGCAGCGCCGCCCACTGAACTGGAATCCGAACTCTGATCATCATCGTCATCATCATCCTCAGCAGCTTCCTCAGCTTTAGCTGCTTCTTTGACATCACCTTCATCCTCCTCTGGGTAACTCTGGAAAATTCCCACATTTCCCCACTTAGGATTGTACTCAACACTCTTTGTGAACTTAATGGACTTAGGGTCAGTCATCCATACCCTGTACGCACCTTTTCGTACTCCCATGAACAAACCATGTGCCCCACGCTCCCAAGCTTGTTGCTCTGTGGGGTGTGTACCCACATGTCAGAACCAAAGATTCTCATGTGCTTGATGTTGGGTTTCTTACCAAACATCTTCTCATAGGGGGTACAACCAATAGGTGATGACAATCTGCGATCAAAAGTGTAAACAAAATTCGACAGAGCCTCCCCCCAAAACTTATCAGGGAGATTGGCATCATGCAGCAATGTTTTCATCCCTTGCAGCAACGTTTGATTTGCTCGCTCCGCAAGTCCATTCATCCATGGCGATCTAGGCATTGACAAGTCATGCTGGATTCCCTTCTCAGTCAGAAAAGCTTCAAACTGCTGAGAAGTGAACTCCCCGCCCCGATCAGTAAAGAGACAGCCAATACGTTTACCATGAACATTCTCCAACCAAGCACAGAATGCCTTGAACTTAGGAAACGCTTGCGATTTCTGCTCGAGCATAAACACATGAATGTACCTGGAAAAAGAATCAATTAGAACCATGAAGTACCTTGCTCCTCCCAAAGAGGGCGCAAGAGGACCAACCAGGTCTGCGTGCACTAGCTGGTAGGGCTTGGAAGCCTGCCTGCTAGACTCCTTGCCTTTGGAGCAACCTTCACCTTGTTCTCTGCACAAGATACACATTTCATGTGAAACTTACAGGGTTTGATGTTCAAACCCTCAACCATCTCTGGCATCTTGGCCAGTGCCTTCCAAGAGAGGTGACAAAACCTCCTGTGTGCATCATGAATGCATCCTGCATGAAGAACTTTGTTAGTTTGTGCAACACAACAAGAATCAACATTAGACATAGCAACCGCATTGTCATAATAAGTTATACAGAACAATCCATCTATAAACTTTGCATGCAAAATGTCCTCTTTGCCTTTTCTGATGACACAGACGCTCCTCTTGAAGGAAATCTCAAAACCACGCCCAGTCAGCTGTGGGACACTGAGCAAATTGTCTGCAGCGCCTGGAACATACAGTACATCTTTGATGGTCGTGTGCAGACTTGCCAGTTTCACAGTCCCTTCTCCTGCAATTCGTAACGTCTTTCCGTCAGCCAGGTGGATCTCACCTTCTTGAGGTTTGAAGGAGATAAAGAGATGGCGGTCCTTTGAGACATGGCGGGTACACCCCGAATCAATAACAAACCTGGCCTTGGCCTTTGGAGCAGTCTTTCTGGCAAGCATAACCTTGTTTTCCACCGGCGTGGGCTTTTGCAGCTTGCCCCCCTGCTCCTGGCCATCAGACTTGCCTTTAGCCTTTAGTGAAGCTGTGCCAGCAAACAAAGCCTTGTTTTCCACCGGCGTGGGCTTTTGCAGCTTGCCCCCCTGCTCCTGGCCATCAGACTTGCCTTTAGCCTTTAGTGAAGCTGTGCCAGCAAACAAAGCCTTGTTTTCCACCGGCGTGGGCTTTTGCAGCTTGCCCCCCTGCTCCTGGCCATCAGACTTGCCTTTAGCCTTTGGTGAAGCTGTGCCAGCAAACAAAGCCTTGTTTTTCTCTGGCATGGGCTCTTCACCCTCCCTCTGCTTCTGGCCATCTGCAGGCGTCTGCCTCTGTTTACCTTTGCCCTTCCGGCCTCTGCAAAGGCGATGACCTTGGCTCCCATGAGAAACAGAGCTCTCGGCTGCCGACTCCTTGGCTCCCCTGGAGGCTGGAATGCTGCCTGGGATGACGTGACAGTCAGCTCCCCCTGCAGCTTGCAACCGGTGCCCTCGGCATCCCTGCATTCACTCGCATTCTGGGAAACAGCCAGGACCTCCAATGCAGTCAAACTCTGGGCTGGGATGACTGGCAAATGGGCTATCTTCAAAGCATTCCACATCTTACGTGCAGTCACGTTGCCAGCTAACGTTTTAATTTCCTCCAGAGAGACGGACAAGACTATTACGTCAATGGCCCTCGAATTCTGGGCTCTCCATCTATCTGTCAGAGGAACTGGAGGGGCTTCAGACACAGTATGCCACACTCCAAACTGTCGAAGCAAGCTCTCACACCACACAGCCCAGGTCCCATAATTGTGCCGATTTAACTTTGGGCACTCGGCAGCCTCAGAAGCTTGGAAAAACTCCATTCCAGCTTTTTATTTGAGCCGTGAGCCTTTATGCCTTCAAAAAGTTCTTATCTCGGCAGCCCATAAATCACGAAGCTTGCTTGGCGCAGCTCCCAGACCAATTAGGCCCTTGCCGCAGCAAACAGAAAAGCCTTATTTTCCTTCACTTTTCCCACATACCTCAACGCAGTCTGTCGCAGTCTTACTCTCCTGTAAGTGCCGTGAATCTGGACCCATAACCTGTTGTTGAGATACTGCCAGGGAGACAAAGTCCATCATGGCCCCCAAGCCGGCTGCCGGACGATCCATTGACCTCCCGTAGTCACGCAGTATCAGCAATTAGTGACATGAACTTCTGAGAAATAGCTTGCCACATTCCAGAGCTCATGCACACTCTATCAGCAGACAATGCACAGCCAAAGTTGCACTCAGGAGAGCATTATTTACAAGTTTATTCAGCGTTGATCAGAACACAGGAAAACATGACTGCCTGTTTTAGTGTCTACGACACAGAGAGAGAAAACGAAAGCAACAGAAAACATAAACATCCTGTGAACAGGAAATACGCAGACTCTGTGACTCTGTGACACCAATGGTTTGAATCTCCATGATGGTGGTGAGCTCTTGTTGCTCTGTCCCAGCTGCTGCCAACCTAACAGTCTGAAAGCACATCAGTGCAAGTAGATAAATAGGTACCGTTGCAGTGGGAAGGTACCGTATTTTTCGCCCTATAGGACGCACTTTTCCCCCTCCAAAAATGAAGGGGAAACGTGTGTGCGTCCTATGGGGCGAATGCAGGCTCCTTGGCTTCAGCGATAGCAACGCGAAGCCTCTGAAGCCTGCGCTCCGGAGGCTTTGCGTTGCTTCCGCTGAAGCGAGTCTGCTCTTTGAGGGTGGCGGTGGGGGAAAGTAGTGCTTCCCCCATCGCCAGCCCAGAGGATGGGGGGCAGCGGGAAGGCGCACAACGCCTTCCCGCTACTCTCCAACCCGGCTTTGAGGCTGGCGGTGGGGGAAAGCAGTGCTTCCCCCCATCGCCAGCCCCACAAGCTGGGTCGAAAAGCCCGCAGGAGCAGCACGCTCTTTAAAGGGTGCACGGCTTCTGCAGGCTTTTCTATGGGGCTTTTCCCCAAGGAGTCAGTCCCTTCTCCCTCCTGTGGGCTTTTGCCGGAGATGGGGGAATTCCCCCACCTCCCGCAAAAGCACCCAGAAGCCATGCACTCTTTAAGGGCTGCGCGGCTTCTGCGGGCTTTTCTTTAAAGAGTGCGCCGCTATTGGGGGCTTTTCCCCGAGGAGGGACAAGGGACTGACTGGCCGTTTCAGTCCCTTCTCCCTCCTGGTCGAAAGGCTGCAGGAGTCGTGTGCGGCTCCTGTGGGCTTTCGCGGGAGGTGGGGGAATTCCGCCACCTCCCGCAAAAGCAGGGAGAAGGTCTTGGAGTAGCGCACAGGCTGTGTGCAGCCTGTCCGCTGCTCCCAGAGTTGCCGGGGGGGGGATCATATTTTTTTCCTTGATTCCCCCCCCCCCTGAAAACTAGGTGCGTCCTATGGGCCGGTGCGCCTTATAGGGCGAAAAATACGGTAAATGGTGTTTCCATGTGCTCTGGCACTCATCATGGTGTCCCGTTGCGCCAGAAGCAGTTTAGTCATGTTGGTCACATGACCCAGAAAGTTGTCTGTGAACAAACACCAGCTTCCTTGGCCTGAAAAGCGAGGTGAGCACTGCACCCCATAGTTACATTTGACTGAACTTAACCATCCAGGGGTCCTTTTTACTTTTAGTGGAAAGCACTAATGCTTGTATAGTGTGGGGCACATGACTCTAATCTACACCAGCCCTCTGTGCCCCTTTTCCCTGATCCCTGCCCCCTGCCCTACTACCCAAATATTGGGTGCCTTCCGTGCCTTATACATGTTACAGTGGTACCTCGGGTTAAGAACTTAATTCGTTCCAGAGGTCCGTTCTTAACCTTAACGGTTCTTAACCTGAGGCGTGCTTTTGCTAATGGGGCCTCCTGCTGCCGCTGCGCTGCCGGCATGTGATTTCCGTTCTTATCCTGGGGCAAAGTTCTTAACCTGGAGCAACCACTTCCTGGTTAGCGGAGTTTGTAACCCAAAGCATCTGTAACCCAAAGTGTCTGTAACCTAAGGTACCACTGTATAAAGTCACCCTTGGATTGAAGCCCTAGACCAGGGGTCAGCAAACTTTTTCAGCAGCGGGCCGGTCTACTGTCCCTCAGACCATGTGGGGGGCTGGACTATATTTTGTAAAAATAAAATAAATGAATGAATTCCTATGCCCCACAAATAACCCAGAGATGCATTTTAAATAAAAGGACAAATTCTACTCATGTAAAAACACGCTGATTCCCGGACCGACCGTGGGCCGGATTTAGAAGCCGATTGGGCCAGATCCAGCCCCCGGGCCTTAGTCTGCCTGCAATGCCCTAGACTTTAACTGAAAAGTAAGTAATATAAGATTCCGTATTTATCGCCCTATAGGAAGCACTTTTTCCCCTCCAAAAATGAAGGGGAAATCTGTGTGCATCCTATGGGGCGAATGCAGGCTTTCCTGAAGCCTGGAGAGCGAGAGGGGTCGGTGCGCACGGACCCCTCTCGCTCTCCAGGCTTCAGGAAGCTATCAGCAAGTCTGGGGAGCCCCTGGGAGTTCCCGCAGGGCTCCCTAGGCTGCGGATAGCAGCCTGCTGCACGGAGCGCGGGGCGCGCTGAAGCAGAGCGCCCCGCGCTTCGGGCAGACATCCACAGCCTCGGGAGTCCTGCAGGAGGTCCCGCAAGGCTCCCTAGGCTGTGGATAGCAGCCTGCTGCACGGCGTGCGGGGCGCGCTGAAGCAGAGCGCCCCACACTTTGGGCAGACATTGGGCAGCCCCACAAGCTCGGGGGACAGCAGGGAGGCGGAGCGCTGCCATCCCGCTGTTCCCCGACCTGGTTTGGATTCCCCGACCTGGTTTTGGGGGGGAAATAAAGGAAAAAATTTTCCCCTTTATTTCCCCCCCCCCAAAAAAAAACTAGGTGCGTTCTATGGGCCAGTGCGTCCTACGGGGCCAAAAATACGGTATATTTTAGTATTTAAATGCTTTTCCTTTCTGTAAAGTCAAAACTGGGGTTTTTGAGACTTTTAACCTTCTTGTATTACTCATTGATCACTCCCTTTTTGCGCATTCCCCAGGAAATGGTGTGGTAATTCACTTGCCAGGATTGTTTGAAGAAGCAGAGAAAAATGTTAAAAAAGGAAAAGGTAAGAGCAGCTTTCTAAGGTATCGTAGGGAGATGGTGAGGATTCTCTTGCATTGGTATATAGCAGAACATGGTAATTGCCAATGTGTTTTTGCTCTTGAGTTGCCTGATGGTATCCACTTGGTGCATTGAGGGGGAAAGTAACCAATTCTCAAAGATTTATTTCTTTTGTTCAGAATTCCCCCTCCCATTTAATTCTATTTAACACCTTAAAGTAAGTGGTATATGACATACAACACTTTAAAATACAAATACACGCTGTATATAATTTTAAAATTTTCAGTGGCCAAGAATGTTGGATTAGTGTTCAGATTATCTAAATGCACCACTTTTTTTTAAAGCCACATGATGAAATAGACTTTAAATGGAAGAAGTAGTATTAAATAAATATCTAGTGTTTTTATTGCGAGTTAGAGTGTTCATAAGCCTGTGTTTTATATAGATCCATTTTCAAGATATTGTATGTTTGAGACAAATAGCAATGACTGAAATTTGTTTGGTTTTTCCAAGATACATTGAGTTAGTTTTGTGATATTTTCTAAACTGTCTCTTCATTCAACTGATCACATTAGGCTGTAATCCTTTGCACACTTACTTGGGAGTAAGTACCACCAAAGACAGTGGAGTTTTCTTCTCTTTAAAAATGCATAGAATTTTGTGGTTGGCCATTAAAAGTAACTGATTTCTAAATGTGTTTTCACCCCCATAATATTTCTTTTGTTGCTTTTCAAAGGATTGGAAGGTTGGGAAAAAAGATTAATTATATCTGACAGAGCTCATATTGGTAAGTAAAAAATATTGAAATATATTAAATGATTCAAAGTATTTTTTAATCTCTAGCTCTGATTTGTTTTTCATTTGTAAATATCTAGCAGTAATATAGGTTAGAATACAAGGGCTGTGTGGGAATGTTCCATGCACATAGTGGGGCCTTTTGTTGTGCCCACTTCAAATGTAGACTCCCCCCTACATTATTCAACAACAGCTATTGAGAGAACAGCCTCCCAACACAGCAGGCAGGGTTCTAAAGCTAGCTTTCTGGTATCAAATACTGCATTGGCTATCAAAGTGGAAATCAAACTCTTAAACAAGAGGTGTTTTCTATCTAAACTGGTAATTGTTTTATAGTAAATGTGTTCTTCCACAAATGAATGTTTATGTCAAGAATTCGTCAAGATGAATGGTTGGAGGATCATCTTATTTATTGCCTTATGTATAAATAAATGTGCAGTTCGAAAGCACACCAAAGTACAAGTAGATAAATAGGCACCACTCCTGCGGGAAGGTAAATGGCGTTTCCGTGTGCTGCTCTGGTTCGCCAGAAGCGGCTTAGTCATGCTGGCCACATGACCCGGAAGCTGTACTCCGGCTCCCTCGGCCAATAAAGTGAGGTGAGCTATACTGCATACTAATGCAATTTATACCAGGGGTGACCAAATGGCAACATGAGCAACATCTAGCCCAAAGCGTATCTTTATCCGTCTACCTTTTTGGTGTCCCATCAAACAAGAAATGCAAGGGAGGAAATATCTTGGCTTTCTCTTCTGCACATAAAATGATTTCTACTGCAAGCATCAAAGGTATAGCAAACTCATAACAGATGAAGATGGTGGACATTTCCCCAATCTATCCAGTTAAGCTGATCAGGAGACAAGAAAACATTGTGTTACCCTTGGATTGTCCCCTCCTTTGCGGCAAAGCACCAATGAATAACATGGTTCTTAAGTAGTTTCTCAGGAACAATTCCCCCCTCCCTGCCTTAAAACACTAGCAACTGCTGTTGTATCACAGGGATTAACCAATTTAAACAAAGATTGTTAAGCAGTGTAATCAAAGTTACCTAATATTGATAAGAAGCAGGGTATGTTAAAACCAGCCTTTTCACTTTAATGTTTGAAATGTGTTTCCACTTCAGATAATTGTGTGTTTATGGCCCCTTTCAACACATGCGACCATTGACAAACCAAGTCCACCCTTTTGGTGTATTTCTTTGCTGCCTTTGTCAGTCTTAGAATATCGTTGCTCATTAGTGTAAACCCCCCCCCCCGCATTATTGGGATAACAAGATGCATTCTATGTATTCTATTCAGCCTCTATAACTTCTGCAATATAAGAGAATTTTAAGATGCCTCAAATGTCAGTAGCCCTGGAGAAATGCAAATGTTTTTGAACAGAAAAGGTTTGACTGACATCTCTTGAGTTGTAGCATACGGTAGTGCTTTGTTTGCATACTTTGTTTGCCTTGATTTTTGTCTTCACAAATTGAAGTGCTTTTTCTAAAATATTATTTTACTAAACAGCTGTATTTTCTCCAGGTGCTTGTTACTTAAAGTTTATATATCTAGTGCAAATGATGATTTCCAAAATACTTTGGCATACATTAATGAGAAATAATAGCTTACTTTAGTTTGGTACTTAATGCAGGTATTAATACAACAGAGTTCATTTTGTACCCTTCAAATTCCTAGTATTTGACTTCCATCAAGCTGCTGATGGCATCCAGGAGCAACAAAGACAAGAGCAAGCAGGAAAGAAGTATGTTATGTGTTGTCAAATGTCTTAATTGTAAATACTGGAAGAAATTTTCAGTGACAGGGAGGGCATTTCAGCCAGTGCACTTCCAGAATCTATTCAATAGAGTGTGCTGTTAAGGGTGCTTTGCAATAAGATTCTTTCTTAATGTTTTTGCAAGGAAATCTGGGACACCTCTACATTCCCACTTATTTGTATGTACTTTAAGACATGTGATTCAAGGATTCAAAATTAGTTTGTTTTCAACCCGAAGGGCGCAACAAAATTCTCTTCAACTTTAGAATACACTTAAGACATAAGTTTTTGCACAACAGTTTTGTTCTTAAATTGTAAGCCTCAATACCTTTGCAGTTCACTATATTTTTTGCAGAGCATATATTAAATTCCAAGTAGCATACCTGTAAAACTGTTGCTCTTTCTCACTGATGTGAATCTTGTTCTTCAGCAGGAATGGGAAATGTATCTGAATCTCTGGGATCATGTTACAGCATAATGAGTACAGAACATTTTGGGTGTCTTCCAGAGATTCAAGGCTCTTAAGCTCTGTTACCTAATGTGCGTAATGGTGATGTCATGTGATAAGGTTATGATGAATGAATTAAGGTCAGAACTAGGAAATACTAGTGTGTGTGCTTTCTATTTTTCCACCCCACACTGATCCATTGAAATGATAGTGGTATGATATTGAATGATTGGGAAACCTTCACATCCTCTGTGAAAATTGAAAAGTCATATCTGGGTTTTAGCACATTTAATTCCTTTGTACATTCAGAATTAGATTGGTCATGGGCAAAAGAGGAAATATTCTTGGTCAGGACCCTGTCATCCTGTCCTGGGGTGGGACTTGTTTATTTGCATGTTATTTCGTTGGATTACGTATCCTTCCTCAATCATGGTGACGGTGCTAAATCTGTAGATCTAAGAGTACCCCTCCCTTCTTGATATATTCCTAGGCACTAGTACAACATAAAGATGTTGATTTCATTTCCATCCATGCAGTTAGTATTTTTTAAATTGCACAGCTGATTGTTTTTAAAAAGGCAAGAATCAAACTTGACATATTTCCTTTTGCAAATATGGATGGAATGGGGAAGTATTGAACTATTGATCATGTCTTCTTAAAATAAATCAAAATAATACAAACCTGACTCAAGAGTTCTGTGGTTGTCGTTGATACTTAGGAATAGTATAGCGAATGGACTCTCGAAGTCTAGGTTGTTGCTCTGCTTTGACAGGGAATGGACCTGCTGCATTAATGATAGTGGCTCTTTTAAGGAAATTTTTCTCCTTTTGTGAAAAAGTTGGTTGTGCTGTTAACATTTTCCATTTTCCAGAACTTGGCCTGTCTGTATTGTAAATTTGCATATCTGAAGTTTTGCTAGTATCACAGAATGTGATATAGACAAAACAAAATCTGACTGGGTCATAGTATGAGACTCATAACAGGCTGTGTTTACATTCTTCTCCACTCCCCTTTACATCTGTGATTTGTTTACTCTTAACATTGCAAATCTCAACCTGTCCTACTTCTTGATTGATGCCATTGGCCTGTTTTGCAAACAATGCCTAACCATTGTTGATTAAACCTTAACTAAGTGTTGTGTGAACCTCCCCAGTAGCTTAGCTATGGTTTGTTCACTGCCATCAAATCACGATCTGTAATCATGGTTTATTGATGGCTTATGAACCTTGATTTAAATTATGGCTTGCTGTTACATATGAACCCAGAACCCTTCTGAACAATGGTGTATTTGCTCATCCCACCCCAGATTTTCATCAGACTACTAAAGGCTTGAGGCAAAAGCAGCTGGAAAACAAAACAAAAATTTGGGAAACATTCCATGGTTTGTTTGATCATCTGTGGGACAACTTGTAATTTGTTAAACCAATTGTTGGAGTTGTCTTAAGACCTCTTGCTATGACAGAAGGACTAATTAGCCTTGGGTCAGGCAACACAGTTCTAAGACAGACTTTACAGTTAGGCATCCAAGATCCTTGATTCATAATTTGACCAGGAATAGGTTTCCTCAATTCTATCGGGTTTTTAATGGAAGATTGGCACAGAGCAGTTTTATAGCCTTTGGGTGGAGATAGGCAAATGGTTTATCATGTGCAGTAGCCATGCTGAGAAGAAAAGTATAGTGCAGGTCATATAACAGGAATTAATGAGCTCCTTACTACATATAACCGTGGTCTAAAAGCATAAACTATTCTGACCACATTGAATGATAGTGTTGTTTTTGTTTAGTCTCAGTTCTCAGCTGTGTTCCACCAGGTTTGAGATATACCCTGTATGTTGCTTTACTTTTAAGTAAGCTCTTCACTCTTAGCATGCTAAGATTCACACCACTACAGTCTCTGTTAAGAAAATTCATTGAGATTTGCACAGAAGAAATGCATATGAAATACATATAAACAATGTGATAATATGTTTGTTCATCCTTTAAGGTAAATACTAAATAATGTTTAGACTGTAGCTTTTTAAGTATTTTGTATATCAGTATTACAAGTAACACTTCAGAGGGTGTTTTGCACCACCTGCCAGGATTCTGTTTCTTCTTAATCTTCCCTCTTCTCCTGGGTGCCCACTGGGGGAAATGTTTGACCTCAGTGAATGATAATTTTAAACTACCAAGTATGTGCAACATACCTCCAGACTAATTTTATTTTTAGAAACTTAACAACAGCCTAGTTGAATTGATAGTCACAGATTGTGTAGTATGTGTATGTTTTTTATTTTTGTGTTTTAAAGCTTGGGAACTACAAAAAAGGGAATTGGTCCAGTGTATTCTTCTAAAGCAGCTCGAAGTGGGCTCAGAATGTGTGATCTAGTTTCTGACTTCAATGAATTTTCAGAAAGGTAACCACTTCTCTAGAGTAATGTAAATATTTCAAATAATTTTATTATTAGGGCTTGTATATTCTGATTTTCATATTCTAAAAAATCCCTTACTGGAGCTCTCATTTGTGAGTCTATTTTTGTTTTCACATGTGTTAAAAGTTAAAATCTTTATCAAGGTTTTTTTTAAAAAAATGTTGCAAGCATAATTTATTTGTACTTATTTTACTTTTTAGATTCAAAGTGTTGGCCAACCAGTACAAGTCTGTTTACCCTACCTTAGAGATAGACATTGAAGGAGAATTGAAAAGACTGAAGGTAAACTATAGAGGAGTTGTGGAATTATTTGCCATAATTGAGATATATATACACACACACACACACACACACAGATGGATTTATCTTTGTATGTTTCTTCTGATAAAAAGATAAAGAAACACTGCTTCTGACACAGAAGCAGCAGTCAGTTAACTTATCGCTTTAACTAGCAAATTGCCTGCATTAGGGTTATCATAAGTCAGAAACAAATGGCCCCGTAGCTTTATCACAGTAGTCAGTTATTTACTGAATTAAACCTGTTTGCTGAATCTTACATTTCATGTAGAAAAGGAATTCTGTGGTCTTTTTATCTTTTAGAAGCTCATATTCCACATTGATGTGACAATTCTCCTGAGAGCTAGTGTATAGCTTGGTAAAGGTTTGTGCCCTACATCAGAAAATCATTGGTTAAAGCCTTTTTTGCATAAAGTCATTCTTGGTATTGGGAAAATATATGGATCAAAACACATTTTCTCTCTCTTATAGTATTGGAACTCAGGGTCACCCAGTGAACCTTGACATGACCCCAACCCTGAACATCACAGTAACCTATGCCTGTTCAGCAGTACAGACAATTCATAAGGCAGAAGCTGATTGAGATGTAATGGAGTGCTAAACTTCATGCCAGAGGACTAGACCTGTAAAGCTTTCTGCTCTTCAAAAAGTAGGCAGAACTTAGGAGGGATAGTCTGGCCCAAGGGAAATGGATAAAAGGCATACTTTAATCATATTCAATTGTTAGTTTCCCTGACACAGGTAGAATCACATGAGCAAAAACAGGGCAGGTGTGCTACCTGTTACCTTTGTTGCCCCATCATGCCTGCCCTTGCTATTCTCCAGTCATTGCAGTAGGGAGGCTGCCATACTTATGCAGCCTCCCTGTGAGATTTAGAATTCTGCTTATGCAGGGCTCTCAGTTTCACAAGGGGCCTACTAGGTTCAGCAGGTGCCCCACTGCAGATGTCTGCACTCCAGCGTGTGGAGGGTAATAATAGTGACCAACACAGTGAACTGACTAGCACATTCATTTCTACTCTTGCTCTTACTGCATGAGAGGTACACTGTCTGAAGTGGATTTGTAACAGCGTTGCTTGGAACTATCCAAGGTCATGCAACTTCTGCCTTTATCGGGTGTCTTCCTCAGGAGCATCCACCTTGCTCTACTGACTCTCATTCACAGACAACATGAAAAGGTAGTTCTTCACGCAGTGTGTAGCTCAGTTGAGGATTTTGCTGTCGCAAGATGTGGCAGTGACAGTGGTAGACAAATTTTTGTGGAGCATAGGTCTACCAATGCTATTAGCTGTGGTAGCTAAATGGACGCTCAAAATTCACAAATAGCGTATCCCTAAATAGTGCTTGCAGGGGGGACAAAGAGGGGAAGACTTTTTCTTCCTGCTCTCTTTGTAAGCTTTCTGCAGATATTTGGCAAGTGTTAGAAACAACATAGTGGATTAGTTGTTAGACTCTTGGTCTGATTCAGCAGGACTCTTAATAATTTTAACTTGAGAAAGAACTAATGAATGACATATATATGCTTTGTTCTTATGCACATTCTCCTTGACACAAAGAATAGCTTATAGTTGACATGGCTAACAAATAGCAAATGACACTTTTATTGTTTTACAAGACAGAATAATTATTTGCCTGCCTATTTAGTACAGTGTCTACTGTGTGTTTTGAAGATTGTAGTTTACTACATTCTAATCTCTAGGAAATATTTGTTTGTCTTAGGGTTACACTGAAAGGCTCAAACCAATGGTGAGAGATGGTGTATACTTTATGTATGAAGCTTTACATGGCCCACCAAAGAAAATTTTAGTAGAGGGTGCAAATGCAGCACTACTGGACATTGATTTTGGTATGTATAAAGTCTTTTTTTTATCATAGTCACAATGTGTGAGGTACTTGTCACTTGTCACATGTGTATTTGAAGGACTGTGCAGAATACAGCTGTTTAAGACTAGTTGCATTATAGTCATTCTTGTACATTGAATGTTCATTGTACATCTTGGCATTGAAACTATACCACTATTTTTAAGGATGTGTTGTCATTTTAAATAACAACCAGTGTTACTTGCTATTCACTTACCTTTCAGTAGAAAGATGCAATGATAATATTTTATATAATTGTGCTGCTCTTAGTTCATTCCTATCTTCTCTTCCTTGCCCTTCTGAAACAGGAACTTATCCTTTCGTGACCTCATCAAATTGTACCGTGGGAGGTGTTTGCACTGGCTTGGGTATGCCACCACAGAACGTTGGTGAAGTATATGGAGTTGTGAAAGCATACACAACTAGAGTTGGAATTGGTGCCTTTCCCACAGAACAAGACAATGTAAGTATAGCATTAACATTAATGTGAGTTATTGGAACAAAGTAAATGAATGTACACTTCTCAGAAATATTATTTAACACAGTGGTCTTCCAACCCTTTCACACCTGGGACCCACCTTTAATCCAATATGCATTTGGGGACCCATATCCCTTTTTTTTTTACCATATATTTGTATGGTGGTAGTGCTTTTGTTACTACCCACCTCAGAACAGGTTGTGACCCTGTAGTAGCTTCTGACCCATCAGTTGAAGACCAGTGATTTAAGGTATGCATGGCTGTACTCTCCCAGGCATCAGATTCTGTATACCACATACTTTAAAGTGCTGCTGCTTTCTGTCTGAAATGTAAGTTTCTCAGTCCACAGATCTGCTGCCTGGGTGTTTATATGTGCTTTTAAAAAGTTTTTAACTACTGCTTATTCCTCAGTCCTGCAGAGCCTATATTTCTGTCGGAGAGCAAGCTGAATTCTGTTCTTGCTCATGAATCAGCAGCAGAATTGTTAACTAAGTTCCAGTTGCAGAATCTTTATTACTAGTGACGATGCACGTGAACCAGTTTGCCTTTTTGATTCCAAGCTGAATTAACAGGACTAGCAATTTAAGATTGCCAAGGATTTCAGAGCTTCACAAACAATAACTGAGCTACAACACTCCTGTGAGGTAGCAGGTAGGCATTATACAATGGAATCAACATGGAGTGTTGAGAAAATGGCCTGCTCAATGGTATTTTCACATTGATACCTGGCATTAAAGGTGGCTCCTGTACTTGTATCTTCATCCTTGTTAAAAGTTTTGTGCACTATGTGGGGTTGGAAATGTAAAGTATATTTTGTTTTCTGTTGTCAGTAAATTGTGTTTACATAGAAATGAACAATATTACTCCAGTGTATAACATGACTATATTCTGTTTCATAGAAAATTGGAGAATTACTGCAGACACGTGGGAAAGAGGTTGGTGTGACCACAGGTCGGAAAAGAAGATGTGGCTGGCTGGATCTTGTGTTGCTTAGATACGCTCACATGATCAATGGATTTACTGCGTGAGTAGCTTGTAGTGGTAGCAAGTGCACTGTAATAGAGTATAATACTTTGTAGGAACAATACAAAGTAATGGGAATGAAATTAATAGCCTTCAAGTAAAGAACAATGTTTTGAAGACCCACTGTGGAAGACAAAATGGTTTTTAAAGTCACAGTACTGATATAAGACTTGCCAGCAGCCATGATAATAACTATGATACCCCTTCTGGAAAAAAGCTATCTGATGTTAAATGTTCACAGTCTCTCTCTCTCTCTGGCTTTTATTTTGGAATTCCAGGGTTTCCCCAGGTTACTTTTTTTTAGTCTAGAATTTTAAGGCAAGATGTAAAGGTAGGCTGTCACATATATATGGGTAAGCGTGGCTTCAAAGACTAAGCAACCATGTCAGCCCTAGTGATTTATATCTTTCTTTTAAAATAAACAAATTTACTTCCTAAGATTATAGTTTATATTTGTCTATACCTAACTAACACATCAATATTTTATTTTAAAACAGATTGGCTCTTACCAAATTGGATATTTTGGATGTATTTCCAGAAATTAAAGTTGGTGTTGCTTACAGAATAAATGATAAAATCATACCTCATTTTCCAGGTGAGTGCTTATGATCACGTGTGTGTCCATACTATAACTTTTCCAGTGGTATATTTAATGCTAGATGTATCCCCTCACTATAGTGTAGGTTCACTACTGTTGTTTTTTATTGTTGCTTCTGTTATAATTTATTCATCAGCTGATATAAAAGCCACAAGGCAAATTGCAGTATGTAATTTGCTGGATAAAGCAGGATTAAAATTTTGTGTGAGGAGCTCAGCCCTGCTGAACTTCATGGGAGTTTTCCTTCCCATGGACCAACTTTGACAGGTTCACCAACCTGTCATGTGTGGTGGTGGAGATTAAGATCTGGCCTCTGGACCCAAAAGGTTCGTCATCTCTGCTTTATAGGGAATCTGTCATTTCCCTCACAGTAGTTAACTTCCTTTTCCTATATTTCACCTATGCAAAGGATTTTGGGATGGCTGTTAAGTTGGTTACTGAGCTGTTTTGCACAGCCATACTTTTGTTTCTTCATCTTTTATTCCTTTGGGTGACTTGAGGTTGTAAAATTTGCTTATCTGAATGATTAAACAAGTCTGATATTATTGCAAAAGTAAAATTATCTGTTACACTGCCTTTTTTTTTTTAATAAAGCAAACCAAGAAGTCTTAAATAAAGTAGAGGTTCAGTATGAGACCCTCCCAGGATGGAACACAGACATATCAAATGCAAGGACTTTTGATGAACTGCCTGTAAATGCACAAAACTATGTTCGATTTATAGAAATGGAACTAGGAATTCCTGGTAAGCAAAGCAGTTTTTAAAAAATGTTTTCAGGGATCTATTAGAAGCAGAAGTACTTCTAAGGAAATGCTTTGTCATTGAGAGTATTACTCATCACTATGTTTGTAACTGCCGGTTTGTAGACTTGGGTCTGTAACACGAAACATCATAATTGGTAAAGTTACTCGGATGGTCTGTATACTTCTTCACAGTAATTCATAATTTGTGTAGGTAGCTATTTCTAGAACTAGTCATTCCTGAGAGTCACACTCAGTGAAAGAGATAAATCAAGGAATCTGAACTCTTGACTTTCAAGCTAGTGACTAGTATGGATAACATTTCTGTTTCATTATAAACCTGTTCACTTGTTTCCAGATCACTTCATGGTGCTGAAAATGAAATTGTTTTAACTTGAGACAGTACTTTAAATAGATTTGGAAGAGCCTTTCAAATCACCTTGAGTAACTAGAGAATAAAATTCTGTAATTGCTGTTGTTCTCTAATCAAAGTAGTATTTTCTAGTTGTATGTGTTAGATTACGCTCCTAGCTTTGCTAAGTTTTTACTCGTGATATTTCTGATATTTTGTATTCTGCATTCTGGTTAGATGTCATTGTTAAAACTGAAAAAATACAAATAATATTAAAAAGGGAATCTTTTAGTGAAATATACCGAGATTTTGTGCATTATATCTTGGGGGGGGGGGGGAATGCCAATTACTGATTTGAGTGAAATCAGTAACCAATTCTGTAATGCTTTTCAAAATTGCTTGAAAAGCTTTGGCCTTAGGGGAACAGAACTACTGACATCAGGTAAATAACATTAAAGAGCAGGATATCACACAGTTAGCTTTAAGTAGTTGCATGACTTGAAAAACAATTATTTTGGTAAGTCTTTGAAAGTATCCTGTAGAATACAGTTCTGTATGCACTTACCTTGGGAGTAAGACAGGTGTAGGATTTGCACTAGTATCCTAAGTCATCTGTTCCTTCAAAGTGTCATGCAAAATATATTTTTCTTTCTGCAGTTAAATGGATTGGAGTAGGAAAATCCAGGGAGTCGATGATTCAGCTCTTCTAAAGATACTAGATAAATGGAAGAAAAGAAAGCACACTCCACAAAGAGACTGTCAATTCTTATATCTATTATTCTTAACCTAAGCAGCAATGATTTTTGGAAGTTGGACATTGTATTTAAGAGCTGAAGATGGTCTGGACAAATAATTGTTACTGCTGTAAAAGACTTTAGCAACTATCAGTATCACTTCACAAATTCCAGGGCATTTGTCACTATTGCCACCATTTGTCAAGGTGCCACCAAATTTTTTTCTCCTTCAGATGTTTGTCCCAACACTACCTTTCTAAATCAAAGGTTGTACATTACTTTCATGACCATATATCTTTATTGTCTCTGCTTTTGGTGGTGTTACTTCCTGAAATTTTAGATGCTTAAAATAATTAATGCAGTTTTGCACAGAGTTTTACATCCTCATTTGTACTCCTAAAGCTGTTGTTACCTGTATGGCCGCTGTAGTAGTGTGTGATTAAAGAGAGGGATGATTTTATAATGATGAAGAAAACTCTTTTTTGTTACAGGTTTTTATTAAAACTATTATGAAATGATAGTTTGGAAGGGATGTTTAATATGTAAACAGTGCAACAACTTAAATTATAAAGTAAGATACAGAAAACCTATTGTAGGTCTATTATACTCACTACTGAAAGGAGTTCATTAATACATTTTTAGCTGTTATGATACTTCTGCGTTTCAGCTTTTCTTCCTTCTGCCCAGTGATCCATCAGTTCATTAGCCTAGTGTCAAATCCATCAAATTTCAAATATTTAGAGGATTATCGGAAACTGGATGCATAGTTTGGTCCTTGAATGTAGACACAGGAGCTACTGGCAGTCCTGTTAGGGATACATTGGGCTACCTAGGTAAATACTGAAGCCAATACTTTGCTGTAAATAGATTTTTTTTAAATCATCTTGGCAAATACCCTAAGATAACAGGATGTACAAATCATGTTTGTTGCTTTGTGTTTTGTGGCTTTTGTTTTGTTTTTGCAGAAGCCTTTTCTTTTGATTCCATTGCATGCCTGCTATGTCAGTCATTTTATCCCACAGTTATCGGTGTTATAGATGTGTAAGTATTTTCAATCCCTATTATATGCCGTAACATTCTCAACATCATTCCTCAGCTTTATAAGGTGAACAATGGCGGCTTTCTAACTTTTATGCTGAAATTCTTCCATAGCTTTCTTCCTTTCATTGATATTTTAAGAGTTACTGTAAGAGAGGTAAGCCGAAACAGTACACAGAACTAAATTTTTAGGGACTCCCCCCATCTGATTTGTGGGGGCAGATTTAGAAATCCAGATAGCAATGCGGAAATTACAAATCTCTGGAAATCCCATTGGCTTGAACTGTGAAACCAAACTGGCTGTAACTTTGTTTTCTCACAGTCTTATCTGTTTTTCTGAGACTGTTTCGAGCAACAGTTCAGCAACAGATCAGTACAAATCTGTTTGGGACAACCCAGCTCTCTCTGTAGGGATTTGTAGCTGCTTCAGCCTGATCTGGATAGGGCACAAATCAGCCTGAATTGGTCCAATCCAATTCAGAATTCAGCCAGATCTGGTGTATAACTCTACTAAATATGTGAGCTGCATTTACGTTTTTATTAACTGGCATTTTGTATGAGATAACAGTTGTTAGTTGGTGTTGGCATACTAGCACTAATTACAACGCCCGCCCCCGCCTTTAAAGGAATTTTATTTTGAAATCATACAGACAACAAAAATGCAATGCAACCAGATCACTAAAGGGAAAGGAAACTGATTACAGGCTTTAGTGTAGCTTCACTAAGCTTGTGGGACAGTAAAAGTCAAATAGCCTAAGGAGAATCTCATTAACTATTGAATGAGTTTGAATCATAATCAGGACAAACATGATTGGAAGCTTGGGCTTCCATATAGCAGGTAAACAAACCATGGTGCCATAATAGCTTTTAAAAAACTGAATATTTTTAATGCACTTGCTCAGTATGTTTGTACATAAGCATGGTCTTTCACATTCACTGTTGTTGTGAGGTGCATTGTGTTATACACCACTTTGCAGGTGTGTACAATTGGTTAAGAAGATCTTTATGCAGAAATCCAGGGGTAGGTAATCCAAAATAAGCATTTTCTGTTAAGAAAAGAGAGTGGGATGGATCCAGAGCTGCGTAAGTAGCAGTCCACTCACACAACAGGACTTCTTGTCTTCCCTCCTCGCTTCAGCTCCTTGGACCCCCAATCCTCTTTTCCAAATTGCTTCTCCAGAGATAGTAAGTGTTCACTTTCCCTTTAATCTTTTTGACTCCAACCACATCTATCAAGATGCTTTTCCACCAGAATAAAACAACATTAGTCTTTCTCTCTTTTTGATGTGTGGTTTGACTTCCTTTTATCAGAACAGTATGCTGCTGTTTTCTGTTTTGTTTTGTTTTCTTGCAGACAGCTATTTTTTGTTAATGCCAAGATTATTTTTGGAGTACGGAAACTTTTTAGAAGAACCCGTCATTGAAGCCAGGAATAGCATTATTGTGTTTAGATTCTGGAGAAGGCTTTGGTTATGGATACTTTTAAAATTCTCCCTATCCAAATATTTCTCTCAAATTTTGGGCTCTATCTTTAAAACTGGCCTTCTTACTGGATTAGCAGTGATATGTTCTGAATTTTCAAAATTTACAGGGCATTGATTCTTCTGGCAAAAGTGAGGGATGAGAAGTGAATTTCACTGATTTTTGCTTTCCCCTGCAGCTCCTTTGAAAGTCTGCTCTGAAGTGTTTGGGAGGGGGTGCTCCAGAAGAGGGGAAGCAAGGAATCTGCAAAAACAGTCTCCTTCCACCAATGGGAGGCCTCCTATTTACAGAAAACTAATTTAGGATCCAGCCCATAGAATACACATTCCCCCTCCCCTCTTGCCTGCTTTCTTTTGTCTCTGCCTTTTAACATTTTATTCACAATTACCTGTTCTGGTAGCAGGGATAACACATAATAAATCTGCTCAATTTGCCATTTCCAGTTTGCTAGGTATGCTTTTCTATCTACCTATGCACTGGTGCATAGTTCTGTGTTAACTAAAAAATAAAGTGATTCTTTCCACACACCCCTTAGCAACACACATGCTTCTGCACACAGGAAAAATATTCAGCATGCTCTGATAGAACCCCTTTGAAATCACAAATAACTGTCATGTCTGCGAACTAATCTTTTAAAATTCCCAGGGGGTAGGTATTGTTTTGTGTTTTTGCAGCAGCAAAGTCTTATACACCTTAAACGACAAGACATATATTATAGCACGAGCTTTCGTAGACAACACTCCATCATTCATTCAAGCCCTAAAACAACATTATATCAATCCCTCACCTTTTCCTTACAGCTTTGAACGGTTGCTTCTTCCCGTGACCTGTGGGTGTTCCTATATTGCAAAAATTGGGATAGGTCTATATATGATACCCTGCATCTCACATCTTTCTAGTGTTAAACATTCTAGTATGGGTAAAGAGGAAGCAGTTTGCAGAGTTTTACAAAACAGTAATCTCATTCAAGCTTCTGGTCTCTCTAGCTTGACCATCCTGGTTGCTTCCACATCTCCAGAGCAAGGTGAAAGAAGAGCGGTATTGCTCTAATAGGGTAGAAGAGGGGATGGAATCCTATTCCTTTCCCCATTTAAGTCCTAGTATGATTTATTTTGCCCTGCATTGTGCACTATTGCAGGGCAGGGGCACTCAGAAGTGAATATAGTCCTTGTAAGTTCCCTGGAAATATGCATAGGGGACAGAAGTGATCTAAGTAAGATCTAAGTACACCTCCTGTTGCTTTTTACTCCTGCCTTTCTGGGACAAAGAAGCCATGGTCAATTTTTTTGTGGGGGGGGGGAGGGAGAGAAGAGGCCTTTTGTAACACTGATTAACTTCTGCCTGTGCTTTGCAGTTGCAGCTCTGAAAAGCTGCCCTCCCCCCAAAAAAGATATGTGTCCCCCCCGTTTTGATACCTATTACCATCAAGCTTTTCCAACTCTAAAATCAAGTTTCAGAAGTGTTCAAAGCAGTTCAGAACATAATTAAAATTGCAACAATATCCATATAGTATAAGAAGTCGTCTTTAGTACTTTTGTGGGCGGCAGTCTTGCAAGGTTATTCCATCTTGTTTTTCGGTGGGTGGGTGTGTTTTAGAAAAACACACAGCTTGGCTGAAAGAATTTATCAAACTCCCATAAATGAAGGTTTGGTTTTGTCTTTCTTCTTTGCAGAAAAACTTTTCCAAACAGACTGTGATTCAGCATCAGTTTTTGGATGATAATCCTCAGCAATGTCTATAATTTAAACATAAAATCATTATTGGCCTTGCTGCTTGAATTCAGAAGGAATTAATGAATTCAAAACCTGTTGATAATTGACTGGCAGCTTCTAACACTTCCATCCCGCACACCCCAGTCACATAAAAAAGCATATACCAGACACTTCATGTAACTGTTCCTCAGCAATGTGCCTTTTTCTGAAGGCTCTGTGGATCACATTAAAAAAAACAAAAAACCAAGGTGCCCTGCTATGGCTGTTGCATTTTTATTTCTCATTCTAGCTTTTGACTCATCCGAACTGTGTGTTAGCTCTTCCTCCTCCACATCCACTTGACTGGTTATTCTGAACTGATAAATCATTATTTAATCTCAGCCCAATGGTGGAAGAAGAACTACAAAGCTTGGACTATTAGACCATTGTTGATCTTAACCTAGAGACATTGAAACAATAACAGTTGTATCAAGCACTGTTGCAGAAAATGAATTTAGTTGCCCACCAGTTCAGCTATAAAGCCACACGATTTCTTGGAACACCTATGCAGAGCTCATGCGGACCTCTAAAAAAGAACTTTGGTTTGACTTTCCCCCTTTGTGTGGCACCCACCTCGACCCCTGGTGCCATATTAGACTTGGTCCTTTGTTTGAAGAGATTTACCCTGTAGTTTAAGGCTCTGCTTCTTGTGAGAAGCAAGTCCAAAACCCCCATGGGTTCACAGAAGCATTACAGTTCTTTGAATTCAGACCTGTATATTCTCCTCTCTCAGAGGATGACAAGCATCGCATACTTCAGAGAAGTTTATCCTTCTGGAAAGGGCGAAGAAGGATATTTTAATCTGTAGGCAATTGTTGGGCAGAAGGGCTTTCTGCCAAAATACCAGCTTTGGGATTATCTCATAGTAGACTGCTAATCCATGAGCTAATAATTTTACCTGATACGCAGAGCTTGCAGGATTGAAGTTCGTCTTCGTTTTTGCACTAATTTCAATTGCGCATGTATTTTTAAAATATCAAAACTGGTTTTTTGTTTTTTTCATTTTAAGAAATCAAGCCCTGCAAATCACTGGTTAAATGCTTGTTAATGTTTAATGCAATTGTTGATTTTCATGAAAACTGTTGGGCTAACCTCTAGCTATATTCTTGCATTTATTCTCTTCTGCTCTAGGTGGGAAACAGTACGATTAGCTCCCTTCCAAGCTGTGATGAAGGCATGTAATACACATCAACATTTATATAAATATGTTTAACAGTGAAGGGTTTTTTTTAAAGCCAGCCTAATGGCTACCTTCCACATTTATTTCTTAAAAAGGAAGATACTACTGTGCTTTGCTTCTGTGTAAGGTCAAAAGCTTCTGTTGGCCTTTTTATTGCAAAAAAAAAGTATATGAAAGTGAATGTGCAAATCAATACATAAAGTTATTTTTTTATAAGATGGAAGAGCTTTCCTAACCTAAACATGGGTTGTGTATGTTATCTGGCTAAGAATTTACCCACCTGATTTGTAAAATGGTAATGTGAATGCTTCTCTGTATGTTGTTGTTGTACACCAGTCACTGACTTTCTTCTTGGTCCTCTGGTAGTGAATATATTGCTTCAGAACTAAATAGTCATAGTCATGCTGAAGTACAGTTTCACGTTTTACTGGGACTGCCTGCATTTTTCTATAAAGGCTTTATGAAAAAGATAAAACAATTCAGTAATCTTGTGTTGACACCTGGCTTGGTAAAACATGAGCTGCCTGTAAGAGTAGCCAAATATCTAAATACTTATTCTAATATCCTATTAAAATGGACCATTCAGTTATAATCCAGCTATAGTGTAATAGGCATTAGCAGCATGGCAGCTTACAGCCAGGCTCATAATAAGCTATTGTTTGTGCCAACTGAATATTGGGTTCTTGAGGTAGTGCAAATGAGGCTGTGCACTTTGCACTTGCAGCAGAGTAAACTGCATTGATTTTATTCTGTTGTGGAAGCTTACTGTAACATATAATAAATAGCTTTCAATACTAGCTGGAGGTTTTTTTTTTAAATTAAATATCCTCATGAGAAACCTTTACTTATGTATTAAGAATTACATGAGAGTACAAAAGGCCCACATTTATATTCAAAGTATTAACAGTAACTAATGGAGAGTAATGTAGGGCTAATGCACATTCAAACCAAGATTGATCTGGTTGGGAGGGGGAAACCCTATGCTTTAACCACTAGTCCACATTTCCTCTCTTCGGGGATTCATTTTTCTTTTTAAGATAGGGTGACAAATTGGCTAGATGAGTCAAATAGACCAAGCTTTACAATCCATTTTAAACATCCCCAAACTTTCACCTCCCCTTCTTTAGCACTCTGGTAGTTTGTATGTGTGTGCATTAAATTTCTTTTGTGGGTCAGTGTCTGTTCCTCAACACCAGAAGCGTCAAATCTGCATTCAGGTGATGCTAACTAATTCCAAGCTTTCTGTGAGCACTTTTGAGGAAGTTACATTCAGATGTGTGAAGTGACGCTGTTTATGCCAAATTAACGGCTTAGGACTTCCGAGTACTTACTTCAAACACACTTTCTCTTTGTGTGAAAGGCAAAGGCATTATTATTATGTTATTGAATTTATAACCTAACCTCCCTCCCAAAGGAGCCCAGGGCCACAAACAGATACACAATTTAGAAAACATTCTAAAAGCAGCCATAGTTGGAAACATTATTCCATCCAGCAATTGCCAGGAACGGTATTCTTCAGCCACCTAATGCCTGGATAAAGAGAGACTGTTTTCGAATTCTTCCTGAAAGTTTATGATGACGGAAGCAGGTGCACTTTACTAGGGAGGGCTTTCAGCAAGTGGGAAAACCACTACTGAAAAGATTGTCAAGGGTCAATAAATAATAATAATAATCAGGCAGCCAACATGGTGTCCTCTAAATGTTGGACTGTTGCTTGCATCATGTTGATCTAGTGGTTGTGCTGGCAAGGTATTTCCATCCACATCACCATTCTATGGTGTGTACATGCATGACATCCCCAGGTAATAATGGGGTTCTTGAGTATTTCAATAAGGCGTTCCAGTCACCTGAGAGCCGAATGGTGGGAGTAACAAAGGCTCTATCAGTGTTGACCTTTTCAGCGTTTGATAAATGGGAAGAGTGCAAGACAGGCCCGGGAAAAAGCTTTTGTGTGTCCTACCTGTCACAATAAATTTCTAATGTTAAGGCAGTAAAGGGCCATATGCAGAACTGTCTCGGTGTGCAATTGCTGCCAACTTCTCATACCTTAATTAATTAGAACACCTCCTAAGGGGTGAGCAGCTGTTCAAAATACATTTCATACCTTCTCTCACTTTCAGGAGGATATTCATAATGAACCCTTGCCGTTTGCCCTGGATAGTAACCAACGACATCCTTTCCCTGATGTAGAATATACCTAGAAAAAGCAAGGGAAAATCATTATTGGGATTCAGTATTCAAATTCTGTGCTGAGATTTGCTGCCTGAAACTCTATAAATCTCTACAAATAATTATTAGTGAACTGTTTAAATATGTCACTCAATTTGCATTTGTTGTCTTCTGGAGCTTTCATTTTTTTTACATTAATTAATTAGGCCTGGGTTTTTTTTATTAAAACTTTCTCCAGATTGCCAGATGATAGTAGAGATTATCAAAGTACATGAAATGCAAATTTTAAAGTTTAGATGTTCTCAAATACTGTTCTTGAGCCTTTATAATAAGGATTTGTCAGACAGGCTTGAACTTGCTTGGTTAGCGCAATGTTTTGTGAAATCTTGAACCTGTTTCTGAAGGAACTGGGCTTTGTTTTTGATACTTTACCCTGGAGGCATTTGTGGTGATGTATCTACAAATTGTCGCAGTCTTATTGCTGTACCTGCCATTACAACCCCTGGAAAAAAGAGTAGAGAACGTTAAGGTCTCTTGTTACTAATTCAGTATTTATTCAAAATGTAAAGTCACAGTTACAAGTATACTTGGAAATCTGTTGGAAGAACTATTTCGGTTAGGTAAATTAATATTCTGAGCGAAAATCAACATCTTTTCCAGAAACTCACCTTCTAAAACGGTACTTTTACAGAAAGCTCTTTTGTGGAGGTAGGTTAGATGGTGTTCTTATTTCATAAACCTAGAAATAAATGCATAAATAAGCATAAATGCAATATATGATCAATTGACATCACACTTCACCAGTTCACCACCAGTTTTTAAAAGTACAGAATAGCTTTCCCCATTTCAATTGCTTAGCACTGGGGGGGGGGGGACACTGACCTCATGAAGGGGCTTTGAATAACACTCCTGCAACTAGCTCTGCCCCCTAGACAGTAACACATATTTTGTCCATGCCCTCTGAGTGACACATGATTGACATGTGAGGGGAACCTGTACCCATAAAATCCATAGGGTCCCTTCAGTCTGGTGCCAATGACATATCAGCTGTTGCATACCTGTGGGGCAACGATAGCCAGCACGTGACTTCAATATGTTATCAGTCTACAACTCCCATCATCCCCAGCTCATATGACCAATGAACTGGAATGATGGGAGCTGTAGTCCAACAGCATCTGCTAGGCAACACATTGACTATTCCTTATTTAGAGGATGAAGCTAGTCTGGTATTTTCTCAGAAGCCCCTTCACATGTTTTGTACCCACGTGTGAAGACTGAAAATAATTTTTGATAAACATTCATCTCTAAGTAGTAACTATTCTTTATAAAACAAGTAGAAAGAGACTACATTTTGCCCAAGTTTCAAATTGCCGTCTGTTTCACTGGTATGCATTTGGCTGGTTTTGACATTTCTGCCAGTATCCAAGCCCTGACCGCTTTCTTCCTGTAGGAACATTTGAAACATGCCACTGTTATTCTATGCTAGGTGCTGTATCTTAGTACAAGAGGGGGAAATCTCCTGATCTGTCTCAAGGCCAGATTTTTTGGATCCCAGCCATTATTTTAAGATATGACCAGCTGCCTTATATGTTTCTAAAAAGATCTGGAGTTTATAGACCTTGGAATTGGATAAATTACTAGAACCATTTACTTTATATCTTAACGTATCAGTAACAAGCTTTCACTTGGAAGAATGAGTCATGGCTGGCTTGTACAAATGTTGACTCACTAGCATTTGGAAAATATTATAGATTATGCTGTCTGTCAACTGCACCAGCAAATTATGTTTTGGCCACACCACAGCATCCTCCAGACAGGCAAATGTTTAAACCTCTGTGTCTTAGATGAATCAGAGGCCAAGCTGTAGAAAATTCTAGGTCTCTGTCCTAAGTAAATAAAAGCTCTTCCTATGTTGGCTCTAAATAACAGATGGCACAATATTGCTGTTCCGTCTTTCACAAACACAGTCCCAGTTGACAACTAAATAATGTGACATTTTGGTTCTTAATATGCACCTTAACTGCTGTGTGGAGTGTAGTCATTGGTCGGAGTGGAACATTCCAAACTGGATGCATGGAAGAGGGAGGAAGTTATTTTGTTGGTTCTCCCTCCCATGCCTCCCAAAAACCAGCATTGGAAGGTTGGTGGCCCTAAGACAGAATGGGAAGTGACAATGGGGCAGCGGTGTATTGGCAAAATGGGCTTCTCTTTCCACCCATGGAGTAGAAACCTCCATTGGATCCAGCATACTTCCACGAACAGAAGGAGCCCTTCCATTTGTGGAACAGCAGGTCTGAATCCAACCCATAGTCTACAAAATATTTTCAAGTTTTGTTATTTCAGTCATCCTTGGAACATGTAGCAGGATGGTGTTTAAAAGTGACAACTCCAATCAAACACACACACAGTGTGAGCTGTTGAGATCTGCTGTTATATTTACCAACATTTTCATGTTCCTGACAGCCAGTTATGCTCAACAGTTGCCTTCATAATTGTCAGCGATGCCATGAGAGCTTTCATTTCCCCTTCATGCCACACGTCAACATTTTCTGATTTAGCTTTTACCCCTTTCCTGTAAATTCTAGAAGAACTTGTTGATTTACATGCTCTCTAGTCAAGTGTCATTTTCAGTGTGACACTTCTATGCACCGATAACGATTGTGTACAAGTAAATGTCATGCTATACAAATTAAGAGATCATAAAAGTCATTTGTGGGTATTTATACACAAATGATGGGTTGGAACCTTTGCAGGTTTTATCCAAAAGCTCTTGGTACACTTCATAAAATCTTGAAATGATGTCCACTTGCTTGGTCAACATACTCCTTTTTTAAAACTAGTGCATTCCATCATTTAGGAGTATATATAACTCTTAGGAGGATTGTCTGCAAACATGAGAAATAATTTGTGCCACCTCTCTCTCTCTCTCTCTGTGTGTGTGTGTGTGTGTGTGTGTTTGTGAGTATATGAGTGGGATTTTTGCTGCCTTATTGTTGGTTTTGAATTATTACATTGTTTTCAGTATGTTCTTGTAAGCCACAAGGAAATGTTTGTTTATGTCTATATTAATGTAACCCAGTGTTCACCTCCCCTTTCAACCCTCTGTGAACCGCCCCCCCCCAAGAAAGCACCCTTCTCTGAAGGTCTCCCAATCCTCTGGGAGGTGGAAGCAGTAGTCTGTTCTGCTCATGTAAGGACAGCACTGCATTCATTTTTAAAAAAAATTAGGGCAGGTTTCACAGAAATTATATTTCTCTCGCTAGCTATTCAACCCATTATATATTGCTATAGAGGTGGAATGGATTACCGTATTTTTTGCACCATAACACTCACTTTTTTCCTCCTAAAAAGTAAGGGGAAATGTCTGTTCGTGTTATGGGGGGAATGCCTACGGGTGGCATGCCTACGGATTTTCCTCCTCTAAAAACTACGTGCGTGTTATGGTCGGGTGCGTGTTATAGAGCGAAAAATACGGTATATGCCGTACACAGAACTGTGCCATTGGCTTGCCATCTTTTCTTATAAGCCCCCCAATTAACCTTTTGATCTAAATAAAGTTCTGTTCACTATCACCGCCAGAGTCTTCTGCTTCTTTGGATTTTTTTTTTTTTTATTAGTTCCATAATGAAGTTATTTTTACCACACTTATCTGCCAGACTCAATTATGACTCATAGCCATTGGAGTGAGCTATCTTGTAAGGGCACAGGCAAAATATTGCACATAGTAGTCAGCTTGCTTGAATTCAAAAGCAGCATTTGATAGATCTCTGGATTTTGCAGTGTGCATCAGCAGAACCTTGGATTAATGCTCTGCTCACCAAACAATCCATTTATAATGGTCTGCATTTCCTTTTGCTTCCTTTTCCAGTGCTGATTTGAGATATCAGTAATGAATAGCAGTGCCCATAGTCTTCAATGATACCTTGAAATCATGATATCTTGTTACTATAATTTTAAAAAGTTTTGGCTTGAAAAGAAGGTTCTGATTTCAAGCTGTAGCAATAAAAAACAGGCATGGGACAAAACATCTCTGGCGATATTGAGGCTGCATTCTGGGGATCTAAAATCATGTATAGCCAGAGCAGCCCCACAACCTCCCCCATGTGACCATCCCTACCTTTCCAGAGCAGAAACAGACTTTGGCTTACGTGCAAGGAAAGGTACCAACTTGAATAAAATACAGGGAGAGGGGAGTTGATCACATCAAGTTGTATCTAGTGCAGAGTTCTAGTGCAGCTGCACTTCTCCCCACACTGATTTTAAAGGTTCACGGGAGGGGGAGTGCAGGGCAGAATTTTGTTCCACTCGGACAAGTCTCTTGTGACGGAAGAACAGGAACGTTGTGTCGTTTCACTTATGAAAGATGAAGGAAATTGCGCCACTGCTGCACTTCTTGGCAGAGTTTGCAGTGTGGAGAGAAGCAATTTAAGAGGATGTCAGAAACCAACTAATTCAGGTTGGCTCTGCGATACAAAACCATTTGTCCCAGAATAACAGTCCTTGCTGATGCAGCATTTGCTTCTAATGTGCAACCGCTGGAAAGAACAAATACAGACATAGCTTCTCCAACTTAGTTTGTGGGAGGGGATTAAATTTTTCATGAAGGCAATCTGTATTAAATTTGTACTGGGGCTCAGCCCTGACACCTTGTTTTCAAAGCCAGGGCTTAATCATGAGATACATGAAAAGGAAAAAAATGCCCTTGAATAAGCTGAGCACATTTATATGAGCACTGAGGAAGTGCAGAATCCTGGCACATCAGCATCTCTAGATCAGAAAGTGCTGTTTCCAGACTGACTTGGGAGCCTGGCATCACTTTATTTTTCTTAAGCACTAAAGTTCATACAATTTAATAATATGTCTAGCTGCAGGACACAAGTCATGTTTCCTCATTCTACAAGGTTGTGTATGGATAGACTCTCTTACCTCTCTGCCCTATAGTTTTGGAAATGAATTTTTAACTGTGGGTCACTTGAACAATCCAAACGAAAACACTGGTGTAAACCACCCACCTCTGCAGGATGATGAAAGAAAATTGCATCCTTGCCTGAGGCCATGAACTCAAGGTCTGTGTAGCATTGTGATGCAAGTGCTATTGTGATGCAGTAGATACAATCAGTTGGGAAGTGCTGGGAAGAATCCAGAGTCACCCACAGCTGCAATTTATTCAGAAACCTTCAGGTTAGGAACAGCTAGATCTGGGATCAGTATGACATAGTGAATAGTATATCGTAAGGGTAGGAAAATAAAACCCTCATCATCATTGGCCATTGGCCATGCAGGCTTGGGCTGATGGGAGATGGAGCCTATCTGTAGGTCCATGAGCTCCCCACCACTGGCTTAAAGGGTTAGGACTAAATGAGAATAATTGTCAACGGTTTCATGCACACAAAAATAAAGAAAAAAACCCATCGATAATATACAGGCAAAATCAGCAAAATTTAAAAACCAGTGTGTAGAGAAGCTTATTTTTTGTTTTCATGTATAGCCTGGGGCTGAAGTCAGTGCCAACTGCAGACCACGTATGAAAACAATTTAATTGAGGTTTCATAGCTTCGAACAGACCACCGCCACCATTTGCCTACTCTGGTTTAGTTCAGGCATAAACTAAACCGTGGTTTGCTACTGCATGAATGAGCTATGTACATGCACACTTTCTCCTGTAGTTCACTCTAATTCAAATAGCACAAGTGCTGTTTTGCAATTCCATCAAAACTACTTGCTCTCCAAAGCAAGCTTGCGAGCCATAGCTCATTTCTGGCTTGGGCGAATACCAAAATGTAGAGTCAGGAAAAGGCTTCAGACCCCTCCTTGCAGTGCTTTCTTCGGCCCTTTTTATCCCACCTACTGCTAGCAAGCCTTTCAGGATTGTAACCAAGTGAAGACAGATGTGCTCTTCTTTTGCTTGCCTCACCCACATACTGTACCTGTCAAAGGATTCCCTCAGTGCCATGTTTCATTGAGAGGGCCCAAAATAAATGGAATCAAAAGTTTTCATTTGGTGGATGGTGAAGCACCAGCTCACATTTAGATGCCAATGCTAACTATTTGTGTGTGTGTGTGTATGTGTGTGTGTGTGTGTGTGTCTATCCACCAACAATTATACTTGAACATCTGCCAATAGCATCACAATATTATGGCCAGTGATGTGCTGACACAACAGTTGGTTTGCCTTGTTCTTCTAAGCACATTTTTGCTGGCACAACAAATTTTAGGGCAAAGCTGTAAAAGAGCGATTCACAGATGACTAGCAGTGATGCAGTCTCAAACGCATTGGTGGAATTTCACCAATTTCAGCGATGGGCAAATCCCATTCACCCGTTAAATTACACGCTGAAGCTTACACAGTACATTAGAGGCACTCAACAATGATAAAACCTAAAGGTTAGATTTCAAGGATAAAACATTGTAGGCCCATTTTTCACAGTTGCTTTCACCTATACATAACATAGCTTGCTGCCAAATTGATGCGACAGAACTTTAAACGGCTTACAGCATAAATCAGAATCTAGTAGCAGTGCATTAGCCGTGATTATGAACATGAATTAAGATGAAAACAAATCCTGTACTGGGAGTTCTGGATACATATCTATTTCATTCGACCTGAATATGTTGCATTTTGTAGTGATGAAAATTGACCAGCTTTATGAAGACACAACTGCTACATTGTGCTGGTCAGGCTTGCTTTGGGAGTTTCCTGGCCTTTGTGAAGAGGACCACCTTCCCTGTGAACTAATCCTATACTGAAGTTTATTTGTATTTACAGTGGTACCTCGGGTTAAGTACTTAATTCGTTCCGGAGGTCCATACTTAACCTGAAACTGTTCTTAACCTGAGGTACCACTTTAGCTAATGGGGCCTCCTGCTGCCACTGCGCTGCCAGAGCACAATTTCTGTTCTCATCCTGAAGTTCTTAACCCGAGGTACTATTTCTGGGTTAGCGGAGTCTGTAACCTGAAGCGTATGTAACCCGAGGTACCACTGTATTTATTATTACATTTATATCCTGCCATTTCTCCAAGGAGCTCAAGGTGGCATACATCGTTTTCCTCCCTCCTCATTTTATCCTCACGACAACCCTGTGAGGGAGGGCATGCTAAGAGATTGTGACTGGCTCAAGGTCACCTAGCAAGCTTCATGGCTGAGTGGGGATTTGAACTCTGGTCTCTTAGGTCCCAACCCAACACCCTAACCACTACACCACACTGGCTCAGGAATATGTGGCAATATTTCAAATCACATGGTGGGGTGTTTTTTGTTTTTTATTTGGTTGCGCTGTCACCCCTTGTCCTGGTAAAATGCTCATCATGTGGACTCTCCTTCCTTGGAGATTTTTAAGCAGAGGTTGGATGGCTATCTGTCATGGATGCTTTAGCTGAGATTCCTGCATGGCAGGGGGTTGGACTAGATGGCCCTTGGGGTCCCTCCCAACTCTACAATTTTATGATTCTATGATTTTATAAGCAACATAAAATTATAGCCTTGGGATATGGCTGCTGCACTCTGGGTAAGTGTGTGAATGGGACGGCTGTTTCCCCCCCTCAATAAGTATTGAATATTGGTTTTCTTAATCCATCCACAAAGAGCAGTGCTCACAAACTATGAACTGAATATATCAACAGAGTGGGTCTTAGCAGAATTGTGTACATACTGAATTATTACATAATCAAATTACTAATAACAGGAAATTCTAGTACAGTGGTACCTCGGGTTACAGGCGCTTCAGGTTACAGACTCCGCTAACCCAGAAATAGTGCCTCAGGTTAAGAACTTTGCTTCACGATGAGAACAGAAATCGTGCGGCGGCAGCAGGAGGCCCCATTAGCTAAAGTGGTACCTCAGGTTAAGAACAGTTTCAGGTTAAGAACAGACCTCCAGAACGAATTAAGTTCTTAACCTGAGGTACCACTGTACTGTACACATTATTATGTCACCTTCTTAATAGTAATTCCACCTACATCTATCTTCAGATCAGTTAAAACCACCCACTGAAGTTTAAAATACTCTTACTAGCATCTTTCTATACAAAGACTCCTTAAACATGAAATTAGGGTTAACACAGTTCTGGCAATAATGCTTTGGTAGCGATAATTAGGTGTTCTGGTGCTGACTTTAATTAGCTTCATAGGCTAATCTGTACACATGGTGACCTACACATTTGTGACAAAGATGAATTAGCTATTTATTTAACAATGACTTTTCTCTCTCTGAAACTGGAATTTGTTACTGAATGGCAGTTGTGGAATGGGTTAGTGTGCTGGGGTGCGGGTAGGTGCTTTGGAAAGGGCAACTGGCAGGGCAACTGTTACAATTTGTTGGAATGTGTGGGACTTTAATGAACTATTTATAACAAAATATCCAAATGCCTCACTTGAAAGGCTAGATATACCCAAATCTGGAGGAGGCAAAGGGTTAGTACACTCTGTAAAAAAGCAGGTTTCAAAACTGCGAAAATTATTTTGGAACATCTGCTCACCTGGTTCCATAAGCCGGTACTTGGTTATCCTTGGTCACCCTCTTAGGTGAACCTGAAAATAAAAAGGATTGCATGCAAAGATATCTGGAAGCCTTCAGAGACTGAAAGATCCAGGTGAGACTTCAAGGATCGGGGGCAGGATGTACAAAAGATCACACAAATAAATTACTTCATTAAGGTTTGTTGGCATTTAAACAGTTTTAAAGATACAGTGGTACTTCGGTTTTCGAATGTAATCCATTCCGGAAGACCATTTGACTTCTGAAATGTTTGAAAACTGAAAACTCAGTTGCCGACAGCTAGGCCTCAGGATCTTGCACTCAGCGGAAGCCGTGCTGCATGTTCGACTTCCGAGGCGTTTTTGAAAACCGAAGCATTTACTTCCGAGTTTACGGCGTTCGAAAATCGAAATGTTCATCAACGGAGACGTTCGAAAACTGAGGTACCACTGTACAAAGAGAGAGCAAGAAAGAGAGATGTTTAATCAGAGCAGTAGTGCCTACAAACCAGAATGGTGGGAGAGAGAACAGTGGCCTCTTTTGGTCAAATTTAAGTAATGCAGCCAGATCTGCCAGCATGGAAATAAAAATTGTGTAGCATAGCGGATAAAACATTGGACTGCTGGTTAAGGGTGGGCAAATCGGTTTTGGTTTCTCTCTCTCAGTTTCTCATTTCTCTTAAATTCAGTTTGCCTTCATTTCCACATCAGTTTGAGAATCTTTTTTAAAAAAGTCCTCATCAAAAATCATTAGTGTTTAGCATAAATTTCTCTTAATATGCACATTTTCATGAAATTTTGCCTGATATAAGTATTTTGGCAAGAAATTTCCTGTAATATAATGAATTTTGTATGCTGTTTTCAATAATATATGTATTTTTATACACACTTTGCCCCAGTGTAAGCATTTTGTACACATCTGTTGGTTGGAGAACTGCGCTGCAAAACTTAGAGAAGTGCAGATGTCAAAGGATGACTGTGTTTCAGTTTGTGCATTGTTTCAGAAAGTCTGGATTAGGGCAGGTCACCTTTAAATGAACAGTGAGTCAAATCGCCCATCCCTACCTACTAGGTGGCCATGGGCCTGTCAGTCTCTCTCAGCCTCACCTTACTGCACAGGGCTTTTGTGAGCAGCCAAGGGAGAATAACATGATATGCCATTTTGAGCTGTTTAGATGAAGGCTTGGATCAAAATGTAACAAAACTTGAAGTCAAAATAGGAGAGTACACAAAGAAGTGGCTCTAAATGCCTCAACCTCCAAGAGTTGTTGAATTACAACTCCCATAATCCCTGGCCATGCTAGAGCCAGTGTGGTGTAGTGGTTAGGAGCAGTAGACTCGTAATCTGGTGAACCTGGTTCGCGTCTCCGCTCCTCCACATGCAGCTGCTGGGTGACCTTGGGCTAGTCACGCATCTCTGAAGTCTCTCAGCCCCACCCATCTCACAGGGTGTCTGTTGTGGGGGAGGAAGGGAAAGGAGATTGTTAGCCAATTTGAGACTCCTTAGGGTAGTGATAAAGCGGGATATCAAATCCAAACTCCTCCTCTTCTTCTAGAGTAATCCCTTCCTATTACCACAAACAAAATAAAATACAGAGAATCAGAAGGAAACAAATATTCGATAATGCCCAAAGCTTTTCTTGATTTGGTAAGGAAACATAGTGCTGAATGGTGCACTGTCCAGATGAAACCTGCTGACAGGAGTGCTCTGCTTACTTTTTGACACATTTGAAGGCAAATCTATCAAATCCATACAGCTGTCTACCAGCTCCATCTGGTACACAGGGTGAGACCTTACCTGCCCATAGACTGTCTCGCCAGAGTGGTGCATGCTCTGGCTATCTCCCGCTTGGACTACTGCAATGCACTCTTCGTGGGGCTCCCTTTGAAGGTGACCCGGAAACTACAACTAATCAAGAATGCAGCAGCTAGACTGGTGACTGGAGGTGGCTGCCAGGACCATATAACACTGGTCCTGAAAGACCTACATTGGCTCCCAGTACGTTTCCGAGCACAACTATCTGACTTTTAGAAGACATCTGAAGGCAACCCTGTTTAGGGAAGTTTTAAATGTTTAATGTTTTAGTGTGTTTTTAATATTCTTTTGGGAGCCACCCAGAGTGGCTGGGGAAACCCAGCCAGATGGGCGGGGTATAAATACTAAATTCTTCCTCTTCTTCTTCTTTTTCTTGTTCTTCTTCTTTTAAAACAATATGAGAATCAAAACATAGTCATCCTTTGAAATGTGCACTTACCTGAAATTTGCAATGCAACTCTCCAAGATGAAAAACTGAAGAGGTGTCCTGGGCAGGCCACAATTTATCCCCCTCCCCCCAAGGTGGACCTGAGCATGCCCATTGGCTGGCCAGGACTGCCTCCTGGGAAATGCCCACATCCAGGCCTGGCTGCTATTGGCCAATCTGCAGGTAGGCCTGCAATGCTCCCCAGCCAGATCATGAATGCGGCTGTGGCCAGGCCGCAATGTCACCTGACCATTAAAGGTAAGTGGATCTCTCCAACCAAACAATGTTTACAAAACTGCACATATTAAGTAAAAGTGTGCATAAAAATGAAGATATTGGTGAAA